CAGTTTCATCAGTAGGGCGGATGCCCAGTCGCTTTCGTGAGAAGTTTGATTGACACTCTGAAAATCCGGAAGTTTAGTTATATAGAAAGCAAACAAACATCAATATTATTTACCCGGGATCGTTAACACCACTTCAGATGCAACCTCAATTGGGTATATAACAAAACAATAGCAACCGAAATTTTAGTAAGATCAGTCGTCTGCTGGTGGCAATATATAAATAGAAAGCCACGTGATCACAACACTCCTCGCATTGTGGAGCAAAAAGTATGGCTCATAGTTGAAAACCCATACAAAATCCCCGGATGTGGAGAGGAGCAACAGTTTCGCAGATGCGATGTCATCAGCGCTATTTGATATGTCTGTGTGAAATGGATGAATATAATTATCTTTCATCGTCAAGGTTAATTAGTAAAATCAAAACTTTTAATTATATTATACATGAAAATTACGTTTTTGTCTTACATCGTCGAAACCCTCTGACACCGGGATACCTCTATTTGCAGATGGAGAAAAATAAAGCTACTTTGTTTGCGTATGTCATGATATTCTGTAAAGACAAAAGAAAATGCTATTGCATTTTGGATGATGTAATTTGGGAACCGAGTTGTATGATAATTTTATATTTCTATAAAATGATTATTCCATACTTCACATTTGTGTTATGAAAACGGTTCTCATGATGTATACTGAAACATGCTCGGAATAACATTCGACCTTTGCAGTAAAAACGTTTCAGTGTGTTTCAGTACATTTCAGTGATAAAATCCACTATAAAAGTTGTTCTGGGGCTCCTTTCACCAATGTTATTAATCTTAAGTCCCAGTCTTTAACATTGCACTAAGGTTACCTTAGTGACTTACGATCACCTTAGTGCTTTGTGAAAGGAGGCCCAGATCTTGTTTTAGATTTACTTTGGCTGGTTTATTTTACTTTCGGCGTCTGTATTGTAAGGAACGACTATGTACAGTTAGCATGTTAGAGGCTGGAACAAGGCAGGTGTCTGTATTGTAAGGAACGACTATGTACAGTTAGCATGATAGAAGCTGGAACAAGGCAGGTGTCTGTATTGTAAGGAACGACTATGTACAGTTAGCATGTTAGAAGCTGGAACAATGCAGGTGTCTGTATTTTAAGGAACGACTATGTACAGTTAGCATGTTAGAAGCTGGAACAAGGCAGGTGTCTGTATTGTAAGGAACGGCTATGTACAGTTAGCATGTTAGAAGCTGGAACAAGGCAGGTGTCTGTATTCTAAGGAACGACTATGTACAGTTAGCATGTTAGAAGCTGGACCAATGCAGGTGTCTGTATTTTAAGGAACGACTATGTACAGTTAGCATGTTAGAAGCTGGAACAAGGCAGGTGTCTGTGGCATGCGTTGTTAACGTTTTACAGTCAGTAAGTAGTAGGTTATGACAGACGTCAATCTGTTCGACCAAGAGCGACAAGCGGTGCACAACACAGTATCATTTAACCGACAGTGTTACGAAACCATGGTCAAAGTGCCTCTCAAAATGACGATGAGCCTGGGAGAGCTTCAGTTTGTTAGAGGGAGTGAACAGACGACTCGTAATCTGCTACACAGATGGATCCTGCATGTCCGACGTCTATGTGTCATCCCACAGTGAACGGACCGTCACATTACTCGCATTACTGCTTCAGTAATCGTCTGGAGTGACTGACAGAACACCTTTATATCACAATACCGGACGTGTCACTGGGCAGTGCTGCTGCAGCCTCACGATGCGCCATTCACTGGCCGACATGACGTTTTGTGATTCAGGATGACAAATAAATATGGTGAGGTGAGGTGAAATTGGGTTTAACGTCGAGCTTGAGAATATTTCGCTCATATGACGATGTGCATGCGTGTGTATGTGTATGTGCGGCTTCTTGTACTAGCCCAGACTGAAGCTTGTTTTATAGTGCTAGCCCACTGAGATGCCATGCCGCAGTGAAACATAAATACCCCACTCAGACACATTATACTGACTCTGAGCCGACCAGTCCTTGTTGTACCCATTAATGCCGAGCGCCAGGCAGGGACCAACAAGCACAATATGTTAACGTCTTTTGGTATGACGCGGTCGGGGACAAAACAATGCGCACCCAAACAGCAGAGCATAACTTTACCATGGCCAGGAATCTATATCGTTTACAACAGCAGTTACAACAGGCCACCCGGCATGTCCAATAAAATAATTTATGTTTATCTATTGTCTTTCTTTATTTTATGTATAATATGTTTTAATGGGTTTTTTTATGTATTTTAGTTATCTGTTACCTTTTCTGGAGTGAAAACTGTTGTATTGCAGGGTTTCAGCTTTGAAATCAGTACGTAATCATTACATTTACCCGAACAATCTACCTGAACATCAGTTCATGTGTAAACAGTACCTTTAAACAGTATGGAATATTTTGCAAAATCTAGTTCAGAACAGTTGACTGAAGTAGGTGGCTTCATTTCCAGCCTGAACCTTTGATAGGTAGTATGAGGACAACTCTGTGTTTCTGAAGATATGACGTTACCTAACATGTTCGTTACTTGTATAGTGGTTTATATCGTGTGTTAGGAAAACTATTAAACCATGTTTCCTCCTTAAATAGACGACACATATGGTTTATGAGATGAACTGTCAGAGGATTTGAAAGCATTTGTCACTTCATGGTATTGTGATTAGTGTGTATCCTGCGTTCCTAAAGTTTGCTTTCACGTAGTTTGGTCAATGTTTGCAAGTTCAGTATGTTTTATCCTGCACTGTACTGGCTGGGGATTAGTTAGTCCACCTAGCAAGACCACAGTTACAATGTTAAGGAAACATGTACATCCAAGCTTGTAATAAAGGCCAGGACTGCTTTCTTGGTGCATGTTTTAAGGGCTTATGTGGTTATCCCTTGTTATAACGAACATATCAGTTCCTCATCAATTATGTTCTTGCTTGTATACAGTGAGTCTTTTTGTGGGACCCCGTCCATGCTACATCCAGCAATGGTGCAACAGTAGCTGCAGGTGAAGTCTTCCATGTATCGATTTCCTTGCTGCATGTTCGTACATCTATCATTATCAGATGTGAGCTGCCATCATTTAGTCTCACAGTCGCTGGATGAGGCACAGCTGAGAATTGTGAAATAGAATAACATGAGACAAAGACTGATGAGACATTACCGCTGCATTTACCGTTATACAAACGATATAGTGACGGGTTACACCAGTAATTATCTTCACACATGGTACTTTAGAATTAAATATACTTCCCTTCAAAAGTTTGGACTCAGTGTTTAGGAAAACTACAAAGATCAACCTTTGCAATGTTAGAACATGTGACAAAAACCGGGAATATGTTTCCATTTAACAATGTTAATCACGAAAAAAAGATGAATTCTTTTTCATTCCGCGATTTATTGCATTGAAGTGAAGACTATCAAAAACGTCACATACAGTTCTCACTTATAAGGAGTATGACCACCCCTAGCCACGATACACGCCCTACAACGTCTCCGCATACCACGAATCAGCTTCCCAATGTCACGTTGGGGAATGTTCTGCCATTCTTGAAGTAATGCGGTCACGCGTCCATACACTCGACGCCCCAACATTTCCCAAACATGTTCGATCGGATTCAGGTATCGGGACAGTGCTGGCCATATCATACGGTTGATCCGATGACGTTGCAAGCATTCATTCACAATTCTGGCTCGATCATCTTGAAACTCAGGACGCCCTCCCATGGCCCTCATGACAGCTGGGATAATGATGATTTTGTATGTATTTCTGACCAGTTAAACTGCCTTGCACAACGAGACCGGTCTTGGAACGCATGGAGATCCAATCCCAGACCATTACGGAACCTGCTCCGAATCGGTGGTCATGCTCCACGCGCACGGATGCACGCACGCAACGTCATTAAACTTTTCACCCTGACGTCGCAGAAGACAGGATTACGGCCATCATTAAAATGCAAGTTGAAGCTTGATTCATTGCTGAAGAGAACTTTGGACCATCTGCGATCACCCCAGCCGATGTGTTCGTTTGCAAAAGCCAAACGGTTCTGTTTATGGTGAGACTTGAGGGGGAGGTCTGGCGGCAGGACGTCGTGCTCTGATGCCGTGTGACGGCAGGACGTCGTGCTCTGATGCCGTGTGACAGCAGGCGACGTCGTACAGTGTACAGTGAAACACGGGCCCTATTACACTGTGTAGTCCGTCTCTGAGGACTCTAGGTGCCGTGTTGCTTTCCCGGAGAGCTGTTAAACGGAGGTATCGGATGCTATGACTGGCCTTTTGTACGCTCGGCGAACGTTCTCGGGCGCTTTTGTAGCTGATGCGCGAGTTTTGTTTCTATTTCAAACGATTAGTTTTCCATTACAGATGCGTTTGTTTCGGTTTTAGGGGAAATTGTTGCTGTTTTGGGAGTTCATTTCCCTATTTTGGTGATTTTTGTTCGGTTTTGGTGCATATGAGTTCAGTTTTGAGGATTTGTTCACCGTTTGTATGGTAGGTCTGGAGTCTATCCAACATGGATAACGTATGACGAACTCAACCATAGTTACGTATTTGATTTGATGTCAAATATATAACCGAAATGTAGTTAATATTTATACTAAATTATATTCACGTGCAATCCTGGGTATCTGTAAGATATAAATCTTCCAAAAGTTCTTTTCATGTAATGCAGATGATAAAGTATAGATAGTTTTACTCAAGTGTGGGTTTGCTGGCTTGGTTGACACATGTCATCGTTTCCAAATTGCACAGACCGATTTTCATGAGGTTGATCCCCGGATTGTCTGGTCCAGACTCGATTATTTACAGACCGCCGTGATATAGGTGGAATATTTTTGAGTGCCACGTAAAACTAAACTAACTCATTCACTGTATGATAGAAAAGTGATCAGTGAACAGCTGGAATTGTTTCTCTCCTTTTAATATCACATTAAATGCCTGCGAATGATTTCTGTCAACTAAAGCTGATTTGTGTTTAACAAAATGAAAATATGGCCTGATGAATAAGATTTATTTTCCATCGAACTTGTTTGTATTTAAGAACCAATTTATGGCTTTTTACCATTCTGTCTAACGTTGTCATCTGTTCGCTTATATACTTTGAGTGTCAAATATAATACATTTCATACATAATCAGTTTGAACGATTTTTCACACATATATTATGTGGGGATGCTCTTACATTTCATTTCTCAAATGCCATTACACCTCCACTCTTCTACAAACATGTGTCATTACATAGTACAACAACGATATACTGCTGTGTTTCCACACATATCATACATATCTGTCTCTAAGCATTCCCTTTATACAGTGTGTCTTTCTTAGGGAACACATCCTTGTTACATCCCGGTGTGGTGCAACAGTAGCTGCAGGTGAAGTCTTCCATGTAGGGGTTTCCAGGCTGCATGTTCGTACATCTGTCTTGGTCAGATGTTTGCTGCCACCATTTTGTCTCACAGTCGCCGGAAGAAGCACAGCTGGACATTGTAAAATAAAATAACATGAGAGAAACGATACAAATCCAAACATAGTTGTAATTATAATGACTTGTTCAGAAAACATGCAAAGACACTTTCCTGTTGACTGTTGTTATGCAAAGCGAATTTGATTGTGCACACTTGGTATATGTTCAGTTGTTTACTTGTACAAAATGAGTGTTCCAAATAGCTGATACAGTTAGTTCAAGAAATACTGCAAAACCTCGAAATCATTAAATCAATTATATGAAAAGAGATTGCATTTTCCCACATATATACTGAAAGAAACAAATAAAGGATCACTGGAAAATTCAAGTCTTCCTTTAATATTTTCCAGTTTTTATCTTCGGCTTTGAATAGTGCTGTAGGAGGAAATCTGAGAATATATAAAGGAACACTGCCCTGAAGTGGCGTTCCCTTATTTAATTCTCTCAGTATATATGAGGAACAATGCAGGTTCTTTGCGAAACCAATAACAATAAGTAAATACATGCATTGAATTATTCAGTTATATATATGGGCTCAGGGAACATAAACAAACAGAGGGTACATCAACCCATGGGCACCGAGGGACCAGTGAACGACGTATTCATCTTACGGTACACCTCATTGTTAATTTTGAACTGTTGAAAGCACAGGTATTGGATCATAGTGAGGAGAACCGGAGTTAGGCAACAGCCCAAACATTACTAAACGAAATCCCACAGTTCGGCATTTTCAGCGCGTAACCTAGAACATGTTACTCGCTTGTAAGCGGGGTACATTAATTGGCTCAGCCAATCAGAAAACGACATGTGTGAGGTAAGATAACTATATGAGATATAAATGCAGGTTCTTTATGAAAGTAAGTAATTTATGAATGAGGAAATATGTAAGTTCTATGCGAAACCAGAAACAGTAAGTAGTAATTACGTGCATGTGTTAAGAGTAAAGAAATACAGACCTTTTCGTGACTATTCTCGACTCGTCCTTCTTGACAATAACAGTGTTCATGCAGAAGGGTGTCATGATTGAACACGGGGTGTCTTTTCCCGGGAATATACCACACGTACCACCAGAACATGTTTCACAGGTGAGAGGTGCTGTGGACAGAGCATTGACAGTAAATGGGATATCGGAAATCTAGTTTTATTCAGTACTACGTTAAATGGAACACTGACAAATAAGGTGGGTGTTTGTGTCTCTGTATGTGTGCTTGCGTGCGAGCATGCGTGCGCGTGTGTGTGTGCGCGCGCGCTGTTCCAATAACCCATTCACACCAAACACACTCTCCACAATTGAATGTCTAATTAGGTATCCTTGTGGTGAAATCGTTCGCTCGTCACGCCGAAGACACGGAATCGATTCACTTCAGTAGTAAAATTATGAAGCCTATTGCTGGTGTCCCCGCCGTGATATTGCTGGAATATTGCTTAAAAACGGCGTGAAACTAACTCACTCACTCACTCACGCAACACCGTGAATACCTATAACTGTAGTTGCTGCACTTGGTGGGTCTGACATCGGTGTATCTCGTGTTGTAAGAGCGTCAGCCACTATAAAATGAAAACAATATCTTGAAGTACATATTGCAACAGTGCAATTAACATAAATGTTTACAAGATAATGATGGATAATTGTCTATATCAAGTAAACTAATAAACGTAGTACGCCATTTCATTCCATTAAAATTTTCCTTCGACGTTGTTACTGAAACTTTTTTACTATGATGTCAAAAGTTTCTGACGTAACTGGACAATCCTGCTCCTTTCGTCTCGTTCACAAACTCAGCCTTGCCATCGAGTCTGGAAAAAAGAATGGTCATATGTTGGTTTGTAAATTTCGTCAGTCAGGTGGATAAGTGACAATGTGCTAATTAATGATATGATTAAACTATTTAATATGGGCGATACGTTTTGAATGATGGCTTTCTAAGTATATTTTACAAAATGTCACAGGATCTGTATACCATCCATTAATCCATCCATCTACTACCTTATGAACCACGTGACAGGTCCAGAGTCTTTAGCAAGTACGCCAACCCTTCTCGCTGAATCGCATATAGAGTCGCTCTGAAAGATCAATCCCAGTTAGTCGCGGTGCACCAGAACCACTTGACTTACATATCAACGTTACACGAGTATGCATAATTTACAGTTTTCGGCCTGTTCGTCGTTACTAAACAAGGAAAATGAAGATATAATATGTAATATATACATATTATTGCACTTGTAGCACATTTGGGACTTACAAGTAGTGAAATATACTAAAATGTCTTGAAATCAATATTTTCCCAAGCGGATAAATTCTGATGTCGCCCTGAAGGCAATTACGTGTTTTACATTGGAGGGAATGTATCGTAATATTCTCCAATAATGGTAACCCATAGATGAGTGAAGTTATACCAGGGATAATCTACAACGTCTTATAGTCTCCCTGGTTATACTAATATATAGAACTGGTTCCTAGTTGATCCCACAGCAGGACGAATACACTCCTAGGAGGACGAATACACAGTGTATACACTCACGGGGATCCTTGGGAAAAGGAGAAACTGAAAGAAGTAGTGGTAAAATCCTTCCTAAAGTTCCAAAATTTTGGAAATTTTGGGAAATATGATATTTCCAAATTGGAAATTTTTGCAAATCACCAATGTTTTTTCTTGTGCTAGCTACATTCGCACAGTCATACACTCTCCCTTTCCCTGCAAATGAACGAGTTCCCATAGGACAAAAATTGTGGTGTTCATCAGGTCTTTCGAAAAAATTCTGTAAGAAATTTGGTTAAATTGGGTTCTGCACGAGTTACTTACCGGTCCGAATGTGGTTGACAGTGGTGAACCATCAGCGTCTACTGTCCCAGGAACACACGTGGCACTGAAGGGAAACCACATTGATTGTGTACAGACACGTTCAAATGTTACACATATACATATATATGACTTGGTACGCTTAGACTTGTAGAAATAGAGCCGCAATGAAAAAATACTTCCGTTCAGCTGGCTTTAAATACTTTCGGCTGTCGGTGGTGTCTTCGTTTGTTCTTATCGGCTCAAAATCCGTCCAAATGACTACAATCAGTTCCAACGTTTCTATCATCATCGCTTTCACTTACAACATCCAATGCCACAATCAGGTTTTACTGTCTTCTGGGCAAAGATGGATGAGTATTACAGCATTATGCTATGAATTTCAGCGGTCTACGCATACCATGCTTTCTTAACCTCTATACACTGCCGTCAACATATAATACAGCAAAATGGAATTCTTGCTCCACTGTTTACACCTTTTGAATTGTCCACTGACACGAACGATGTATTGTTATACAAACTGTATTTCCATGTGTAAATTGAAATGGTACAGGAATTCGGCGGTGAAACTTCGAATTAAGTAATAGTATTTAGACACTTAAGAGAAGGCCTAATCACACTGTAGGCGGGGAGGATAACCACAAGAAGATAAGATATGTCAAAGTCAGCATGGTCAGTGGTTTTGTCTTCGTGGATAAACCTGGAAAGGAACTCGAAAGTAAATTATTTCCTCATTTCCTCTAATTTTTAGTTAATTTTAAAGGGAAATATCCGTTGAATGAAATTTTGTCCAAATCTTAGCTTAAACCGTAGAAATGATACATTTTTTGTAAGTTAACCAATATATTGGTGTGAATAAAATAGTTTAGTTGGGGCCGTTTGAAAAATGTATTGATCAACATTCCGTGCTGCCATAGTGTGTGTGCATCTACGCGTGAGTGTTATAATAACTTCTTTTGAATATCACATGACAAGGACTTGAATTCTACTATAGTTTATGTGTGGTCGCAAACGACACAAAAGAAGTATTCAGAATACTTACTGTAAAGCCGCTCCTGATTTCATGCTGAATTCATTAAACTTCTTACTACTGTCCATTGACTCCGAAATGTTAGCAGCAGCTAAAACATAAAGCGTTTGTATGTTGATTGTCAGTTGTAATATATCAACTGCACCCATTGTCACTGATATAATGTCAGTTGTAATATATCAACTGCATCCATTGTCACTGATATAATGTCAGACGTAATATATCAACTGCATCCATTGTCACTGATATAATGTCAGACGTAATATATCAACTGCATCCATTGTCACTGATATAATGTCAGACGTAATGTATCAACTGCATCCATTGTCATTGATATAATGTCAGACGTAATGTATCAACTGCATCCATTGTCACTGATATAATGTCAGACGTAATGTATCAACTGCATCCATTGTCACTGATATAATGTCAGACGTCCATTGACGTAATATATCAACTGCATCCATTGTCACTGATATAATGTCAGACGTAATGTATCAACTGCATCCATTGTCACTGATATAATGTCGGACGTAATGTATCAATTGTCTGCAATCCAACTGCATTGTCACTGATATAATGTCAGACGTAATGTATCAACTGCATCCATTGTCACTGATATAATGTCAGACGTAATGTATCAACTGCATCCATTGTCACTGATATAATGTCAGACGTAATGTATCAACTGCATCCATTGTCACTGATATAATGTCAGACGTTGTCAATGTATCAACTGCATCCATTGTCACTGATATAATGTCAGACGTAATGTATCAACTGCATCCATTGTCACTGATATAATGTCAGACGTAATGTATCAACTGCATCCATTGTCATTGATATAATGTCAGACGTAATGTATCAACTGCATCCATTGTCACTGATATAATGTCAGACGTAATGTATCAACTGCATCCATTGTCATTGATATAATGTCAGACGTAATGTATCAACTGCATCCATTGTCACTGATATAAACTGCATGTCAGACGTAATATATCAACTGCATCCATTGTCATTGATATAATGTCAGACGTAATGTATCAACTGCATCCATTGTCATTGATATAATGTCAGACGTAATGTATCAACTGCATCCATTGTCATTGATATAATGTCAGACGTAATATATCAACTGCATCCATTGTCACTGATATAATGTCAGACGTAATATATCAACTGCATCCATTGTCACTGATATAATGTCAGACGTAATGTATCAACTGCATCCATTGTCACTGATATAATGTCAGACGTAATGTATCAACTCCATCCATTAATGTCACTGATATATATAATGTCAGACGTAATGTATCAACTGCATCCATTGTCACTGATATAATGTCAGACGTAATGTATCAACTGCATCCATTGTCACTGATATAATGTCAGACGTAATGTATCAACTGCATCCATTGTCACTGATATAATGTCAGACGTAATATATCAACTGCATCCAATGGTATCAACTGCATCCATTGTCATTGATATAATGTCACGTAATGATAACTGCATCCATTGTCATGTATATCAGTCAGACGTAATGTATCAACTGCATCCATTGTCATTGATATAATGTCAGACGTAATGTATCAACTGCATCCATTGTCACTGATAATAATATCAACATCCATTGTCACTGATATAATGTCAGACGTAATGTATCAACTGCATCCATTGTCACTGATATAATGTCAGACGTAATGTATCAACTGCATCCATTGTCACTGATATAATGTCAGACGTAATGTATCAACTGCATCCATTGTCACTGATATAATGTCAGACGTAATGTATCAACTGCATCCATTGTCACGATATACCGTCAGATATTGTCATCAACTGCATCCATTGTCCATTGTCACTGATATAATGTCAGACGTAATGTATCAACTGCATCCATTGTCACTGATATAATGTCAGACGTAATATCAACTGCATCCATTGTCACTGATATAATGTCAGACGTAATGTATCAACTGCATCCATTGTCACTGATATAATGTCAGACGTAATATATCAACTGCATCCATTGTCACTGATATAATGTCAGACGTAATATATCAACTGCATCCATTGTCATTGATATAATGTCAGACGTAATGTATCAACTGCATCCATTGTCATTGATATAATGTCAGACGTAATGTATCAACTGCATCCATTGTCACTGATATAATGTCAGACGTAATGTATCAACTGCATCCATTGTCACTGATATAATGTCAGACGTAATGTCAACTGCACGTCACTGATCAACTGCATCCATTGTCACTGATATAATGTCAGACGTAATATATCAACTGCATCCATTGTCACTGATATAATGTCAGACGTAATGTATCAACTGCATCCATTGTCACTGATATAATGTCAGACGTAATGTATCAACTGCATCCATTGTCACTGATATAATGTCAGACGTAATGTATCAACTGCATCCATTGTCACTGATATAATGTCAGACGTAATGTATCAACTGCATCCATTGTCACTGATATAATGTCAGACGTAATATCAACTGCATCCATTGTCACTGATATAATGTCAGACGTAATATATCAACTGCATCCATTGTCACTGATATAATGTCAGACGTAATGTACCAACTGACTGACTGACTGACTGACTTATTTTGGTTTTACGCCGTTTTTAGCAATATTCCAGCAATATCACGGCGGGGGACACCAGAAATGGGCTTCACTCATTGTACCCATGTGGGGATTCGAACCCGGGTCTTCGGCGTGACGAGCCAACGCTTTAACCACTAGACTACCCCACCGCCCCTGTACCAACTGCATTCATTGTCACTGATATAATGTCAGACGTATTATATCAACTGCATCCATTGTCATTGATATAATACACCCATACTTTATCCCAGACATAATGTATCAGCTGCATCCATTGTCACTGATATAATTTCAAACATGTTATAAACGGGCAGCATAAACGATACCAAGTCGAAATCACTGATATTACAAAACGACAAACCACCATTGTGAAGAAGGACAGTAAATTGTAATAACAGGTGTATGGGCAACATGCACTCGGTCATTTCATGACAATAAAAGTAGCAACAATAACAAGCCCATTGCGTCACTGTATAAATTAAGGAATGAAATGTCCAGTATTCCATCACAGATGCAAATAAAACACTACACGTGGTCAGTATCTGGTATGTCCACCGTGGGCATCAATGCAAGCCATAACTCTGCGACGTGCTGAGAATGTCACACGCGCCATTCCTCTTGAAGGGCTTGGACATGCAACGGCTCTAGCACATATCTGACGCTCCAAATTGTCCCACAATTGTCCAGGTGACCTGGAGGGCCAAGGAAGCACACTGATGTTGTTTCGCTGTAGAAAATCCATGACAATACGTGCTGTATGAGGACGGGCGTTGTCCTGCTGGAACATGATCCGGCAACAGCGTTGACGAAGGAAAAACGCAGAATTTGATCAATGTATCGTTGAGCAGTGAAATTACCATCAGCCACAACAAGATCTGTCTTCATACCGTCACATATGTCGCCCCAAACCACGACGCCGCCACCAAACGGTTCCACTTCCTGTACGCAGCAACGTTGTACACGTTATCCACGGCGTCTGTAGACACGAGCCCTGCCATCATTCCTGAACAGCTGGAACCTGCTTTCGTCTGAGAACATCACTCTCTGCCACTGTCTGTTTTGCCATTGGCGATCCGTGCGTGCCCATCAAAGACGTAAATTGACGTCGATACCTTATCGTCGTGCTGCTGTTCGGCAACTGGTAGGATGTCCAAGCCCAGTCGTTGATGATGAAGTCACAGGTAGGAAACGGCTTCTCATGTGCAGGATACGTAAGTAGCGGTCTTCGTTGGGGGTGGTGACGTGAGGTCTTCCACTTCTAGGCCTGTCCACTGTCCGCCCTGTTTGCCTCAGCCTCAGCATCAACCTCGTGATGGTTAGACGTATATAGCCCTAGGTCCCTGCAACATGTGCATGTGTGGCACCCATCTGTACCATTCCAATGACTCTCTCTGGATTCCTGCGATACTCGGGGCATGGTTGGTGAAGTTGACTTGAAGGCCTGATGTCCAGGAAGGTTTGTGTGCACTTCTATACCCCAAAGATGCATGTGCTTCGTGCAATCCGTTGACGAGGTTTTTGTGCTTCACGACATGTTGCAGTGATACTGTTCGCCCAAACACAACATTTTTCATGCGAAATGTTGGGGAAGCGTTGTGGTGATTGTTTTAAGCTCATAACTACCTATAAAATTTGAGTTGGACTCCAAATTATCAAAATACATTTTGGTATCGTTTCTTTTGCCCGTTAGTATCTATAAGCTGCCTGGTATACCCTCTGCATCCCTTTTGTTTTGTTTTCATGTGTCATAACGATGACCAAAGATGGATAATGAGAATTTACATAGCCAACTTACAACCAATCAAAATGTCATAGTACTGTTCCACTTACCAACGACGTAGGCCTTGTTTGAAGATATCCCATTATCAGCCTGACAGATGTATATTCCTTCATATTGTTCCAGATTTGCTTTGGTGACGCCAGTCAAGAGCAACTCCCCATCTCCAAAGTCAACAACTGTCTGGTCAGAAGACAAGTCCACCCCTCCATATTTGCTCCATGTAACTTTAGGAGCCGGGTCACCTTCGACTACACACTCCATCTCGTTTCCAAAACCGTCTGGCTCCAAAATGACAATTGGTTTCTTTGCAGATATTGTCAGCGGCTCTAAAATAGAATGCAAACCCCAGTCAACTATGAATTATAACTCTCTTTAAACAATAGTATTTAGTAAAGCTATTACAGACTTACAAAAGTACGCAATATCTCGTGTCAAATAGCATGTTCCAGCAAAATACTAATATCTGGCCCTAATGAAATGACTGAAGCTGACTGGACATTCACCTCCGTTTGTCACAATCATTTGTGTAATTCATATTTTATTATTATATAGTTATTATTTAGAAACTCTACGCCAGAGGGGAACCAGTTTCGGGCATCCGTGGAAACCATTCCAAACGGCCATCAAAACTGTATGAACGCATCACTGAAAATATGTAACCTCGTAGGGAACCATTTGAACAAACCAGTCATTTGTACCATCAAGATCTAATCGCCTTCCTCCAAGCAAATATCATTTGAGATACAGTTATACTATATTGGAATGGTAAGAATGAGCAATGTTACTGAGTCGATGTGTCGTGAAAAAGGTCGCTTGTTAACTGCCAGTTGCATTTCGAAAAGTAGTTGCGTGTGAGATCTGATATGTTAAATATATGACTAGGTTGAAAAAGATAACATCTCCAAACTCGGTTTATCTTTTCCTCGGGACAAATGGGCGAAGAGAAAGAAACCTTATTTCCATTGGGACCGATAAAGCGTAACTCATCGTGGCTTGTTTGTTCTTGTCAAAATAGCCTGCATGTACGTGGCAAACTTGGACGTTACGTGTTGATCATGAAAGCAGTAAAACTGACTAAGTTTTTATTGTGAAGACAGTTTCAGCATTGCAATTGATTCACATCCAAATACGCAATACGGATGTTCTTAAATATATACAGATGCCTTGACACCAGATTTTCGGTGAAAAATATTTTCTTTGAAAATGTCAGAATGGAAACTATTTTGATATACCTTGTCACATACCATTGAAACGATCTACGAATCGCATGTATACAAACATTTTACTATTGAACGTGATTAGCTGGAAGCCGATGACATTTGGAAGCGATAATTGTATAAAGACGACTAGACGTCATCTGAAGAAATGCCTCCCCGTGTATTTTAAGTTTGAGTCAATAAATAACAGATTTGTGCATTTCCCGTTATGTGAACAACCTTCACCAATATCATGACATTTAAACTAGCTAAAGAACTTATCGGTATGTAGCTCACATGTTCTACGACGTTATTTAGGTCGGGCTTAAGTGAAGGACATGAAATCTTGTCGGGGAAAAATAAATTTGTTATAAATGAAATTCTTTGGGACGAACTTATCTACAAAACCTAATCCATGCCAGCTGCAATCAAATCCGCTACGCAAGCAGAATGCAACTTAAAAATCAACACAATACCATGTCATTATTGGCAATAGATACTTATCGAGAACATCGTCAGGTGCACAGAACTGAAGCTGGTCCACAGGCTCTGATCACAGGTCCCCGTGCCTTTGAGAGGATCAAGGGATTAAAAATCCACAATTTTTTAGATGACCCTCGACTCGAAGTGCTTCACAGTACATTCAGTCAAGATGTATTGTACTGTTAAGCATTTCGAGTGGGGGTCATCTCACAATTATTATTTTTTAATCTTTAATCCTCGCAAAGACACGAGTGCCTATGGCTCTGAGTCCTGTTATTAGTTCAGCAAATCGGAACGCAGCACACAATCCCATATATTCTACAACATATCTGCAGGATTATGACTCACCGTGTGTCTGTACATGTACGGTTCCATTGGCTTGCCCTACGTTGTTCTCAGCCACACAGGTGTAGTCGCCACTGTTGTCCTTAGTTACATAGGCAAGTCTTAGGTTGTTCCCGTCTGGCTTAGCATTGAAAATATTCTGTGGAAGAAAATTGGATAACTGAACATTCAAAAGTATATGACGTACAGCAATAGCAGTGATGCATACCTCTCTTTTGAGTGCTAAAGTGACAGGAATTGACTATGCTTATATGTTTTCAGCTTGCTAAAAGAATTCGTAATGCTGAAATAAAAAACGGGGTGATTAGTGTACACTGTTTACAATAAAATAAATAGAGAATCTCACCCAAGTGTCTTCTGATATCAATTATATCAACACGAGTTGATAAAGTTACAAATATCCGAGGCTTGCCGAGGATATTTTTACTTTATCAACGAGTGTTGATATATTTGATATCAGAAGACACGAGGGTGAGATTCTATTTATCATCCAAAATCACTCTTCATTAATTTTCAATGAAAAATGTACATCTCTGGACATGGTACTGCCATTAGACTTGCAGTGCAGCGATGTCATAGCATTGTGACGTCATCAAGTACATGACGTCATAACATTGTCAGGGCATTGTACAAAGTCTACTGTCAAAACGATATCTCTTAGGAGATATCGTTTGATCTCACACAAGCGATATCTCCTGTGGAACACAGTTTTGGATGATAAAATAAGATAAGAGCTAAATTAAATGGAAATATTCCTTCATGTCATTAACTAACACACTGTATACCTGTTTGTCATAATACCACGTGACTCTTGGTTCAGGCACCCCTGTGACATTACATGAGAGAATGACGTCTTTCCCCGTAAATGCATTGACGCTCTGACTTGGGTTTGGAATGTGTGGTGCAACTGAAGGCAAAAGAAACATGTGCCAGTTCCACAACAAGTGACGACTTTAAATCGATTGCTTAAATCGTGCCATGATGAATAACGGAACACATGCATCAGACATCTCACCTCTTGGTTCTGTTGTAGTGACCGTTGTTGCTTCAGTGGTTGCTTCTTGTCTGTAGGTTCCTGGTCTGGCTGTAGACTGGCCGGTGGTCATTGCAGAGGAGGAAGGGGAGATAATTTGTGACAGTAAGCCAGTAATAGACGTTTGTGTGATGGAAGCAGCAGCAACTGGAAGCGACATCAAGCTGGATGTTGGTGATGAGAGGAAAGGAGTAAATGACGTTGGACCTGATAGAGATGCTGTGGGATGGGAAGAAATGTGTTTATTCAGTGAGCTTTGTGAGGAAAGAAGGTATGCTCCTGACGACACGCTTGGAGCTGAAACAGACATTTGGAAGGTGGGTGATACACTTGGCAATGCCACAGATGATGAAGAAACACCTGTTCTTAACTGTGATGACGATATCGTGCTGGTAGGTTCTATAGCAGGTGCTGGGCTACTTGATGTCATCATAGATGAGGACACGCCCCTTGAGGAAGCATAAGTACCTGCACTTGCCTGTGATGAAGATTTTACACTGGAAGGGAGTGAGGTCATTGCCAGTGAAGGTGATGGGCTACTTGATGTCATCCCAGATGAGGACACGCCCCTTGAGGAAGCATAAGTACCTGCATTTGCCTGTGATGAAGATGTTACACTGAAAGGGAGTGAGGTCATTGCCACTACTGATGTCATCCCAGATGAGGACACGCCCCTTGAGGAAGCATAAGTACCTGCATTGCCTGTGATGAAGATGAAGGTGATGGGCTACATTGATGGTCACTTGATGTCATCCCAGATGAGGACACGCCCCTTGAGGAAGCATAAGTACCTGCACTTGCCTGTGATGAAGATGTTACACTGGAAGGAAGTGAGGTCACTGGAAGGAGGACACGGCCCTTGAGGAAGCATAAGTACATTTGCCTGTGATGAAGATGAAGGTGATGGGTCTACTTGATGTCATCCCAGATGAGGACACGCCCCTTGAGGAAGCATAAGTACCTGCACTTGCCTGTGATGAAGATGTTACACTGGAAGGGGAAGTGAGGTCATTGCCATTGGAGGTGATGGGCTACTTGATGTCATCCCAGATGAGGACAGGGAGGAAGCATAAGTACCTGCACTTGCCTGTGATGAAGATGTTACACTGGAAGGAAGTGAGGTCATTGCCATTGAAGGTGATGGGCTACTTGATGTCATCCCAGATGAGGACACGCCCCTTGAGGAAGCATAAGTACCTGCACTTGCCTGTGATGAAGATGTTACACTGGAAGGGAGTGAGGTCATTGCCAGTGAAGGTGATGGGCTACTTGATGTCATCCCAGATGAGGACACGCCCCTAGAGGAAGCATAAGTACCTGCACTTGCCTGTGATGAAGATGTTACACTGGAAGGAAGAAAGGTCATTGCCAGTGAAGGTGATGGGCTACTTGATGTCATCCCAGATGAGGACACGCCCCTTGAGGAAGCATAAGTACCTGCACTTGCCTGTGATGAATGATACACTTACACCAGTGAAGGTGATGGGCTACTTGATGTCATCCCAGATGAGGACACGAGTAGAGGTCATAAGTACCTGCACTTGCCTGTGATGAAGATGAGTGAGGTGCCATGAAGGTGATGGGCTACTTGATGTCATCCCAGATGAGGACACGCCCCTAGAGGAAGCATAAGTACCTGCACTTGCCTGTGATGAAGATGTTACACTGGAAGGGAGTGAGGTCATTGCCAGTGAAGGTGATGGGCTACTTGATGTCATCCCAGATGAGGACACGCCCCTAGAGGAAGCATAAGTACCTGCACTTGCCTGTGATGAAGATGTTACACTGCACTTTGCCTGTGATGGGCTAATGTCATGATTAAGTACCTGCACTTGCCTGTGATGAAGATGTTACACTGGAAGGGAGTGAGGTCATTGCCATTGAAGGTGATGGGCTACTTGATGTCATCCCAGATGAGGACACGCCCCTAGAGGAAGCATAAGTACCTGCACTTGCCTGTGATGAAGATGTTACACTGGAAGGGAGTGAGGTCATTGCCATTGACTGTGATAAGGAACTTGTTGCCATCATAGTCAACGCTACCTTTGAAGAAGCAACAGGCGGCAGAAACTGGCTTTGAGAGGTTGGTATTACATCAAAGGATGAATGTGAACTGATTATGTTGCCTGACTGGGTGTTAGTTTGTATAGAGTTTAAGGGGACATGTGTTACAAATGAGGGGGTCATGACCATTAAAGGTGTTGTCAAAGATACCACATTGTGAATGTTTGACATGGTGGATGGCAGAGGCGGCAGTGACAGCAAGGAAGACTGTGTTGGCGCTATAGTTGCACTTGAGCTCAACGATGTTGATGGTGTCGTGATTACCGCTGTGGAGTTAACAATCCCAAAGTCCACTGGAATATTGAAAGTTGTGTTAGACATCGTAATTCCAATGAAAATATCACATTAATGAGTGGTTATTCAAAGTAATTATTCAAATTATGTAACAGTTCAAAGTACACCATGATAACCTCTAATATAATGTCCATGGTCCCTGCTATGGTGATCTGCCTTCTGTTGTTGGCAATCTGTAGCCTGTTCTTATATTGTATTGTCCACATAGTACTATTACTTTTAACTTTCCACATTAGTTTTAATTGTAATTGTGATGTACTAGTTGTTTTAATGTCCTTTGACGACAGTTTTTTTTTATAATATACACATACATGTATTCCTTTTCAATGTCAAATATGTTCTCGTCACGATATGGCTGAAATATTGCCGATGTGACGTTAAATATAAACTCACTCACTCTAATATAATGTGGACTAAAATATATGTTTGGTTGAGTTTTTTTATCTTAGCTAGATTTTCATGATTAAATTCGCAGTCTACATTACCATTGGCAGATCCATTGAGAAACTGTGCCTTGCCTTCAGGTCTAAACATGAGAATTGATATAATTTATTGATTGTAAAATGATTGTGATTGTGCGAATAATGCTCTAAATCGACATCAACGTAATAACAATTATGTGACATATACACTATGCATTTATATTTTATTATTCCCCTACCTTTAAGGAGAATATAACCAAGACTAGACACTTGGTAACTAGAATAATCAGCAATTACAACAATACAAGGAGAAAGTGAGCACCATGAATATTTTTCAGTTGCAAGATTTTATATTTTTATGTGATTATATAAATCAGGTTAAACAATACGTTATGCTAATAACCTGAGATTACATAAAACGGCATTACATCGATTAACATCACAAAGACCACCGTACCGGATGACCCACGTTACCGGGCCTGGATTTGTGTCGATGACACCCACTTCTCTGGCTGACGCACATATAAATTCATCCTGAAAGTGAAACATGATCTAATGTATCAATATTGCAACCCATACGCTGAGTAAAATACAATGTGAGTGAGTGAGTCAGTTTAGTTTTACGCCGCTTTTAGCAATATTCCAGCAATATCACGGCGGGAAAAACAATGTGAATACCTATAGCTGAATTAACATAAGACATGTGTGTCGGGTTGTTCTATGGTATTGTCAATAAATGCTGACATATCGTAAATATGTCCATTGAAAGAGAAGTACCACACACGAAGAAGCACCCGTCAAATCAGTTTGAACATAGTATGTGTTAACAGTATGCCCATCGTAACTCGCGTATTGAGAGTCCATCATCTTACCAGGTTAAACTCGCGAGTAATGGGAGATCCATCTGGTCCGGTGTGGCCTGATGGACACTGTGCTCTAAAACAAAAACAGAGAAGAATATTAATTACACGCATATTCGGGGTTATAACCACTAAATGGTGACTACATAAGGAATATGCATTGTACATGATGTTTCTTGGAGACAACCGTTATTTCAACAGATCAATGTTCGACACAATGGTGTTTCACTGTAAACAGCATTTGTTATTCGCGTTAATCATCCCAAGATAAAAGATATTTCCAATACAAATTGTATACTGAATGACACATGAGCAAAACGAAAACGTTTGCACCTGAGATGATGAAACCTGGCGAGACCCGAGAAGATCCGGGTTAGAATTGATCTTCAGTAACCCATGACTGTCGTAAAAGGCGACTAACGGGGTCGAGTGGTCAGGCTAGCGGACATGGTTGACACATGTCATCGTATCCCAATTGCGTAGATCGATACTCATGCTGTTGATCACTGGATTGTCTGGTCAAGACTCGATTATTTACAGACCGCCGCCATATAGCTGGACTATTGCTGAGTGCGGCGTAAAACTAATCTCAAGAACTGAAATCCGATAGACTGCTCAAACTTTAGATCAATAGAGAGTTCCTCATTACAGCAAAATCACATTACAAATAATGTTTCATTTTTTGGCATGTTTAATGACTAGCAAGATTGACCATCAACAATAAATAATTTTCCGTAAATATAGATGCATATCACTTGAATCATATCATTTGAATGGACCTTCAGAACTAGACTCAAATGACCTATTAACAGAAGCACGCAATCTGTTTGTTTGGAAGACACGTACACTAAGTATTGATTGAAAAGATTTGTGTCCGAAAAGTGTTGTTCAATGAGACTTCAACAGTCCTTGGATTAAAGTACAAACAGAAATACGACGTCCATGTATCCTGACACGTACTGGAGGCAATGGTGGACGATGCTCATTCTAAAGATTTCACCAGGGGAAGGATCCGAGAAGATCCGGGTTAGAATTGATCTTAAGCAACCCATGCTTGTCGTAAGAGGCGACTAACGGGATCGGGTGGTCAGACTCGCTGACTTGGTTGACACATGTCATCGTATCCCAATTGCGTAGATCGATGCTCATGGTGTTGACCATTGGATTGTCTGGTCCAAACTCGATTATTTACAGACAGCCGCTCTATAGCTGGAATATTGCTGGGCGTAAAAACTAAACTCAAATGGGGAAGAAAAAAGAAAGCCTTAAATACGTATATGTACCAAACAGGTTTACAACTTTTGAAACACCCAAGCAACCTTTGAAAACATGATCCAGCAAGAATTGTCCGGGATAGATTCCCCAGGCGATACATACATCTATGAATGTTTGCATTATTGCTCACTTACTGGAATGCCTTCAAGGGCGTGGTGCTGATGTTGCTGAATGGAACCTGCCCATCGACTGGCGTAGTAACATTGATCGCAACTAAACAATCAAAAACAATGCTTGTATAACAAAACCACATGTTGTAGTAATATGTCTATAATATGTACATAAATTATCTTCATTAACATCATCATTGTCCATATATTTACCCGAAGTAAATTCAATGCAAATTAAAAATCAGTATGATAACAGTGTTTGTAAGGAACAGTCATCGTGGTTTATCAAGCAGTTCTTACCTGCCTGGTAGGCTGTAGCTGAAGTTTATCAAGCAGCTCTTACCTATCTGGTAGGCTGTAGCTGAAGTTTATCAAGCAGTTCTTACCTATCTGGTAGGCTGTAGCTGAAGTTTATCAAGCAGTTCTTACCTATCTGGTAGGCTGTAGCTGACGTTTATCAAGCAGTTCTTACCTATGTGGTAGGCTGTAGCTGACGTTTATCAAGCAACTCTTACCTATCTGGTAGGCTGTAGCTGAAGTTAATCAAGCAGTTCTTACCTATCTGGTAGGCTGTAGCTGACGTTTATCAAGCAACTCTTACCTATCTGGTAGGCTGTAGCTGAAGTTTATCAAGCAGCTCTTACCTATCTGGTAGGCTGTAGCTGAAGTTTATCAAGCAGTTCTTACCTATCTGGTAGGCTGTAGCTGAAGTTTATCAAGCAGTTCTTACCTATCTGGTAGGCTGTAGCTGACGTTTATCAAGCAACTCTTACCTATCTGGTAGGCTGTAGCTGAAGTTTATCAAGCAGCTCTTACCTATCTGGTAGGCTGTAGCTGAAGTTTATCAAGCAGTTCTTACCTATCTGGTAGGCTGTAGCTGAAGTTTATCAAGCAGTTCTTACCTATCTGGTAGGCTGTAGCTGACGTTTATCAAGCAGTTCTTACCTATGTGGTAGGCTGTAGCTGACGTTTATCAAGCAGTTCTTACCTATGTGGTAGGCTGTAGCTGACGTTTATCAAGCAACTCTTACCTATCTGGTAGGCTGTAGCTGAAGTTAATCAAGCAGTTCTTACCTATCTGGTAGGCTGTAGCTGACGTTTATCAAGCAACTCTTACCTATCTGGTAGGCTGTAGCTGAAGTTAATCAAGCAGTTCTTACCTATCTGGTAGGCTGTAGCTGAGGTTTATCAAGCAGCTCTTACCTATCTGGTAGGCTGTAGCTGAAGTTAATCAAGCAGTTCTTACCTATCTGGTAGGCTGTAGCTGAAGTTAATCAAGCAGTTCTTACCTATCTGGTAGGCTGTAGCTGACGTTTATCAAGCAGCTCTTACCTATCTGGTAGGCTGTAGCTGAAGTTAATCAAGCAGTTCTTACCTATCTGGTAGGCTGTAGCTGAAGTTAATCAAGCAACTCTTACCTATCTGGTAGGCTGTAGCTGAAGTTAATCAAGCAGTTCTTACCTATCTGGTAGGCTGTAGCTGAGGTTTCACCATTTGTAGCGTTACACACGTATACACCGTCGTACTTCAACATGTTGGCCTCTGTGATTCCCATAATCAGTATCTCCGCAGAACTTATGTGGTGATAGGATTTATCAGCGCTGATATCTTCGCCATATTTACTCAAGGTAACTGAAGGTGGAGGAATTCCTTCTCCTACGCATTTCAATCTGGCAAACCTCATTCCTGGGGTGATGACAACTATGGCAGGCTCCCCTTTCACAGATACAGGTTCTAAAACATAAGAGTCATAATCATCATGGACCCGTGAAGGTCCGGGTTAGAATGAGCCTTCAGTAACCCATGCTTGTCGTAAGAGGCGACTAGGGGGATCGGGTGGTCAGGCTCGCTGACTTGGTTGAAATTGGTTCCCAATTTCGCAGATCGATGCTCATGCTGTTGATCACTGGATTGTGCGGTCCAGACTCGATTATTTACAGATCACTGGATTGTGCGGTCCAGACTCGATTATTTACAGACCGCCGCCATATAGCTGGAATATTGTTGAGTGCGGCGTAAAACTAAACTCACTCACTCACTATAACCATCATGAATTGACATGAAAATACAAACTAAATGTGTATGTGTCAGCATCAATTCCACAGTCAACATGTCACAGTCAGATTCTGAACAATATTTAGCGAACTTCAACCACCTTGCCAGAGGTACAGATAAGCTGCGTATCTTCGTTAATTACGTAGATATGTATGTGAAAACTCGATTCCTGCGAATACTATTGGGTAGAAGTACGCTTGAAGGTTTGTAAATACTCAATAAATTTAATCTAACATGCGTACAAACGAAAATAGATAAAATAACTGAGGTATATTGAGAGGTTCTATTTCAGCACCAGAACCTGCCAACTTGCAGTTTTACTTATCGTTTCTCATGCAACAGATCAAATATAAAGGTAACACATTTGTAGGAGAAAGCACATGGAATAAATCAGGGAAAGAAACCTTTCAAAATTTCCCACTAGATCACAGGACCAGTGAGTGGACAATGATTAGTGGTCGTGTCTGTACTTCACTGGTACAAAATAACATTCGTAGATTTACGTAACTATCAATACAAAATTCACTGGCCACCAGGACCACTGCAAACTTATCATTTAGTGGTCCTGGTGAACTTTTACTAGCCTGGGACAACAGGACCAGCGTAAATTTCGCACACTGTAAATGGGTGCCAGTATCTATGGCTCAATAATGGCGTGACTGTTGCCATCGGCAGTAAGGAATAGTAACTCAATACCTGTAACATGCAGATGGACAACACCCTCTTTTGTTCCCAGTGAGTTGTTAGCTTCACATCTGTACACCCCTTCGTTGTTCTTCAAAACGGACGATATGGCCAGCGTTGATTCCTTTGGGTGGGCATTAGGGTTTACCTATAGTACAGAAAATATTCACGTTAACTCTTTATACATTGGTAAATTTTTATCACATGTTCAAAAAGACATACGTTTTTTCAGCAAAACGATAATTCAGTTTCTTTCACTGCATTATTCTTGACCAACTTTCAGCAATACATAAGCATATTCAGTCATTGGAACTGCTTTTAAGAAATATTACATCCTTGCTTTAAATGTGTTTAAGAAGCTGATGCTGGCAGGAGTGAAAATTGATATGATTATGAGAGATAATGTATCTGTATTGTTTCCTATATTCAACATTGGTAACATGCAATGGTCAGACAGACAATAGTTAAGATATATTTACAGAATATATCACATATTTGGTCCTTTAATCTCTTACCGACTGGTCATATATCCAGGTGACTGATGGGGTCGGGTTGCCACTCACATTACAGAATAGGAGAACAGTTTTCCCAAGGGCTGCATTCACCGTCTGGTTTGGGTTTAATATATCGGGGGCAGCTTCAAAAACAAACAAAATACATCACGCATATGGAATCTGTGGCCCGTTGTCAACGACGACAACAATGTCAATAAGAACGGCTGTACTCTTAGGCGTTAAGAGGTTTGTATCAATGAAATTATACTGATTTTTGATACATGGATCACTGAAGTCCGAAACGACTGATTATTGTATAAAGAGCGAATCAGCGAGAGCAACAGTACAACACTAATATCTTATTAAATACTGACTTTCTTCCATGAATAGCATACTAGTTCAGATATATGGTGAAAGGCTAAATAAAAAGAATGACAAACAAGCCACACATAGCAACTTGTCATTACAATAGCACAAATGTGTGTCATGGTACTATATAACAAGACGGAATGTGGAATGGGTAATACACTCCATGAAAAGGTCGGCGATGAGATTGCTAAAATTAAAATATGCTTGAGAAACACACTGAAACTGAAAAACCAGGATATTTAACATGGACATCGTTTTATTAAGTGTTCCAAATCGTTACTGAATTTGAAACTATATGCTAGATAGATCTGTGGCTTGTGATTGGAAATAAATTAAATAAGATCTATTTTACAGCAGCCGTCAGTTGTGTAATCGGATCTAAGGTCCATGAGAAATGTCTGGAGACACAATACATCATTCAGCTTAATATCGAGACCTGAATGTATAGAATGTTCAGAATGTATAAGTAAACGATGGAAACGCCTGCATCCGTATAGAGCACGCCAACGAGCCCGATTACGTGCTCTCTTGAATTGTTTCAGGAGCGTTAAACACGGAAGGGCATTATGAAACATACTCAGAGGTGGAGTAGATGTAGCTGCTGATGACGCAAGTGAAGAACCGGTTGTTGATGCCGGGGAGACTGCAGTGGAACTAAAGTGTTCAAAATCCACTGAAAATCAAACAGAAATTAGGGTTTCATGTAATCACACACTATAGAATAACATGGTAGTGCGCAGTGCTGAAAACTTCATATATACATCTGTATTACAAAGTTAATAGGAATTTATAACAATTTAATCTCTGAATCTGAATTAAATATTTGTTCTTTAAGATTTTCTTCTCTATATACCACTTGGTAACGAAATATAGCATTTTGTAATTTAAGTTAATTCCTCTGTATATCACTGTATAAGTCATGTTACCATAAGGTTGTAAAGCTCCTTACCATTCACGGATCCATTTAAGAACTGTGCTTTGCCATCAGGCCTGAATAACAAACATCGATCAATATAAAAATTGTTTAACTTCAACATATTCGGAAATATTATCTACTGAATGTATGCGTCTTAAAATGATTAACTTGACAGTAGGCGACAAACAAGTCCATCAACATCGATATACGTTTATGATGAACGCAGTGCACATAACTCGCATACCTGACAAGCCACGTGACCGTGCCAGCATCCGAGTGAATAAGCCCTACTTTCCTTGCTGAGGTGCATATTGGCTCACTCTATAGCAACATATGAAAAAAAGACATTTTTAAACACCTGCATTGATATAAATTAGCTTGTTGTATAAAACAGATATTTTTACAATTTCACACTTTGATATTTCAATTTCTGAGGCACTTGATTTATTCAAAATTCTAGTGGAACAATCTCCCGTAATGAACTTTGATCAGATCTGTGATATGTGTAAGGGTATGTGTGTTGTGTTCCTGTTGAATCTTTGATGGTACGATGTTTGTTAATGTTTATTGTGCATTATTGCAGTTCATAGAACACATCATTATTGACTCAGAATATGTCCGGGTCATTATTTGATCTAACTTGGTAAATGATGTAAGTGAAGTAACCAAATCGATTCAATCAATATCCCATGTCACGAACTGATGTCTTGATAATGTATTGCCACACTTCCAGCGTTCGTGATCTTGTCGATCGGGGAAAGGGACCAAGAGTGCTAAAATACATCGGTTATACAACAAATATACTGAAATGAATTCATATGACTCCATGGTTATACCATCCTCGATAATCTCCAGGGTATACGTTCCGATGAATCTCCACTATACCCTGGATGCATCTACGGCTCGGGTCGATGATTTTATTACCTCCCTTGGTTGGCTTGTTATCCAATCAGGTGTCTACGCTGGGAAGTTGAGCGTAACATTCACAACTAACATTCACTTTTTAAATTATCTAACCGATTAAACTTGACAACACAATAATATATTGATGCAGAGGTACTCTGAAAAAGGTAGGACTTCTTGCATATATTTTTTTAAGGTTTCAGAACCTGTCAATTTGTGTGTATGTTTTCCCCCCAAATCTGAGTGGCGCTGCGAACAAACCTTCGCGACTGCGACCGCTATCTTTGTAGGCACTGGCAAGCTCGGTTGTAACGGCGGCTTATCTGGCTGGCCCCTCTGAGAATGCGGAGCCAGTAAAGGGAGGTAATAAAATCATCCGAACCGTAGATACATCCAGGGTATAGTGGAGATTTATCGGAACCTTTACCCTGGAGATTATCGAGGATGTGGTTATACGCAAATCGACAGTACTTGAGATGTCCCGAAATGTTGTAGGGACATTAACATCCCATCTAATTGGGACTTCACTCCGTCGATAACGAGAAGAGGTCATGAGTCGTAGTGTCTGGATTCCACAGAATCATGCCGGTAGCCAGTATTTTGATATTTTCGTTAAGTTACAATTACTCACTTGTTCCTTGAGTATGACGAATCAAAAACACTTCTTACCAGGTCAAACTCAGTAGTGATGGGAGACGCGTCAGGAACCATACTTCCAGGCGTACAAAAGGCACTGAATTAAACAAAGCATACACTTATTACGAGAACACACACACAGATAACAATAAGTTGTTTGCTTCTCTCGAGGGTAATACGGTCTGATGTACTGATTTTGTAGCAGTGGTAGGCGAGGGATGACACTACTACAAAAAGGCGTACATCAAACCGTATTACCCGAGGGAGAAGCTTACAACGCATTTATCTTACCGTCATGTTAAATTGTTAAATGTACAAAATATCACTTGTTATATCCGATGCATAAGTTCATATATAGAGCGAGATGTGACACTGCTACTATGTGAACACAAATATATCCATTTCACATAGAGATGAAGACATTATCCACGGATGTGAAAGTAAATATGAAAATATCATTTTATTTTATTTTGAAGATCGATAAGCTCGCTGCCGACTATATGACTTATAAACAAACTGGCGTCTGCCTCTCGACTGGAGTTTTTTAAATCAGTGAAACATATTCTGACAAGCTTAAAACTGCTGTAAAAATGGTAAGGTATGTTTAAGTTCAGTGTGCCAACGATACAATGTGTAACATATTTTAAATAGAGTAGTTAAAGTCGTTAAAATAAATGTGTACACAGTGAACTCAACAACAGCTAATCGAACGGTTTTCGGACTAGGGGCACTGCATGCGTCAAATTATGACGTCATACGATTGTTAGCGATGCAGATTCTGGGCGGAGAGTTTGGAGTTATGTATCAAAATTATGCAAATAAACATAGTAAAACACATGTTACTGACCAATCATCTTCCCTTGACAAGTTACATTTGGTAGTTCTATTTGGTAGTATTCCATAACCCGATGTGTGAGGAGACGTGTAAATGGAACTAATTATAGGAACAAAGATTGTACATACTGGAATGCTTTCAATGGCGTTGAGCTGATATTATCAAATGGGTGGTTCTCTCCAAGCATCTCTGTAACATTGACCGCAACTGTAAAAACAAAATGTTTATTATTAGAAATCATACTCGGTTGTGTTTGTTATTTTACCCCGGGGGCAGCGATATTTAAACAGCCTGGCGCAGGGTGTGCCCTTAACCATAAAATGTTGCGGGTCCTGATCAGAATGTGTAGGCCCTATATTTTAGCTACAATATAAGTAATTCCCAGCAAACAAAGAATGAACGTGACAGCTAACAAACTGAGTTTGTTTTTTAGCTAAAGAGCTAAAGAGTTAAAGAGTTTAATTTAACTCTAGCGGCTGACTAGTGAAAGCGATACCCTGTCAGTGTATGGAGCTTGCAATGCATTCGGATAAATTGTTCGACAGAGGTACAGATAAGCTGCGTATCTGCGTAAAGTACGTAAATATAATTATGTGAAAACTCAATTTCTGTGAAGACTATTGGGTACAAGTACGCTTGAAGGTTTGTAAATACTCAAATATTTAATCTAACATGCGTACAAACATTAATAGATAAAATAACTGAGGTATATTGAGAGGTTCTATTTTCGCACCTGAACCTGGCAACTTGCGTTTTTTTATTTTTGTCTCATATAACAGATAAAATATAAATAACAAACATGTAAACCAACATTTAAGCTCGATTATATTTTTACAATTAATGGAAAATGGCACAATCCCCAATTGAGTTTGAGTGAGATGGGTACAGTTTATTTGGTTACTCAAAGGAAAATTAGGATACCGAGTTGAGATGAACACAAGCGAGTACATAACTCAGTGATCCAAATAGTTATAGCTCTGGTTCGAGGTTAAAAGATAATATCTCAGTAATCTAAACTGCTTCCTCGAAAATGACAGTCGTCTAACTTACAGGCAACAGTTGCTGATCGAAATAAATACTAGAAATTACGGAATGATATTTTCTGAAAAATAATACTCTTAGTTACTGGGGATAAAACTGTCGGCCATAACGACCTGCAGAAAACAAAAGCTGTGGGTCTAAGTGGTTTTCAGTCGGCTTCGGGCCTAAGGACGCTGGCCTGGAGACTTTAACATCTCGAGTCTTGCCCAGACTTTATTCTGTATGCAGCGACACATGCCCTCTGGGCATTAACAAGCAGTAAACAACGTCACTGAACACCTTACGACAAGTTACTGGGAACCCGTGGTATAGCGCTTTCCCGCTTGTTCAACGCATATTCCGTTCGTTGGCTCTTGTTTTTTTAAAGGTTAATAATTCATTTATATAGCGCCTAGTATCCATCTCACTAGCTGCTCACTGGACGCTGTCATCAGTATCTGATCTTTATTACCCCGGATAACCCAAGCTGCCTGTTAGGCGCTAGAAGGTTATAGTCACATGACTTTATCCAACCGGTCACCCGTTTTCTGCTGGGTGAACAGAGGCAATTTTGAACATTTTTTAATCAATTGTCTAAGGTGAGAGCACATGTATCACATGTGCTTAGTTGTGCGGTAGTCCTAGAAACTCTCAGGAATCAAGCGGCCAAACGCGGTCTCCCATCCAAGGACAGTCCGAGCTCGACGTTGCTTAACTTCAATTGATTCGTCACCTGAGGCGCTACGCACAGGGCCACACACCGCCACAAAGTTCAGTTGACTTGAAGTAAAACTTATTGTAAAGAGTACAACAATGAACTTACTGGAAGGAAAACACGTTTAACAATTGTAATATGTATTAGGATTTTGGCAGAGATGTCTATGGAAAGGTGCCTCTATTTACCTATCTGGTTGGCTGTAGCTGATGTTTGACCATTTGTAGCGTTACACACGTATACACCGTCGTACTTCAACATGTTGGCCTCTGTGATTCCGATGATCAGGAACTCAGCAGGACCCAAATTATGATAGGATTTATCAGCGCTGATATCTTCGCCGTATTTACTCAAGGTAACTTTAGGTGTAGGAATTCCTTCTCCCACGCATTTCAGCCGAAGAGGTTTCAGAGGGGTGATCACCATAATAGGAGGCACAGCTTTCACAGAAACGGGCTCTGCATTGAAACACAAAAGTTGGGGAATTATAAATATGCATAATTGATAGAATGACCATCTTTCTAGGAAGGTGTAGTAGTTAGAGCATCCGCCCGGAGAGCGGAAGGTCGCGGGTTCGATCACAGATCGCGTCACACCAAAAGACGTTAAAATTTGGTACTTGTTGGTCCCTGCCTGGCGCTCGGCATTAATGGGTACAACAAGGACTGGTCGGCTCGGAGTCAGTATAATGTGTCTGAGAGGGGTATTCGTGCTTCACTGCGGCATGGTATCTCAGTGGGCTAGCACTATAAAACCAGCTTAAGTCTGGGCTAGTACAAGTAGCCGCACAAACACATACACATGCATGCACGTCGTCATATGAGCGAAATATTCTCAAGCACGACATAAAACCCAATTTCACCTTACCTCACCTCATTTTTCAATCACGGTGAAAACGGAAGAGAACCCGGAAGAGAATGCAATGAACAATCTGGATAAAACCAGGAAACTGTCAGGTTGAATGAGGAAGTTGATCATAGGGTTCCTGTACGTCTAGTTGTTGCAGTATGCAACTGTCCACAACGAATTCGGGCGTCTTTGTGGCTCCCATGTAACCCCACCAGAATCAGCCACCAACGTCACGGCCTCCCCGACGTCTTAGACGTCAAGGTCAATGGTTTACGTCATACGTATTCTTGCCTTATCTTTGCCTAAATTTATCATTAAAGCTATTCCCTGATATGCACCAGTATTTGTTTCGATGCAATAAGCATCTGCATAAAGTATTTGTGACAAGATATTGGTGGTCATTAAGTCACCTGTGACATGCAGATGAACTATGCCCTCCTTGGTTCCTAGTGTATTGTTAGCGACACATCTGTAGATGCCCCCGTTCTTCTCGTTCACGGACGATATAGCCAACGTCGATCCTCTGGGGTGGGCGTTAGGGTTCACCTGTTAAGGAGGAAAATGGGATTTTCAACCAGTACCATTTTCTCATTCAGACATAAAATACTTGTTTCCTGAAATTTCATCATTCCGTTCCTATTCTGTTCTTAAAAATGTAACCCCGGATAACAGCGAAGGACAATATGAGGCAAATTAAAATATAAACCTGGGACTGCCAATGCATTTGAATAGTAAGCTTCAATACATCAATGTATCATGTGAAAAGATTAATTGGCAATTGTACCCCTCACACACGTGCACGTTGTTCTGCGGTCTGTGTTGACAGAAGGGACTACTGAAAGGCTTCAACAACAAATACAGTACAGCCAGAAATTATTGAGAATTTAAAGATTGTAATTTTTTAAAAAAATTTTACTCATTACTCATAATTTAATGAGAATATTAGCAGAACATAACTCCAGATTCAAAGACAGGTGAACAGTTAGTATTTTGTCAAATCACCATGGGCAGCAATGCAGGCTTCAATGCAGCGGGGCATACTACTGATCAAAGAAGTTAGAAAGTCGCGGTCCATGCTGTCCCAATATCGGGCCACCTCTTCTTTCATTTCAGCAATATTTGTCAGATTTTTCTTATTGACACTTTCCTTCATAAGTCCCCACACATTTTCTATTGGATTTAGGTCAGGGCTATAGCTTGGCCAATCTAATAAATGTCATATTTTGGGTCCGAAACCAGGCCTGTGAATGCTTTGAACGATGTTTTGGGTCGTTGTCCTGCTGGAAAATCCAACAATTTCCATAGAACACGTAAGCAGATGGATGTAAATGTTCCTCGAGAATATCTGTGTACCGCTCACTGTTCATATTCCCTTCAAATACACAGAGGGGCGTTGCCCCTAACACAGATATGCCACCCCACACGTTAAATTTCGGACTGTACTTTGGGCGCTGATACAAAGGTTTTTCAGTTTGTTTGGTCCAGAATTTCAGTGTATTAGGAAACAGCCACACAGAACTTTCATCTGAGAAAATCACATTGTCCCAGTAAAAATTTCTATGCCCTAAGCACCAGTTCAACCTTCGCTCCTTTTGTTCAGGTTTCATGATCGGTGATAGAATTCCTCGACTTTTCTGCCAACTCATTGCATGCAGCTCAGTTCTAATTGTCTCCTTACAGACAGTCACAGTTCCTCTATCAATCATATCCAGCCTTAAGTTTTCTAAACTCCTTCGTTTGTTTTTAGAAACAAGAATACCAAGCCGCCTCCTTTCACCGACAGTCAATTTTCTGGGCCTACCTGCGCCTCTCTGGTGCTCAATGCCATATCCATTTGCAATATTTTTCAAAACACGATAAACAGTGGACAAAGGGATGCCTGTTCTACTTGAAAACACTTTAGCTGATCTGATGTCCTTGTTTTTATACTCTATAATCAACTGCTTCTTCTCTAAATCATCCATACTGAGGATCACTGGAAATGTCGTCTGCTAGCAAGTAAACAAAGGGGGATAACTCTTCACAAACTAATGAAAAAGGATTAACGGAGTTGTCTCTCTTGAATGAAACCAAGCATTTGATAGCTGGTCAAAGTTGTTTATACTATAAATCCAATTAAACATATTCCTAAAATTCTCAATAATTTCTGGTCATACTATAGTACGATATTGGTGCACTGTCAAGTCTTAGCCTTCGAAAAGCAAAAATCGTGTATTTTTGTCTGATTCAATGACTCTCCTACCTGTTTGTCGTATGTCCACGTGACGGAAGGCTCAGGGTTGCCGGTTACATTACACAACAGAAGAACAGTTGTACCCAAGATGGCGTTCACAGTCTGGTTTGTGTTCAATATGTGAGGAGCCACTGCAACACACATGCAACACACATGCATCACGTCAGTGAGGATAATTTGCATCATGGCAATACGTCACTACTGCCTCACTGTTAAAAATGAAGAATCACAATCGACCGTTTGATAAACATTTGCCTACCCAACAACCTATAAGTGTATATTTTCGATTTATTTTGAACATAAACGTGTTCCATTTTCAACTGCGAAGAAGTAAGAAGCAGAAAAGACACTACTTCGCATGTCAGAACATACCTTTAATTAAGGAAAACTGATCTGATTCTAATCCAACACAAAACCTTCCATTTGGCCACGTAAGGTGAAATTGGGTTTAACATCACACTTAAGATTATTTCGCTCATATGACTACGTGCATACGTGTGTATGTGTGACTGCTTGTACTAGCCCAGATTTAAGCTGGCTTTATAGCGCTAGCCCACTGAGATACCATGCTGCAGTTAAGCATGAATACCCCACTCAGACACATTATACTGACTCCGGTCCTTGTTTAACCCATTAATGCCGAGCGTCAGGCAGGGACCAACATGTACTTATATTTTAACGTCTATTGGTATGACGCGGCCGGGGATCGAACCCGCGACCTTCCGCTCTCCGGGCGGACGCTCTAACCACTACACCACAGAAGTGGTACTAGTGGACAGAGCTTCTGCACTGAAAGCTGGAGGCTGGTGGTTCGATTCCTGGTTGCGGAAGCAAAGAGACGTTAAAGGTGTCTGTTGTTACCCTGGCTGGCGCTCGGAATTAAGGGGAGAAAACAAGACGTGGTCGGCTAAGACCCTGTACAATATGGTTGAGTGGGAGATCCACGTTAAACTGCGACAGGTGCGTCACTAGGCCGGCTCTATAAACGGAACCGTGAAGATCCGGGTTAGAACTGATCTTCAGTAACCCATGCTTGTCGTAAGGGACGACTAACGAGATCGGGTAGTAAGGCTCGCTGACTGGGTTGACACATGTCATCGTATCCCAACGGCGCAGATCGATGCTCATGCTGTTGATCACTGGATTGTCTAGTTCAGACTCGATTATTTACAGACCGCCGTCATATAGCTGGAATATTGTTGAGTGCGGCGTAAAAACAACAAACACACAACTATAAACGGGTTTTAGTACGCGGAGAAGTACATGCACCTAGGTGTTTGCAATAGAAGAATCTCGAACTTGGCGTCAACTTTCATTTCAAGCGCCTTATTTACAAGCATGGAATTAACAATAACACGACCATCGCCATACTTTTTGAAGAAAATATATTTCAAAACTTACTAGTGGGAAGAGGAGAAGAGTTTGTTGGCGATGTTGAACTTTCAGGAGTTGCAGGAGCTGTAGCTGCCGGTGTTGTAGTCCCAGTCACTGGATTCACGTCAGCGTTACAAAGATCTTCGTTACAACAGCGGAACCCGTCTTCACCCAAAGTCGTCATGTGACCGACACACTCCTGGTAGATATACGAGTGAGTGAGTGAGTGAGTGAGTTTAGTTTTGCGCCGCACTCAGCAATATTCCAGCTATATGGCGGCGGTCTGTAAATAATCAAGTCTGGACCAGACAATCCAGTGATCAACATCTGCCAAGCAAGTCAGTGAGCCTCACTACCAGATCCCGTTAGTCGCCTCTTACGACAAGCATGGGTTACTGAAGATCAATTCTAACCCGGATCTTCACTGGTTACGACTAGAGAGGAGTTGTTTTATCCCCTTTTGTGATATCATAAAAAGCTGTTGGCCACTTATGTAATAAGACAACACAGAACAGGGGTAAAGGAATAATGCAACATTGCCGACATTAAAAAAAAGAATAAATTCCCAATATTTTCCTCAAATACAATCTTTCATGTATTCACACACATTTAATGTCGTTATCAAGGAAGCATTTCGGAAGACTCTGAGTAATGATTACTGACCGTTTTCTCTTCACATCCAAGATCATAGACGGTCATGACCAACTGGAAGATTCTTCTCACTGAACAATACTGGCAAGGAGAAACATGCGACTCTGTTAGCATGGGTTATGTCTCTAACAATAAAGTCAAGCACCCTTAAATTCGTATAAAGACAATGATGTTTGCTTATGAAAAGTTGCGCGCGGTGAAGTAGGATAGTGATTAAAGCGTTCGCTCATCACACCGAAGACCCAGGTTCGATTCCCCGTATCGTTAAATGTGTGAAGCTCATTTCTGGTGTCCCCGGCGTAAAACTAAACTCACTCACTCACTTACTGTGAAAAGTTGCAAAAAAAATAACGTGAGTCCTCAAAGCGAACACACACAAAATTTCTATTCATGACCTGTTCTGCGATAATGTCAATAAGATTGTCAACGTTAGATTGTGACATTTGATAACGCAACTTAGACTCACGTGCACGGGAAATGACAGTATCCAGTACTACATATATTTCAGCAGCCTCTTCATCATCAAAACACACAGCAAACGACAGTGACTATCTCACTATCCATCACACGTATTTCATGTAATATCAAACTTTCGTAAAATCATTGGAAATTCAGCATTTGGAACTTTCATCAAAAGATAGTTAACCAACTTACTGCGTGAGTTTGGTTTTACGCCCTTTTAGCAATATTTCAGCAATATCAGGAAGGAGGACACCAGAAATGGGCTTCACACATTGTAGCCATATCATGTTGGGAATCGAACCCGGGTCTTCGGCTTGACGAGCGAACGCTTTAACCACTAGGCTACCCCACCGCCCCGCTAACCAAATTACGCCTTACCAGTACACCAAAGATCACACACGTTACCGAATAGCTACACAGAGAGAACTAGACCCACCTGGTCTGGCCCGCAGTATGTCTCCTCCTGACAAGAGGATGGCTGTGGAACGAACCCACATTTTTTACATTTCAGGTTTCCTGTTCTGATTGTAGTCGCTGAAAGTATCAAGAGCGACTTGGTAATGCTAACAATGAATCGGGATCAAGTGCGGAGAAAGGTTTCCCGTGGTCCATACATTTAATGACTTGTTTCACTCGTCATAATAATAATTATCACCCGAACCCTCTCTGCTGCATTTTTCATCTTAATCTGTAAAACGTAATAATTGGATATTTCTTGTGCGCCACTGTCCACCCAGAGCATGCCCAAAGCGCTGCATGTAAAGAGTCATTAGAGTTGATGAGGAAAACATGGCAGTTCGTCAGAATAATCAGACAGACAGACTATTTTGGCAGATTTATGTTCTAGAAGTTGTTTAAGAGGTAGTTTTTGAGTCCTGACTTAAATGCCTCGTTTTTTAGATGAACTATTTTTGATGGGAGAAGGAAGACTTTCACACGGTTGGTGCTGCAAATTTAAATGTTATATGTCCAAAGTACGATATAGCGCCATTAGCGCTAACTGTGACGTTAGAAATATTCATAGACTCATTCACATTTAACAAAACATAACGTTTGTAATTGTGTCACGATGAGGAATGTGGATTTACGACGTAGTTCTGTGAATATATATATATATACATATATCAATGGACCATCTGAGGATGATGTTCTTAGCCTATAAAGAAGCTCACTCATCATTTACATATTGTGATTTAAATAATAATAATGTCCTAAAATTATATGTAAACAGTTTCTGTAAGGATTAATTCAGTTACTGTTTACATAATTGACGAATTATTAGAACGTGAATATTCTTAGTCTACTTTGAGGAACTAATTCCATTAAAACTTATCTGCTGTCTGTACATCTTTGAGTAAAATACTGAGATTGATACACTTATGATTTACTTGGTGGAAGAGAAGATGTCTTGGCTGTTGATGTTGATGTTTCAGCAGTTGCAGGAGCTGTAGCTGCCGGTGTTGTACTCCCAGTCACTGGATTCGCGTCAGCGTTACAAAGGTCCTCATTACAACAGCGGATCCCGTCTTCACCCAAAATCGTCATGTGACCAACACACTCCTGGAAGACATACGAATAGAGAATAGCAAATAGAGAAGGATTACATTGCGCGTGGACTGAAAGATATTGACAACATGTGCATCATAATAACACAGGACAGAAAAGGTCACTTGTCTGCTCCTGTGATCATGCGTTTACATTTATATGATATATTTCTACTCTCTTGTGGGAAAATTGTATACTTGCAGGCAGAATGTATTTTCCATTTTCTATCTTGTCTTTTAACATCTGCATATCTGTGTAATTGTTGCTCAAATATATTGTGGACATTTACGACGTACTTGAGATCTGACTGCTTAACGTTTTATATTCAAATCCGAGATCATAGGTAACAAAGCCAAATATGACGACATTTCTCATATAATAAGTCTTTAAGTTTGAGAATTGATCTTCAGTAACCCGTACTTGTAAGAGGCATCTGAAGTGATCGGGTGGTCAGGCTAGCGGACTTGGCTGGCACATGTCATCGTATCCCAATTGCGTAGATCGATACTCATGCTGTTGATCACTGGATTGTCTGGCCCAGACTCGATTATTTACAGACCACCGCCATATAGCTCTAATATTGCTGAGTGCGGCGTAAAAGTAAACTCACTCACTGACTTTCAGTTTTATGTATTCACACACGTATGATATCGTCATCTACGAAGCATTTGGGAAGTCAGTGAGCAATAATTAATTACCGTTTTCTCTTCACATCCAAGATCATAGAAGGTCTGCCCAAATTGGAAGACTTTTTTCACTGAACAATACTGTCAAGGAGAAAGAAGAGCATCTGTTAGCATGCGCGACGTTTCTAAAATTGAACTTAAACACAGGAAATCATACACATACTTCATGTGTACACATACACGACTTTATCGGTGCAAAAACATACAGTGTGTGTGTGTATGTGTGTGTGTGTGTGTGTGAGAGAGAGAGACATAATTTCCATAATATGATCTCGTTTAAGATGCTAAACCACTTTTTTCTATAAATTACATTTTCGATTGTAGCCTTAATAAATGCTAGAAACTCGACTACTATCTAGCAAAATATATTTCAACTTATAAATAGATAATAAATTATTGCGATTAGTCAATTTACAAAAAGACAAAACAAAAAAACTTTCTGGTGAAAAGGGTTACATAAGTAAAGCTAATGAACGTATATTGTCTTTCCTATAACTATACTGATTTAAAACATCGATAATTTGGAATATCATTTTCAGGTATCTGTATCAATATATCGTACCTAATATTACCCCATGATCAAACCACACTTGAGTGAATCTACCGCAACAAACCCTCCCCCTCTTTCCAGGCTTATAGTGGCGGTATACAGCGTTCGCTCAGACGCCGGAATTGCTAAATGCCGCATAAATCTAAACTCGCTCACTCACTCACTCCCAGGATAATAACACTTCCTTCCATGGATGGAATCTCACTCTAATACACGTATATAGAAGATTATGAACGCTACAACCTGACAAGTTACTTATCCAAACATTAGTAGTGAATAAATATTTTACACAGAAAGATCAATTAACTTGAAAGCTATTTTAAATAGTATGTGAGACAAAATAATCATTTTAAAATATCTGTCGACAAAGGACAGAAAAATAGGTAGGTATATCCCAGTTGTAAAATAACATCAACCTGATGAAAATTAAGACAAGAATACAGTAGATTCAATAGATTCATTCAGGCTATAGACCACTAACAGCCAGAGTTGACCACGTTACTGGGGATCAAGGGGACTTACAGTGCTTTTGCTTTCCGTCACACAGAAGACACAGGTTCGATTCCCCACATGGGTACAATGTGTGAAGCCCATTTCTGGTTTCCACCGCCGTGATATTGCTGGAATATTGCTAAAAGTGGCATAAAACCATACTCTCTCACTCGCTCCTACGAAAAACCAAAACAAGAAAGATGTTGGAAATAGAATATTGTAATATACCTTTGGCTTGCTAACTGATACTCCCTTATAAATGTCATGTCATGGCTTGACAATTTATGTTTATATATTTAGGAATGTGTTTGAATGATGTCAAATTTGATCAGAGAGAGCTGACCAATTTTCAGTTTGACAATAATCACATCATTGAATATTCAACTGAAGGGTCACTGACAACTTATGGGAAGTGGAAACATGATATACCTGGTCAGGCCCACACTCTGTCTCACTCTCACATGATGATGGCTGTTCAGCGTACGGACACATTTTGCATTTTATGTTTCCCGTTCTTATTGTTGTTGCTGAAAAAGTCACAATGGACAATAATTATGTAACATTACGTAATGATGTACGCGGGACCCATGTGGTCAGTCTCAGTCTAGTGAATCGGCAAATTGGCCCGCTGAATGTGGTCCAACACCTAACTGAATAAGGGCCAACATGTTTTGTTTATGTTTTATTAACAAGTTTATGATATCACTATCTGAGGAATCCAGGAAAAGGCAGTCACGTGATCATACACAAGAATTCAAAGTGATCAGTCTGGTTTGACTTTGACCATACTTACCCCAGGGTATGACGATGGTTAGCGCTGAATATTGGTTTGACTTTGACCAAACTTACCCCAGGATATTACGATGGTTAGCACTGAATATTGGTTTGACTCTGACCAAACTTACCCCAGGGTATGACGATGGTTAGCGCTGAATATTGGTTTGACTTTGACCAAACTTACCCCAGGATATTACGATGGTTAGCACTGAATATTGGTTTGACTCTGACCAAACTTACCCCAGGATATTACGATGGTTAGCACTGAATATTGGATTGACTTTGACCAAACTTACAGGATATTATTGACCAAACTTACCCCAGGATATTACAATGGTTAGCGCTGAATATTGGTTTGACTTTGACCATACTTACCCCAGGATATTACGATGGTTCGCGCTGAATATTGGTTTAACTTTGACCAAACTTACCCCAGGATATTACGATGGTTAGCGCTGAATATTGGTTTGACTTTGACCAAACTTACCCCAGGATATTACGATGGTTAGCGCTGAATATTGGTTTGACTTTGACCAAACTTACCCCTGGATATTACGATGGTTAGCACTGAATATTGGTTAGACTTTGACCAAACTTACCCCAGGATATCACGATGGTTAGCGCTGAATATTGGTTTGACTTTGACCAAACTTACCCCAGGATATTACGATGGTTAGCGCTGAATATTGGTTTGACTTTGACCAAACTTACCCCAGGATATTACGATGGTTAGCGCTGAATATTGGTTTAACTTTGACCAAACTTACCCCAGGATATTACGATGGTTAGCACTGAATATTGGTTTGACTTTGACCAAACTTACCCCAGGATATTACGATGGTTCGCGCTGAATATTGGTTTGACTTTGACCAAACTTACCCCAGGATATTACGATGGTTAGCACTGAATATTGGTTTGACTTTGACCAAACTTCCCCCTGGATATTACGATGGTTAGCACTGAATATTGGTTTGACTTTGACCAAACTTACCCCAGGATATAACGATGGTTAGCACTGAATATTGGTTAGACTTTGACCAAACTTACCCCAGGATATTACGATGGTTAGCACTGAATATTGGTTTGACTTTGACCAAACTTACCCCAGGATATTACGATGGTTAGCGCTGAATATTGGTTTGACTTTGACCAAACTTACCCTAGGATATTACATGGTTAGCGCTGAATATTGGTTTGACTTTGACCAAACTTACCCCAGGATATAACGATGGTTAGCACTGAATATTGGTTAGACTTTGACCAAACTTACCCCAGGATATTACGATGGTTAGCACTGAATATTGGTTAGACTTTGACCAAACTTACCCCAGGATATTACGATGGTTAGCGCTGAATATTGGTTTGACTTTGACCAAACTTACCCCAGGATATTACGATGGTTAGCGCTGAATATTGGTTTGACTTTGACCAAACTTACCCCAGGATATTACGATGGTTAGCGCTGAATATTGGTTTGACTTTGACCAAACTTACCCCAGGATATTACGATGGTTAGCACTGAATATTGGTTTGACTTTGACCAAACTTACCCCAGGATATTACGATGGTTCGCGCTGAATATTGGTTTGACTTTGACCAAACTTACCCCAGGATATTACGATGGTTAGCACTGAATATTGGTTTGACTTTGACCAAACTTCCCCCTGGATATTACGATGGTTAGCACTGAATATTGGTTTGACTTTGACCAAACTTACCCCAGGATATAACGATGGTTAGCACTGAATATTGGTTAGACTTTGACCAAACTTACCCCAGGATATTACGATGGTTAGCACTGAATATTGGTTTGACTTTGACCAAACTTACCCCAGGATATTACGATGGTTAGCACTGAATATTGGTTTGACTTTGACCAAACTTACCCCAGGATATTACGATGGTTAGCACTGAATATTGGTTTGACTTTGACCAAACTTACCCCAGGATATTACGATGGTTAGCGCTGAATATTGGTTTGACTTTGACCAAACTTACCCTAGGATATTACGATGGTTAGCGCTGAATATTGGTTTGACTTTGACCAAACTTACCCCAGGATATTACGATGGTTAGCACTGAATATTGGTTTGACTTTGACCAAACTTACCCCAGGATATTACGATGGTTAGCACTGAATATTGGTTTGACTTTGACCAAACTTACCCCAGGATATTACGATGGTTAGCACTGAATATTGGTTTGACTTTGACCAAACTTACCCCAGGATATTACGATGGTTAGCGCTGAATATTGGTTTGACTTTGACCAAACTTACCCCAGGATATTACAATGGTTAGCACTGAATATTGGTTTAACTTTGACCAAACTTACCCCAGGATATTACGATGGTTAGCACTGAATATTGGTTTGACTTTGACCAAACTTCCCCCTGGATATTACGATGGTTAGCGCTGAATATTGGTTTGACTTTGACCAAACTTACCCCAGGATATTACGATGGTTAGCACTGAATATTGGTTTGACTTTGACCAAACTTACCTCAGGATCTTACGATGGTTAGCACTGAATATTGGTTTGACTTTGACCAAACTTACCCCAGGATATTACGATGGTTAGCGCTGAATATTGGTTTGACTTTGACCAAACTTACCCTAGGATATTACGACGGTTAGCGCTGAATATTGTTTTAGTCACAGTATATGGCTGACATTGTATGCACTCAAGTTTTGTTCACATTGTTAGTTTTGTTTAAATTATATTTCGCACTCAGTCAGCAATATGCGCAAACAAATCATTTTTCAAGTGAAATTTGAGGCACCGACTGTTTAATTACCGGAAGTAATGACACAGCTATACATATCCCACAGTCCCGCGGCAAAGGTGTATCCCTGTCTGTAAGCCGCTGGTTTCTATGATTGGACATAGCTGGAATACTGCTCACTGTGGCAATATAGAATATCACCTCAGGCCATTTTTTATATCACCCCTGTAACCCTGCACTGCAGGCGTGCAGTGATAGTGATTCTGTACAGCGTGCGCGACAATGATAGTGATCGCATTTTCGAGAATATTTGCGGCAAGTATGTAAACATTCGAGCTCTGTAGTAACATATGGCTGATAAACAGTAATTTTTAGAACTGATGTCAAGCTGAATATTTGGTCGTTTGTCTTTACTTTAACATATTGCTGACGTATATGTTTGTAGTCATGTGGTTTCATTGGTCGGGATGGTGACAATAAAGTCTTATTTGATAATTTATGTAAATACCGGGATTCATATTGACCAAATTATTACAGAATCACCAACTTTTGGCTTCAAAAACACATTGTCTACATTGTGTAGCGTGTCACCCGCTCTGTGAAATGTTATTGTAAATAGATCAAACTGTACATACTTCGAAGGGTTCGTGATCAGTACACAGCAGCGATCGTGATTTTAAGAAACTTGCAGTGATAGTGACTTTCTGTACGGGGTTCCGGGGGTGAATAATTCGCTTAGAATCCCTGTCTCGACATGACAATCCTGGATTCAACAATCCTTATCTGCAAATATTATGTTCTCAGATAATACGATACGCGATACACATTTACCTGCATATAATATGTATTCTAATTAAAAAGCTATGCCCGGGGAAAATATAACTCCGGTGGCTGAGCTGTTGTCTTTAATATCGTGTCGTCTGTTCGAAGAGAGCGTTGATAGAAATTGCGCCCTCTCGGAGACGAGTCATATTAGAGTAGCCTCCCTTGAATATACATCACGAAATGTAACCCGATGTCACATATGGAAATACGTTGGGCAAACAAACCATAGAATTCCACCAGCTACCATTGCCAATTGCCAGTTGGATTTCAAGTGCTAATGCTGTAATTATACTTCAATCTGAAGTTATTCTGACAGAAATATCACGCTATCCATTTCATTAAGGAACAGGGGTAGCTTTGTGGTTGAAGCGTTGGCTCGTCACGATGCAGACTAGGGTTCGATTCAACACATGGCGACAATGTGTGAAGACCATTTCTGGTGTCTCCCGCCGTGATATTGCTGGAATATTGCTAAAAGCGGCGTAAAACCATACTCACTCACCCATTATGGAACCTACTACGATTGATTTAATTATGACCTGGACAAATCGTCTTTCTATTTTACCACCAACGGTCACAAAAATAATTTGCACTTCAAACAAGCCATAATAAGGTGCTGAAATCACCATAATTACCAACTTTGCATGACAGTCGATGTTACCAGGTGGTAAATGGTAAAAATATTTAAATCGGTTAAGATGACGTTTTTCGAAATGAAATGTTCATTATCAGTGAGAGAATGATGTTTAACGCCGCTCACCTGACTAAGCCGGCTTAATAGTCAAGCCGTTCAGTTAAATTATGACTACGTACTAGGCAGAGATGTAGTTGTTGTCGGTGAAGTTGGTGCTGGTGTCAGGTGGTCGTTGTTCTCGTGGCTGTTACAGAAGTCATCATTGCAGCATATGAAGCCCTCATGTACCAGCTGGTCAACACCTTTCATGTGGCCGACACATTGCTGTCATCACAAAACGTCGTTATAGTACAGTCCGTTTGAGACAAAATGATACCGATGAATTGCAATCTAACACAAAAACAAATAGACAAAAAAGAATCAAACCAACGCGGACTGCAATAAAAACAACAGACCAACTCTAAAAACAAATTGCATAATTTGTTTCACAAAAATAAAAAAGTTGTTTGAGAAACTGTCATCATTTATTTGTGCGTTTTCCAAGTTTGTTACAAGGGCGCAGTGGCAACTAAAGGAACAGCGAGATGCGCGTGCATTAGTGACGTCAGAGACATGTGATTACTGGAAAACGCACAAATAAATGATGACAGTTTCTGAAACACCTTTCTTATAGCAGCATATAAGGAGAAACGGTAAATTTTGTTTATGGCATATAACATCCGCTAATACAATAACTACACGAGTATGAATCATTTGACAAATATGGTTATTTTTTAAAATTTATTGCAAATGGTTTAAACATATTTTTATTTCAAAGAAATCTAGAGGGAGGAAGTGCCCAAGAACAGCAGGTGAGCTTTTCATTTTGTTCCCTGTGAAATTTGGCCACATGCACTCTTGTCCCCCCGCGCAAATTGGTCTCTGTGATTGTGGAATTTAAGAAATGACTGACATAATACTTATATCGAACAGTTATAGATGATATATTACATAATATTTTACATATTTAGTTGCCAGCGAGACGAGATACACCATCTGATAATCCCCCTATGCTGCAGGGTGAACGAGAAGATCCCCTATAAAGCTGGAAATAATTATAATAATTATTTAAAAAGAACCTGATCCATTAATTGATCTTAGAAAAACTAAAGCTCGTATAATGCTACACATTTGAGGACTTTGGGCAGGAGTAACGTTACTGTTAAATTCTTGTTTCTAGTTGGTTCTAAATGGATCGGACGACCAGCGGGGTGACTGGGCTGGTGGTATGTAAGCGCATCTCAGTTTTGAAGAGCGTCAATTCCTCCCTAATACAAATGCTATCGTGTTTTTACATTTTCATCAAGGTATTCAGCGCTTTACGGAGTCCTCCTGAAATAAATACTAGCACCTCTTTGTACCTATTGTACAGCTACAGCACACGATCGTGAATACTTACTGCATCATGGAAACATGTTTACCTTAGCACAACACACACACACTGGATCAACCTATGGTTTGATCCTGATCCCACGGAAGGCCTACAGTGTACCGTTAGGGATCATATTGTGGAATATTCAGTTGCTTTCTGGAGAGTCTTATTACAAATATATTTCCCGTTTACTTTACCTTGAGTAGGATTTGTACTGTTCATGCTAGGAAGAATATGTAGCATGTTTTGTTGTTTCGTGTAATCGTGTTGTTTCGTTTATATTCAGACCATCGAGGTATTATCTGTGCCATGATACGACACTGACCTACACCTGCACTAAACGTGCAGTCTCAGCCTGTACACGACCTCAAGTAGCCTTCTATCTATTTTATCTTTTCGATAGGCACATTGACGTGCACCTCAAAACGTTAGTGTCATATACACACAGTGGCGTCATTGCTGTTATCATCAAATTTCATAAGGTCAAATATATAACAATGGTAAATTGCTCATGATTTACGAAATCGAAGCACACCACAGTAAAATCTCGGCGCAATCGGACATGTCTCTATTCGAAATTTCAGGGGGCGGTGCGGGTAGCCTACTGGTAAAAGCATCCGCTCGTCACACTAGAGATCCGGGTTCGATTCCCCACATGGGTACAATGTGTGAAGCCCATTTCTTGTGTCCCCACTGTGGTGTTGCTGGAATATTGCTAGAGGCGGCGTAACACCATACTCACTCACTCACGCACTCACGCATTCACTCACTCACTCACAAATTTCGGCATTTCGGGGTTCCATGTGCACATTAACGGCTCATATGGGGTCATATTATTCATCTGTTCGAAAAAGAAATGTGTTTGCTATATATTGTATTTACATGTGACTACCACACAACCTTAATTCAACAAGGGGGCGGTGGGGTAGCATAGTGGTTCAAGCGTTGGCTCGTCACGCCGAAGACCCGGGTTTGATTCCCCACATGGGTACAATGTGTGAAGCCCATTTCTGGTGCCCCCCGCCGTAATATTGCTGGAATATTGCTAAACGCGGTGTAAAACCCAACTCACTCACTCACTCAATAATTCAACAAGCCTACAAAAGATTGAGCAGCAATGAGCCAATTAACGTCCCATGCATTATACAACGCGAGCTTTACGTTTAGATTCTAAACTGAAATGCTGGATTAGAAACAGAGAAACCATATAGTCACGGAACTCTGTGTAATAGGAAACCTGTCAAATTCATCTTATTCATCGGCAGAGCAGTCTTGGATTACACAGAGTGAACTTTATTGAAAAACATTCGCAAGTCAAAACATTGATTACGCAACAGTCTCATTTCCTGCCGACTAGGTTCCGTCCTATTGCGCAACTTTGTACAATAACCAATCCAAAATTTTTAGATCAATTCATTCAACTGGATACATAAATATTAATCAGTATAATTTGATACATCTAAACACTTGTATATTGCAACACTACGCTCCTTCTAATCCTTGCAAACATGTCGTGCAACGTGCTCTGTCGTACAGCGTGCTCTGAGAAAAGGAAATCTGGAAATCGTGGAAATCTCAAAATGAGGCTCTGCCGCTGGAAACGTTTGGCGGTATGGTACGGACTTGATATTATATGAATCACTTTGTGCGTTGCAAAACTTCACTGAATAAACAAAACACATAACCAGTGAGCCAGATGAATTGTGAATTATTTTACGACTTCATCAAACAGTGACAGTCTGTGACGTCTTAGTTAAGGTCATGCTGCATACACCTCGCCATTCAATATAGAAATACGACTTTATTAAAGTTTAAAATTACAATTAACTTATAAATATCATTTCCTCATGAAACAAGGAATTGGAATTCAATGTAACCATAGTTGTGTGTGGTGTCTCTTTTCACTTTCACACGAGATTATTCGGAACGGCTGAAAAGTAGGTCATTGTCTGAATAGGTTAATGAGACTCATGTTTCGGTTTGTCACAGTGAAGATGTGATCAACAAAGCTCATGCCCAGACGAAATAAATGAATAAATACTCGACATCATCTTCCAAATTTAAAGTAAGAAGATGGCCGAAACACCATCACACTAACAGCAACAACTCAGATCTGCTTAGATTTACGAACTACTAAATAAAAGACTGAATAACTCACCGACTTCTCCAGGCAGCCAAGGTCAAAAAACGTTAAATCAAACCGTGTCTTCTTCCAAATGGAGCAATACTGAAACAAAGACATTTGATGTTTGTAAGTACACCTGTGACCCGTGAAGATCCGGGTTAGAATTGATCTTCACTAACTCATGCTTGTCGTAAGAGGTGACTAACGGGATCGGGTGGTCAGGCTCGCTGACTTGGTTGACACATGTCATCGTATCCCAATTGCGTAGATCGATGCTCATACTGTTGATCACTGAAATGTCTGGTCCAGACTCAATTATTTGCAAACTGCCACCATATAGCTGGAATATTTCACGCACTCACTCATTCAAGTACATCTGTGAGGATTCAGGTATGTTGGTTTGCTCGCTGGTACGTTATAATGACTGTCTATGTTTTGTATCTTTGCAACAGAATTGCCGTTTATGTGGTGTATTGGTGTCAACAGGTAAATAATGATCTGTTTGATTGGCATTTAGAAGTTGGTGACTAATAAGAAAGTAAGAGAGTTTATGGATAACAACTTCTTTATTATACATGTATAGTAAGAGAGTTTATGGATAACAACTTCTTTATTATATAGTAAGAGAGTTTATGGATAACAACTTCTTTATTATATTAGTAAGAGAGTTTATGGATAACAACTTCTTTATTATATAGTAAGATATAATTTATTATAGTTAAGTTTATGGATAACAACTTCTTATTACATAGTAATAGGTAAATAATGTTTAGATGCTGTTATATACATATAATAAAGAAGTTGTTATCCATATCCTGGCCACATAGGTAAATAATGTTTAGATGCTGTCGTTACCTTATCCTGGCCACACTTGGACGCTGTCGTGCACTGGCTGGGATGCTCGACTGCCTCACACTGCAGACACAGGCGGTTACCTCCCTTTGGAACAGCTGGATGGGGAAAGATTGGCAACATGAACATAATATGCTATTCCTGGATACCAGGCTCTGGGACAGGTACATAAGGGTTGGGGAAGGTGGGACAGGTAGGTGACTTGAACAGGATATATTTTGCTCTCTGCAGATCATTCGAAAACAAAGCATTTAAATGTAGCATGTTTTTCAAAAACTATGGAAATATTTTGCTAGATATTACTGATCTGTCAGTATGCTTAACGAAAAAGAGCTACACTCTAATACGTTAATTATGTGTTTAAACAGTTTTCCTATTCTTTCATACGGCAGTTCTGAAAAACGTTTCTAACTACCGTAAATCGTCAGCATTCCGAGAATTACTGACTGAGTTTAGTTTTACGCCGCTTTTAGCAATATTCAAGCAATATCACGGCGGGGGACACCAGAAATGGGCTTCATACATTGTACACATGTGGGGAATTGAACCTGGGTCTTCGGCGTGACGAGCCAACGCTTTAACCACTAGGCTACCCCACCGCCCCTTCCGAGAATTACAATTCTTAGCTTTGTTTGACTTTATTACCACAAGTGCCGTTATCCATATAGTATCACTCAAGATTAACGAAATACCAGGAATAATGCCAGTTAAAGTGTATATATTCTATACAGATATTGTCCCTTATGATATGGTGTCCGGACTATGGAGGTTTAACTGTACATGGTTCTGTCACTCACGGAGTCCGCCACACAGGTCTGAGTTGCAGTGGTCCCCGAAACAGCATTCCTCACAGCTGTGTGGGCTGCTGCCCCCTGCCACCGACCCTGTACCTTGACACAACTGTAACCAACAAGAGGAAGTGGAGGAATGAGTGAATTAATTTTACGCCGCTTTTAGCAATATGCCAGCAATACCACGGCGGGGGATACCAAAATGGCTTCACACATTGTACCCATGTGGGGAATCGAACCCGGCTCTTCGGCGCGACGAGCGAACGCTTTAACCACTAGGCTACCCCACCGCCCCTCACGTCAACATCACACATGGCAAACGTCCAGTGTTAATTGGAGTGCGCGGTTTTGAGTCATAACACGGGAGGAAACGACTCGAAGTGACGTTATACTATATCTCAGTCGTTTAAAACAGGAGAGGGAGGGGATAGTGTTGAACAGCCAGAAACGTAACAAGATAGAACTGTACTCGAACCTTCGATAGAAAGTCTCTTTCAAACATAAAGGAGGCAATCTTTGCGTCTCAAACGAACGGGCCAAGTTGTCCCCAAAACAGTTAGTTGCTCCTTCAAGTAGACTATGAACCTGGAGTAAATGACTTTCAACAAGTCGACCAAAGAATGTATTTGATGACGGGAGGAATATACATAGGCACGATATATTCAGTACGAAAGGTGAGAAAAGCATTTGGCTCTTGGAATCTGTCCCAGTGTGCACATAGAGAAACAGGCATTATGAACCAGAAATTCCAACAAATAAAATTATTGAAACATATGAATTACACATTTTAGACAAGCTCCACATGACCAACAGCTTTCCAGCCAAACTGTATGTGCAAAATAGGTAAGTACCTGTTGTTAAGGATTGTATAGACCTGTTTCTTTCATTATACAGACAAACTGATTGCCAGGAATGTATGGAACTGATTCTTTCCTCACATACAAGGGTAGCCTAGTGGTTAAAGCGTTCGCTCGTCACGCCCAAGAACCGGGTTAGATTCCCCACATGGGTACAATATGTGTGAAGCCCATTCCTGGTGTCCCCCGCCGTGATATTGCTTGAATATTGCTACAGTCCTTTAGGCTCAAAAGAGGACCGATGAATTGCAATGTAACCCGAAAACTGATAAACATATAATGCTCAATGAAACGCCGATCATAATAAAAACATCAGAACAACTCTGTAAAAAAAGTTGTTTAACAAGCTATCATTAAAATATTTACACAGTTCACTATTTGGTACGAGGGAGGAGTGCAGAGAAAGGGAGAGCCAGGTGTGCGAGAAAGGATGGAGACAGCACAGCTCAGGTAAATGAATCATCAGCTTTGTCGACACTTGTGCACGTGCTCCGCGTACACCTGGTTGTTCCTCTCTTTGCAGTCCTCCCTCGTAACAAATAGTGAACTTTGTCAAAATTTCAATGATAGTTTGTTAAACAACTGTTTAATTCTCAGGACATAAATTCTCCAGAAAACTCACAGAGTTGGTCTGATGTTTTTATTATGATCAGCATTTCAATAAGTATTATAATGTTTAGTAGTTTTCGAGTAAGATGGCAATTCATCGATCCGTTTTTGAGCCAAACAGACTATAAATGCGGCGTAAAACCATACACACTCACTCACTCACATACACAAACTGTTTACAAAGAAGGTATTGACCTCTCTCTCTTTCCTCGCCCGTGAAGATCCACGTTAGAATTGATCTTCTGTAACCCATACTTGTCGTAACCAAGTCAGCGAGCCATATGATATTCAGCAGCCCATGCTTGTCGTAGGAGGCGACTAACGGGACCGGGTGGTCAGGCTCGCTGACTTGGTTGGTTCCCAATTGCGTAGGACCTGTGAAGATCCGGGATAGAATAGGTCTTCAGCAACCTATGTGCTTGCCATAAAAGACGACTATGCTTGTCGTAAGAGGCGACTAACGGGATCGGGTGGTCAGTTTCGCTGACTTGGTTGACACATGTCATCGGTTCCCAATTGCGCAGATCGATGCTCATGCTGTTGCTCACTGGATTGTCTGGTTCAGACTCGATTATTTACAGACCGCCGCCATATAGCTGGGATATTGCGGAGTGCGGCGTAAAACTAAACTCACTCACTCACCCAATTGCACAGATCGATGTTCATGCTGTTGATCACTGGATTGTCTGGCCCAGACTCAATTATTTACAGACCGCCGCCATATAGGTAGAATATTGCTGAGCGCGGCGTAAAACTAAACCCACTCACTCACTCTCTTTCCTCACAAATGCAAACTGACTATAATTGAAAGTGTTGACCTGTTTCTTTTTGCACCCAGCCGTGTACTGTGTCGGGCTGACTCCCGTCGATGAAGCATAGCATTGCTGAAATAAAACATAGAAGTTTGTTATCCAGAGAACTAAACAACCAAGGGTGGTTCCCTCACCACACGAGTTTCAATATCTACGGCTGAGTAAACAGTGTTATCTGCAATATCACTCGTGCAACAGAGTTGCTGGGATTAGAACTGGTGATTGATTTGTTTGCACTTGAAACGTTGTTAAACATCAATCGACTCTGTACGTGCATTCGGATAATCGATCCTTATTTAGAGGCTTCAGTTGAACTAATTTATTGAACTTACTTCGTCGTCGCTACACTTGACAATCTCCCCACAGGAACCAGGTTTCACGGCCTTGTCACAGACATAGCACCAAGGGCCCTCGCATACTGGAGGAATCAATGATATGTCAAAATTCATTCAAAAATACATTTTGCGATAAATGTATACATGCATGCACGCACTCACAAGCAATCATATATAGACATACATACATACATACATACACACATACATACACACACACACACACACACACACACACACACACACACACACACACACACACACACACACACACACACACACACACATACATACATACATACATACATACATTGCCCTAAACCTAACATTGTCACACTGTTAGGAAGCCCTTCACTATGGAAAAAATGATGTTGTCGTGGGGTTGGTGATTCTTCAGCAACGTTCGTGATGATAGCACGATATGAAAAGGTATTGAGAGTATAAATCAAGCAGTTACATAAATATTGTCAAGGTTATCAAGAGAAATGACAGGAGAATCATAGAATGCTGTTGGTAGGGTCGCCACATGCTCCCTTTTGCAAGAACGCTCAGGTAGACATCATTGCCCGACCAATTTAAGGATGCCTAAAGGAAGAGATATGGTGTCGACCACCCCAAAGGGGAACCGCCCTCTTCCTACGTCTATGTGACAGAGTCTTTCGGTTGGAGTCATCGACGATTATAGGACTAGGAGCCGACATCAGCAGACACCGAAGACGATTACGTATTAGGACGATAACGTACAGAAGAAATTCAGCTCTACGTATCTGAACCCCACAAATTGCCGGACTTGACGTCCGTGGCCCTACATTGTGCAACGTGGGCGGCGTCGTGATTGACACATGCTACGTACAATATTTATGCATTTTCCGAGGTGACCCGTGAAGATCCTGGTTAGATTTGATCTTCATTAACCCATGCTTGTAAGAGGCGACTAACGGGATCGGGTAGGCAGGCTCGCTAACTTGGTTGACACTTGTCATCGTATTCCAACTCCGTAAATCGATCTCATGCTGCTGATCAGTGGGTTGTCTGGTCCAGTCTCGATAATTTACAGGCCGCCGCCATATTGCTGAGCATATGGAATATTGCTGAGTACGGCGTAAAACTAAACTCACTCAGTCATTTTCCGAGGCACTATGAAAGATTTGTTATCAGATTTGTTTAGGGGAAACTTAATATTCACTATCCTAGACGTGTTTGATAGATTTTTTAATTCACCCAACGTGCCATGAAATTGTTTTGACTGTAAAATATTATCCATATTAAATGTGTGCAGTTACTTGTCTTTTACTACAAATCTGTCCAGGTATATGTAAACCTTATGTTCATCGATAGTTCAATAAGATTGTATTTGGTGTACTAGTTATATGACACATAATACTCACTGAATATGTTCGATCATATCACACTATAAACAGACTTTCGCATAAATATATTTCTAATGCTGTGCTGTCGACTTGAGGGATAAGGCGTGCTTTGCTGCTTAATAAAACCACAGTCATTCATGTGACTCTGACAAGTACCAAACCCACACCCTGACTGTGTACAGATAAGCATGATCATAGGTAGCCGTGTGTGTGTGTGTATTTAAGTATTAACACGCTTGTAATGTGTGTTTGTCATTACTCGAACATAAGAATTACCATCACACCGCAGACGTTATACGAATCTAATTAGTTAAGTAAATGCTGCATTTCTTTAACACAAACCTGCAACGTTGATGTATCCGAGAATCACAAAGCACAGTGTCGCTGCTGAAAACAAAATGAAAAACATATACCAGATTTCAAGAATCTCAGACCAGGAACATATTCTTGAACATGATTACATTGGAACCATCAGACTTTGCAATTTCTCACATGATATTAATACTCAGCAGTGTTCCAGCTAGATGGCGGCGGTCTGTAAATAATACAGTCTGGACCAAACAATCCAGTGATTAACAGCATGATCATCTATCTACGTAATACGATGACATGTGCCAACCAAGTCAGCGAGCCTGACCACCCGGTCCCGTTAGTCGCCTCTTACGACAAGCATAGGTTACTGAAGATCAATTCTAACCCGGATCTTCACGGGTACTTATTATCAGCGGAAGGCTCGTTTAAAACTGATTTCTTTGATAATAACATAGAAATAACTGATTTTACCAATTATGATGCCTAAATCTATGTTTTCATGAAGGGGGTATTTGACAGTGACATACCAGCAACGTGAGCCTGCATCGTCCCCCGTGTGAGCAGCTACGGTGACGTTGATTTGTGGTGAACCAGACGGCTATATCAACGGGCCTATACTGATAACGCTATTTACCGGGCATATCTACAAAGTTCAAACATTGCACTCTGTGACGGAATCTGTTGACAGCAGGACAGGTATGATTTGAGGTGGACTTGTTACTTTTTTAGGGACAATCTTACATTCGTGATATGCTCGACAGCTCTTGTGAGGAGCGTTCGTGTGAAAGCTAACGGTTATTGATACGTTCCTTGTAAACGCGGTCTGTGTTAGTGGGTCACTGTGTCGGACTTCGTTTTACCGCAATGTTATACATTTATTTTACATCTGACGGGAAGACATTGGTGTATTTTAGGACTGCCGAGGAAATATTGGGAGTTTGTGACTTATTACTTATTTTCAGTCATACAGAATAGTGTGGATGCCTTACATTCCCAAACATTATCTTATTACATCTACATTTGCTATCTCATAATCTACTATCTACTATATTTCCGTCTGAGTGATGATACTTTGCTTATAATATTGTGTAAGTAGGATTAGTGAGTTGAGTTTTACGCCGCTTTTAAAGATCACATATATTCTAGGGGGTACAAATACATAAATCACTAACTGGCATCGCTATAAATGAAACCCCGTCATTAAAACTACTCACTTCGGTCTTTAATTAACTTAAATCGACCTTTTTGACAACAGTGCACAATTGTCACCCCCGAACGAAATTTCAACCAATCAGAGCGGGGCGTCTCTGTGACGTCATATGAGGAATAGATATGAGGGCCGATGCAGAATTCAACTACATTTCAGGGGGTAAATTATCTTGTTTACAGGTTTGTATAAACCTGAAATCGTGACAACTGTTGTGGAAAATGAAAGCTATATGTTCTCACAATCTGCTGTCATTTAATTTTGTCTCCTGCTTTGCCTAGTTTCCGAGTTACAACTTGTTTTCATAGACGATTCTGTCAAAATCGCTTGGTGTCGTTAGGCCTTATTTGTATAATGACTGATCCAAATTGATCCCATTTCTTTTTTACCTTGATATTTAATCATGTCATGTAAAAATATGACGTCTATTACGTATGATATTAAACACTGAAATTTGATTTATTTGAATCGGTAAACTAAACAACCCTACTTTGCCATTGCTAGAAGAATCTGAAAATTTACTAAGGTAAATAGGTACATACAGTTTTAGCACACAGCAAATGCTTATATGTATTTCTTATGCAACAATGAAGTTCTGTTTGTATTCTCAAAACAGTGTCGGCCCATAAGTTTCCACATGCAATACAGCAATTAATACTCCCTTGTTGTAACCCGTGTTAGGTGGTATAAACCTACACATGTTATTTGTCATCATTCACTTGATGATCAGTTAATGAATTTATAACAGGTATAATTAGTGGTAACACCACTTAGATTACCCGACAAAGGTTCCCATTTGGCATTTCTCGTGTCTGGAGTAAATATTCAACATTATAAACATCGATCAAAGGATTAACCGATAACACGCTGATTGCTTAATTACTTTTATCTTACACAGCGGATTTGTCAAAAGGTAGTGTTTATGTATGTAGATTTACTAATCTATACTGAATACACTCTGTCGTGTCTGTGTCTGCGTAAAAACAACGTCCTTCCTTCAAAGGACTAACAGCCAATATAGTGATTGATTGCTCAATATTGGCTAACTAAATTACCGTTTTTAAAGAATGGCGGACATTATGCAATCAGTTGCCAGGTGTGCTATCTTGGGTGACCAATGAGACTATAAACCAATGTGACATACCTGAGACATACACTAGGGCGTGTGTGCGAATTATGATTCACATTGGCAAACTATAAAATGTCTAGATATTACAGTTCTGTTATAAATTCACTATAAGTATCAGCAGATCGTCTGCTTTTTATTTAGTTTCAAAATGCATACAAGTATGATAATAAACTAATTAGGATTATAAGACCGAATATAAAGACGCACATTGACTAGTATCTACATACTGGTGAGTGCACGTTAACCACGTGAATGTAGCAAGAAATTTATCGCGCAGTATTGTGACTTCGACCCCCACCTCGCTTCCGTGGAAGAAATCGTTATGTTATAAGTTGTGTCATGCAAAATCCTTTTGGTTTATGATTCCAATACATATTTAACTACGAGTAGAAAGTAGTTTTGATTTTCTAACTTGATGAAAACAAACCATAATCTCATTAATTCTAACAGACTTTTGCCCGTCACTTTACGATTTTCAAAAATGGCGGCGCCCTGTCGCGAACATCCGCCAGTCTGAGGATAAATGCTATTTAGGTTTGTTTTCACCGAGTTTCAAAATCAAAACTACTTTCTACTGGTAGTAAAATATGTATTTGATTGATGGCCAATAGGATTTTGCATGACATAGCTTATAACATAACAATTTCTCTGGTGGAAGCGAGGTGGGTGTCAATATAATACTACTTACAGTGTTATTGTTACTTCGACCACAACCTCGCTTCCGAGGAAGAAATCGTTATGTTACAAGTTGTGTCATGGAAAATCTTTATGGTCATCAATCATATACATATTTTACTACAACTAGTAAGTAGGTTTGATTCTATAACTTCCCTGGATATCGTTTCAGGCTTCCACAACGCTCGCTTCGCACTCACAAACATAACCCATTTAGCACGAACTGCGGAGTCCTGTGGTAATCTGTGCATGGTGACACCATCGCCCGACCCCAAGGAGCAATTGACGACAAAGCAGCGATTCGGCATGTCGTCGTTGATGTCGAGAAATCATCAAAAATGATGAGCGTGCTACACACTTTCTATACAACTAACTGAAAATCGTTCCTCATATGACGTCACTGCAGTGCTCTGGCGACAGAGTTACGTAACCTGTTTGTGGTTTCGTTGGCGGGCGAGAGTGAAGCAGCGGACTTTTTGGCAACTTTTAATCGCTCGGTATTAATTAACCACAAGTTTTTTTAGAATGAATTTGGTGTTCCGCATAAGTCTAACCACAAATCTTTCATATGTAATAGTTAAAAGAGTACCAAAAAAACAAAGTTTATTTGTTCTTTAACAATATTCCAGCAATATTATGGCGGGGGACACCAGAAATGGGCTTCACACATTGTACCCATATGGGGAATCGAACCCGGGACTTCGGCGTGACGAGCGAACGTTTTAACCACTGGGCCACCCCACCACTCTGTAGTATTAATAACCTGCAAGGTGGAGAGTACCATTAAGGAATGTGGCACCAACAGTCTGTGACATGCAAATAAGATAATCATCGTCTTCGTCATTTTGTTGGGAATTTGCAGTTGATGTACAGCTGATACAAGCTCACGTTGTAACCTTTCGTTTTCGTGCAATTTACTTCAACACTCCCTTTTTTAAAAGTGCTTGGTAGGCATTTTAGATGTTGGATAGGCAACTTTATGGATAACAACTTCTTGTTTGCTGCGACGTTTAGGTAACGACATTCATAGCGTAACGGTGTAAGAATCCGAAACGTCACTTTTAGCTTGATAATGGTCGATGGATCTACACCGAAACGTTGCCCGATACAACCCGATACAATTAGCTATAAGCTGTTTGCAGTGAAAACGTACCGATGAATGTCACTTTAAACAAAAATGTAAATCAAATAAAGTGAAATTAAGATTACCCCCTTGTAATACAAACCAATAAGAGCGATTCGAAGCACATGTGGTCTCACCTTAGGCAAGTGAGTTTGTTCAAAATTGCCTCTGTTCACCCAGCAGAAAATGGGTACCCGGTTGGGTAAAGTCATGTGACTATAACCTTCTAGCGCCTAACAGGCTGCTTGGGTTATCCGGGGTAATAATAATCAGGGTGTTAACGCTTTGAGCATGCTTTGTTGCGTGGAGATTAGCGCATTATAAGACTTCTCATTATTATTATTATTCGAAACTATGACCGCTTGTAAAACAACTTTTATCCTAAGTTGAATAAAATTCTGAAATTTAAATGTTCAATTGGCAAGGTCAAATTATGAGGATTCGCAATCTTAATTTCACTTTATTTGATTTACTTTTTTGTTTAAAGTGACATTCATCGGTACGTTTTCACTGCAAATAGACTATAACCATTGTTATCCATATAGTTACCCCTACGTTTCCAGGGTAACATAAGTCCCAAGTAATTTATGTTTGAAGATTTATAAGGACATATTGCCAATAAAGTCAGACATTGGTCTCAAGTCTCACCTTTGCTGAATGTGTTTGTTTGTTTGCTGTTGTTAATTTACACCGCACTCAGCAATATTCCTGCTATATCATCAATACATAAGCAAGACTGAACCAGACAATCTAGTGATTTACATCATCAGCATCGATCTACGTGACACGATGACATGTACCAACTACGTCAGTGAGCCTGACCGACCACCCGATCCCGTTAGTCGCCTCTTACGACAAGCACGGGTTGCTGAATGTGATATGGCTCGCTGACTTGGTCATCGGTTCCCAGTTGCGTAGATCGATGCTCATGATGTAAATCACTGGATTGTCTGGTACAGATCCGATTACTAACAGACCGCTGCCATATAGCTGGAATATTGCTGAGTGCGGCGTAAGACTAAACTCACTCTCTGTTTTCCCGTTTGGTGGGGCACAGCTAGGTGAATGAAGTGTACTTATTAAATCTGATAGTGGACCTTTCACTGGTCACTACCTCTATTAAACTTTAGTGAACGCCCAAAGCGTTTAAGGTTTGGCCATCGGTCCACTAGGTTTGGACTATTAGCCCACATTAAACCAACACACTTTGATAAAAGAGCATATCCCTATTAAATGACGTTATTCTTAACTCACTTACGCAATCCTATGCTCAACAACGCCTGACAGACAGATGATACAACGAGATCACAGATCACCAATCACATTATCAATGGTTGCTGTTGCACGATTCATGCTGACAATTACAAAGTGTCCCTCCATATTTTCTGCAAGACTGCACCGACTGCCTGTGATCTTCTGTCGCCAGGTAGGGTACTATTGACATAATATAAGATATATACCCAATACAAATAAGAACAAGGAACAAGAAAAACGAGACGTAATTTATTTCTCGATTACACATTTTACTAAAATGACGTCATTTCTAAAGTTACGAACACATGCTCCTAACTTCATCAGCTCGATATTTAGACGAAGGTATTCAGCTAGCTATTATCCTTCATAGCTAGGCAACGGAGGTGCAAGCAATGGCTGACCGATCGTATTCGAAAGCGGACAAGATTTGGCAATTTGTGATACGCAATTAACGATGATGGGGGAGAAAGGATGGCCTGTAGCTGGGGTTGACGGTTATCTATTAATTAAACTCTTCAGGCACAATGAACAGTTCACTGTTCTCTGTACATGTGTTGAACCTGAAGATTATACTAAAATCCTCCCTTTCCAGTTACCATTACCACCCAAGATTCTAAGGGTGAGCTGAGGGCAACCTGGCAATTTCATTTTTTTTAACGGAGACTAGATACCTTTTTCATTTAGACAACAGCATGGGTACACATATGTTTTTCATCAGTTTCCTGTCAGGCATTTTGTTTAAACAGTCTGGAACAATTGTTTGGGGTGGTCTCTTAAAGAGGCTGTAAATAATGCTGATGTCTCATGCGAAATATACACGACTCGTGGTCGTTGTTTATCGCACAGTTGAACACTGCTTGGAAAAATGTACACCTCCTGGGTAGTGTACTTAGACATAACGCCCATACATTATATTATAGGGGACAGACATGAAAGAGCTTTAGTGGTAGACGTGACGAATAGCAGAGACAAAGAGGGGCTTTGGCACCTTGGGAGGTTTGTGGTGCATGCTAAAATGACACAGATCTTTTGTCATTTCGACCTGGTCCACGTGGTTTGGAGATACAAAAAGGTACATTGAATCAACAACATTTCTCCCCCATCCCCATTATAAATAACTAGTACCTAACACAACGAAAATAATGTTCATGACGTGTGCAGCACTTAATGGAGTTTATCGTCGGACATAAACATAGAGGTTATGTAATTTCATTTGTTAAATTTCGTTTCGCGGCATTGTTTCCCATTGCAAACAGAGTGCTTCATATGTATATTTATGTATAAACAAATGTCTTTAAGACCGATCGCATTACAACCTTCAACAACAGCAGCAAGCATACAAAATATTTAGATTACACTTCTTCCTGCACTCAGTCCAACGTCAGTGAGCCTTTCGTGTGATCCACGAACTCAATTTTACCGTTTTTCCTGGAATGAAAATAAAGGAAAGGATGAATTCTGTTGCATTGTCAACAAATCAGTTTATTTTAAACAAACGGTTTCAAATACAGCTGAATAACACTCAAATCAAAATCTAGAAGGCAATACAGTATGAATCGGATGTTTGTTATCGTATTTCACAAATATAGAGTAAATATACACATGGAAAAATATATCGCAACACATATGAGTTTTTACTCTCATGGCCATTTATTGGTATACGGAATGTCAGTGTTCAGATCGACCATGATGGGCAACTGCAACACTTCTCAGAATCACAAAACTTCGTCGGTTTATGTCGAGTGTTGTCTTAAAATGAGAATGGCTTCCACATCGTCATTTGTCAAACACAACGGTCCGAAATCGCCTCAAAGCGTTCGGGTTTTGAGCCCAACGACCCGCCAGACGTCTCTTTCTATCCCCAGAGCACAAAACGACATATAAGGTAAAGGGGAAGGGTCCACTGATGACAATACTAGGCTACGCCGAGCACGTGCCGTTGGTGATTTCATACCTTTAGAGGCGGTTGGTGTGTTGGTTGGTGTGTTGGTTGGTTTGTTGGTTGGTGTGTTGGTTGGTTTGTTGGTTGGTGTGTTGGTTGGTTTGTTGTTTAACACCGCACTCAGCAATAGTTCATCTATATGGCGGCGGTCTGTACATAATCGTGTCTGGACCAGGCAATCCAGTGACCAAATCAAGTCAGTGAGCCTGACCACCGATCCGGTTAGTCGCCTCTTACGACAAGCATGGGTTGCTGAAGGTCAATTCTAACCCGGATCTTCACGGTTACTTACGAGGCTGTAGCAACTCTGCCGTGGCCTGCCAGGAGTACAGAACTTTACACCATTGAGCATGTTTGGGATATTATCGGTCGCAGAATATGTTATATGTATATCCATTACAAACTCGTGGAGTATTTGAGCAAGTCATACATCAGGAATGGTACCTTAACATCAAATTCCGACGCATTCGCTAGTAAAGACTTACTTGACAAAGTATGTAACAAAGCCATCCTCCTTCGACAAGGCTCCGATCTGTCTCGCCGACACACAGATTTTGTCTGTCTGTAATAACATGCATGTTCTCATTGATTAAACATGTCATTGGAAGATGGTTCCCATTCCATCAGGTCGGATTCAAACAATATATAACTCTTAATCGTTACCCTCTTGTAACACTCGGATTGGTTACATATTTCATGTTCTTTACATTCAGTGTAGCGAGACAATACAAGACACTGAATCGCCGCGGGCTGATATATTCCGTGATCTTTACAATCAGTGTAGCGAGACAATACAAGACATTGAATCGCAACGGGCTGATATATTCCGTGATCTTTACATTCAGTGTAGCGAGACAATACAAGACATTGAATCGCCACGGGCTGATATATTCCGTGATCTTTACAATCAGTGTAGCGAGACAATACAAGACACTGAATCGCAACGGGCTGATATATTCCGTGATCTTTACATTCAGTGTAGCGAGACAATACAAGGCACTAAATAGCAACGGGCTGATATATTCCGTGATCTTTACAATCAGTGTAGCGAGACAATACAAGATATTGAATCGCAACGGGCTGATATATTCAGTGATCTTTACAATCAGTGTAGCGAGACAATACAAGGCACTGAATCGCAACGGGCTGATATATTCCGTGATCTTTACATTCAGTGTAGCAAGACAATACAAGGCACTGAATAGCAACGGGCTGATATATTCCGTGATCTTTACATTCAGTGTAGCGAGACAATACAAGACATTGAATCGCCACGGGCTGATATATCCTGTGATCTTTACAATCAGTGTGCGATATAGGAATCGCAATAGGCTTACATATTTCGCGTTTGTTATAATCAATGTATCAAGACAATATATATAGGACATTAAGTCTCACTGGGCTTACATATTTTGTGATCTTTACAATCAATGTAGCAGAACAATACAGGACATTGAATCGCAATGGACTGACATATTTCGTGTTCTTTACAATATGCGTAATAAAACGATAGAGGACACTGAATCCTACTGAACTACCTTCCAAACGTAATGTGCGGGCAGTCGAGTTACTACGGTATGCTGGGTTCTTCCTTATGCTGTCAAACGTAGTAGTTCATGGATGATGATGATGATGATGATGATGATGATGATGATGATTCACTCATTCGTAGTTTAGCTCAAGGTTAATGGCTTTAAGTCACAGGTGTTTATTTTGCAACTAAAAGCTGGCATGGCTATGGCTGACGGTTTTGAAACAAATTACCACTGGCCAAGCGCGTCGTTAAGCATTTTGGAGAGTACGTACGTGCTTAAAGGTCGTTTTCAGGACATTTTACAGACAGTTGTATACTTTCCATTACACGTAATCATTGTCCCGATCCGCAAAGCGTACGTTGCGTGACGACCTATCGTAACTTCATACTTCATCAGAGGCTTACAAATGGCGCAATGCCATAGTTTGTGAATAGGGTCCCAGGTATGGTTCAGTAGGGCATTTTAACACTGACCTTTTGAAATTCTTTGTTGAATGGAGACCCATCTGGTTCCGTTGTCCCTGCCGCACAGTGTATGCTGGTGGAATATATGCAAAACACCATATGATAATTAGAGGGAACATAGAATATGCGACATTTAAGAAACACCTTTCATCGTGCATATAGTTTAGTAACAAAATACAAATGTTTCAAACAATGAGTGTTCTATTTTTCCTTCAGTATGGAAGACATAGCAGGCTAGTTTAATACCGTTATCTTGGCCCTGTCCTGACATTATCAGTGAGACTGAGTGAGGTGAGTTTGGTTTTTACGGCGCTTTAAACAATATTCCAGCAAATATCACGGCGGGGGACACTAGAAATGGACTTCACTCCATGGCACAAAGGGCAATAACGCTTTAACTAGAATACCTTCAGTAAAGCACTCCGTTAAGTCCTGTTTAGCAACGACATGTAACAAATGGAACGTTCTGTACAATATGAACTCCCGTCCTACTCCATGTGCACAAGGGCAATACTCACTAGAATGCTTCGCCTGGTTGCACACCAATTTTGTCAAACGTATTTACTTCATCCAGTACGTACGGGAGTTTACCAGCGGCTGAAACATCCGTACAAGCTTTCAGCTACGGAGGCGTCCACTGAATGGTAATGGACTGTTCACATCATATGTTTACTAGCAGCTATGGCAAGGTATAGATGGCTGCTAGATTGTTTGACGATTTATTTTCTCTGTTGCAAATTAAAACCATTTCCAAATCACCGTGTTGATTAAGTTACCATTTCATCCAAAATAAAGTGAAATTCAGTCATACCCTCATGTGGAGATGATTTATCAGTTTATGAACGATAGACAGTAGTTGTTGGTTTTGATGAGACAAAAAAGACCAAATGGTTGAGCTCGTGGTCAGGTGCTACGGGCCGTGATATCGGTGAATATATGACGTACATTCCTGTTGCAACCTCAGTGGTACTTAGTATTAACGACACGAAACTCGACCACATAAAGTACAACACTCAAATACTTACAGACAGGAGACACGACTACATCAAGTACAACACTCAAATACTTACAGACAGGAGACACGACTACATCAAGTACAACACTCAAATACTTACAAACAGGAGACACGACTACATCAAGTACAACACTCAAATACTTACAGACAGGAGACACGACTACATCAAGTACAACACTCAAATACTTACAGACAGGAGACACGACTACATCAAGTACAACACTCAAATACTTACAAACAGGAGACACGACTACATCAAGTACAACACTCAAATACTTACAGACAGGAGACACGACTACATCAAGTACAGCCTTCATATACTTCAGGACAAGAGACGCAACTACATTAAGTACATTATACATACAGTACAACCACGACTACATCATATACAACACTCAGGACTTACAAGAGAGACACGACTACATTAAGTACAACCTTCATATACTTCAGGACAAGAGACACGACTACATTAAGTACAACCTTCATATACTTCAGGACAAGAGACACGACTACATTAAGTACAACCTTCATATACTTCAGGACAAGAGACACGACTACATTAAGTACAACCTTCATATACTTCAGGACACGAGACATCAAGTACAACACTCAACTACATTAACACAACTACACAACCTTCATATACTTCAGGACAAGAGACACGACTACATTAAGTACAACCTTCATATACTTCAGGACAAGAGACACGACTACATTAAGTACAACCTTCATATACTTCAGGACAAGAGACACGACTACATTAAGTACAGCCTTCATATACTTCAGGACAAGAGACCCAACTACATTAAGTACAACCTTCATATACTTCAGGACAAGAGACACGACTACATTAAGTACAACCTTCATATACTTCAGGAAGAGACACGACTACAGACAACGCTTCATATACTTCAGGACAAGAGACACTACATTAAGTACAACCCTTCATATACTTCAGGACAAGAGACACGACTACATTAAGTACAACCTTCATATACTTCAGGACAAGAGACACGACTACATTAAGTACAACCTTCATATACTTCAGGACAAGAGACATTAAGACTACCTTCATATAAGTACAACCTTCATATACTTCAGGACAAGAGACACGACTACATTAAGTACAGCCTTTATATACTTCAGGACAAGAGACACGACTACATTAAGTACAACCTTCATATACTTCAGGACAAGAGACACGACTACATTAAGTACAACCTTCATATACTTCAGGACAAGAGACACGACTACATTAAGTACAACCTTCATATACTTCAGGACAAGAGACACACCTACATTAAGTACAACCTTCATATACTTCAGGACAAGAGACACGACTACATTAAGTACAACCTTCATATACTTCAGGACAGAGACACGACTACATTAAGTACAACCTTCATATACTTCAGGACAAGAGACACGACTACATTAAGTACAACCTTCATATACTTCAGGACAAGAGACACGACTACATTAAGTACAACCTTCATATACTTCAGGACAAGACACGACTACATTATGTACAACTTTCATATACTTCAGGACAAGAGACACACCTACATTAAGTACAACCTTCATATACTTCAGGACAAGAGACACGACTACATTAAGTACAACCTTCATATACTTCAGGACAAGAGACACGACTACATTAAGTACAACCTTTATATACTTCAGGACAAGAGACACGACTACATTAAGTACAACCTTTATATACTTCAGGACAAGAGACACGACTACATTAAGTACAACCTTCATATACTTCACCTTTAAGGACAACCTATATACATACTTCAGGACAAGAGACACGACTTACCTTTATATATTAAGTACAACCTTCATATACTTCAGGACAAGAGACACGACTACATTAAGTACAACCTTCATATACTTCAGGACAAGAGACACGACTACATTAAGTACAACCTTCATATACTTCAGGACAAGAGACACGACTACATTAAGTACAACCTTCATATACTTCAGGACAAGAGACACGACTACATTAAGTACAACCTTCATATACTTCAGGACAAGAGACACGACTACATTAAGTACAACCTTCATATACTTCAGGACAAGAGACACGACTACATTAAGTACAACCTTCATATACTTCAGGACAAGAGACACGACTACATTAAGTACAACCTTCATATACTTCAGGACAAGAGACACGACTACATTAAGTACAACCTTCATATACTTCAGGACAAGAGACACGACTACATTAAGTACAGCCTTAAGTTCATCTTCCCTGGTCAACCAACAAGGTACTCACCAACAAAATACGCCTGTGCACTGGTTACCCCGTTATCCGCCGTACACACATAGACTCCAGTGTGATTTATAAAGTTGCCAGGCGTTATTCCCTTTATGATCATCTCTCCATCACCGTAGATCTCGTGCGTGCTGTCAGGGGTGATGGGCGGTTGGTCAAGTTTATTCCACGTAATCCTTGGTCGTGGGTCACCACTGGCAGTGCATTTCAGTCGGGCGACTCCATTGACGTCCATTGGATTCACCACCGTCACCTGATGGTCCATATTTATAGCCACCTTTGCTGTGGTAGGAGATGACATTGGATTATCTTCATATCGTGATACGTGGACGCGGTATGGTCAGTCACTGAGTGACCAGGAGAGCGTGATCATTGCTCAAATGTATTTGATAGAGACCCGTGAAGATCCGGGTTAGAACTGATCTTAAGTAGTGAGTGAGTTTAGCTTTACGCCGCACTCAGCAATATGACAGCTATATGGCGGCAGTCTGTAAATAATCGAGTCTGGTACAGACAACAGCGATCAACAGCATGAACATCGATCTACGCAACTGGGATACGATGACATGTGTCAAACAAGTCAGTGAGCCGGACCACCAGATCCCGTTAGTCGCCTCTTACATCATCTTCAGTAATCCATGCTTCAGGCCCGGGTCTTCAGGCCCGCTGACTTGGTTGACACATGTCATCGTATCCCAATTGCGTCGATTGATGCTCATGTTGTTGATTACTGCGTTGTCTGGCCCAAACTCGATTAATTACAAACCGCCTCCATATAGCTGGAATATTGCTGAGTGCGGCGTAAAACTAAACTCACTACTACTACTGTTAGAGGCGGTAGGACACAATAAGGCGGAAGTTTGCAACGAGTTAATTTTACATTAACTGGCGTTAAGATTTTTGGTCAATAAAACCATACTGATGTTGAAAAGGAATCCTCACAGAGTTAACTCACACGAACAATTTAGTGACAAATCGGCAACCTTGTGAAGTTGAAATGGCGGATGGAAGAAATTGACAGACAACCTGCTACCCATACTATAACAAGTTAGGACTGAGATTGTGAACATTCAAACGTGTGTTACTACCTGGCGTCGTTGTCGGCGTGGAGTTGTTGTTTGCGTAGTTGTCGGCGTCGTTGTTGGCGTCGTCGTTGGCGTAGTTGTTGGCGTAGTTGTTGGCGTTGTTGTCGTAGGAGTGGTAGTAGAATCTGCTGTTGAACTGGAAGGAGTAGAAGACGAAGTGGATGGGGCAGCAGTTGTGGTTGTAGCAGTTGTTGTAGGTGGTGATGTTGGTGTAGGTGTAGGAGGGGCAGTAGTTGGCACAGCTGTAGTCATAGTTGTGGTAGGCATAACGGTCGAGGTGATCGTCGCAGGTGTAGTTGAGGCCGTGGTCGTCGTTGGGCTTGCAGCTGACGTCATCACTGTACTCGAAGATGTTCCTGAAATGTGCAAATATATATCGGACACAACCTTCAAGTGGTGGTCAAAATACAACGAATACCAGACTGTTATACAATGTATTCACTCGCAAGAGGTGAGGTGAGGTGAGGTGAAATTGGGTTTAACGTCGTGCTTGAGAATATTTCGCTCATATGACGACGTACATGCGTGTGTATGTGTATGTGCGGCTGTTTGTACTAGCCCAAACTGAAGCTGGTTTTATAGTGCTAGCCCACTGAGATACCATGCCGCAGTGAAACATGAATACCCCACTCAGACACATTATACTGACTCTGAGCCGACCAGTCCTTGTTGTACCCATTAATGCCGAGCGCCAGACAGGGACCAACAAGTACCATATTTTAACGTCTTTTGGAATGACGCGGTCGGGGATCGAACCCGCGACCTTCCGCCCTCCGGGCGGTCACTCGCAAGAGAACAGAAACAAAGCATCTTACGATGTGAATGCAAATAATGGCCAGTGACGACCTCAGTACTTTCCATCACGTGACCAGATGGCAAGGTCTGAATGCTGCTGTATTCCCCTTACATGAGGTCTGGTTTAAAATAAATAATTGGTTTGGTGGTTGTTTAACGCCGCACTCAGCAATATTCCAGCTATATGGCGGAGGTCTGTAGATAATCGAGCTTGGATCTGAAAATACAGTGATCAACAGCATGAGCACTGACCTACGCAATTGGGATACGATGACATGTGTCAACCAAGCGAGCCTGACCGCCCGATCCCGCTAGTCGCATTTTACGACAAGCATGGGTTATTAGAGATCAGTTCTAACCCCGATCTCCACGGGTCCAGTTTTATCAGGACGGCAAGTAAATAACAGAAAGGACCAGACAAACCAGTGACTCTATGCACCACACATATGCAGACCAGTGATTGATATTATGAGCACGCCGTCGTGGTAGAAAGACACGCAACCAACCACAACACCGAGCCTGGCAACCTGATCAATTCTCGTCTCGTACAAGTAGTGATTACAGAGGGGTTATTGTAGCTGTGTTCCCCGTGTTCTACGTATTATCTACAGCATGGTGTACCTGCCGCTAATGGTGTTGCAGGAGATGACGGTGTGGAACTTCCAAGTGATGTGATGGCGGTGACGTTCACGTCAGCGTTACACAAATCTGTATCACAACAGACGCTGCGTTGAGCACAGGTCTGGAGAAGAAATACAAATGTGTGAAAACAAATTTATTGAATATCTTTTATGCCATAAACCATTCGTTGAATTCGTCCTCCTTTCATCTTATGTATTCTCACATTTATGAAATAGGATGGCATATTACCACAACGAATTATTTAAATCATAATGATGTTTAGAATTGTGACAGACGTAACCGGACATAAAACCAGTAGAATGTGTATTCATGTGATCAAATTTAATGACATACTTTTGTAGAAGAATAAGATATGGGCGGGTTAATATGACAGCTTCCATCGCTTATAAAGGAAACGTTGCTCATTCACCAGTTTCACACATAAGGCGTGAATAATATGCGTCCAAAGCCAAAAGCACACCAAGATTCTTTATTTGTCCTCTCAAACAGTGTGCAAAATAGCAAAAGGGCCCGCTAGCCCGTGGCTAGTAAAAATCCAGTCGGGCCAGTAAATCTCCACAGTCACTGGCCCGACTGGCTAGTGACTTTTCACTGGGACATTTCAAGTCAAAACATTGATTACACAACAGTCTCGTTTCCTGTTGACTGGGTTCCGTCCTATTGCGCAACTTAGTACAATAACCAGTCCAGAATTTTGAGACTAACACATTCAACTGGAGATATAAATATTAATCAGTATTAGTTGATGCATGTAATCACTTGTATATTGCAACTCTGCGCTCCCCTTATCATTGCAAATACGTCGTGCAGCGTGCTCTGTCGTACTGCGTGCTTTGACAAACGGAAACCTGGAAATCGTGGAAATCTCAAAACGAGGCTCGGCCGATAGAAAACTTTGGCGGTCTGGTCAGACTTGATATGATATCAATCACATTGTACGTTACAAAAATACACTTAATTAAAAACACATAACAGGTGTAACCAGTTAGCCTGATGAATTGTGAATCATTGTACGGCCTCTTCAAACAGGGGCAGTCTGTGAGGTCTTAGTTAACGACATGCTACCTAAACCTCGACATAAAATACAGAAATACGATTTTATTAAACTTTCAAATTGAAATAAATTTGTAAATACCATTTGCTTATGAAACAAGGAACTGGAATGCAGTGTAACCAGAGTTGTTTATAGTGTCTTTTTTCACTTTCACACGAGGAAATTCGGATCGGCTGAAAAGTAGGTCATTGTCTGAATTGGTTTATGAGACGTATTTTTCGGTTTGGTAAGTATATCACTTTCTCCGACTAGTTAAGTTATAATACACTTTGATATCATGCAAGAGTAGGGCCTGATAAAAAATGTTCATCATAGTACCACCTTAATGATGAAACCCGTGTCTACATTCAAATTCCGGGCTAGTGAATTACTTTGTGGGCTGGTAACATTCCGGCATAGCTAGCCCGACAGGCTAGCAAAGTTTGGCGACTATTTCGGATACTGACTTTCAACACCCTTCGCCTTAGTTTTACTAAAGAGGTAAACGACAGGATTTTTCTCCTTCTACTGAGACACTGTGTTTATCTGGAGCCACTCACTTAATTTGACTACGTTCAGCCCCGTGTCACCAGTGAAAGTGAATTGGAATAATTAAACACATGTATATAATAAATATAGTGATACCTATTCCGTTTTCGATGCAAATTCTCTGCATGCACGTGCTTTTGGCTATTGAGTGAAGCGGTTGAACAAAAATCTACCTGTGTAAAAAGGTAACATTTTGATTATGATTGAGAGATTCGGTTATGACTACTTACTGAATTCTTAGCACATCCGAGTTGGTAAAACGAAAGCCCGAAATTTTGTTTCACATCCACAGAACATTGCTGGAACAAAGGAATTCTATATAATACAGGTTGGAATGTCAATGAATGGCATCTGAGAAGACTACACTGGTTGTGCTGTTACAAGTGGCAGGGGCCCCCTTTGTGTGTGCCTGACTAGTCACGACTTGTCCTGAGATCGACTCCCCACATGTACACTGTGATTGGCATGTCCAGATGCTCTCCATGCTGGCCACATCTGTAATCCTTTGGTTAGAGTTGTGTCGGCAGCAAGTGTGAGTGAGTGAGTAAATTTGGTTTTACGCCGCTTTTAGCAATATTCCAGCAATATCACGGCGGGGGACACCAGAAATGGGCTTCACACATTGTACCCATGTGGGGAATCGAACCCGGGTCTTCGGCGTGACGAGCGAACGCCTTTACCACTAGGCTACCCCACCGCCCCTCGGCAGCAAGAGGTCATAGGTTCGACCACCGCTGCAGTTTAATAGAAGAGTGAGTGAGTATGGTTTACGCCACTTTTATCAATATTCCGGCAATATCACGGTGGAGGGACAACAGAAATGGGCTTCACACATTGCACCCATGTGGGGAATCGAACCCAGGTCTACAGCGTGACGAGCGAACGCTTTAACCACTTGGCTTCCCCACCGCCCCTAGAAATGTAAGACACCCAGATCATATTCAAACGCTATAATATTCCGGCGGTGGCTAGCCTGGTCGTTACAGTGTTCGCTCGCTACTACGAAGACACTGAGTTCGATTCTCCACATTGGCACAAAGCGATCTTAGCAGTAAAGGTGATGGCGACTCCCATACTAAACAGGGACTAACGCCAGACTTAGCTAAGGTTGCTTTGTACATCAGGGCCTAGATTTTCGAAGCTCTCTTAGCGCTAAGATAGTTTTAAGTGCCATACATTAACATTAACTTACGACTATCTTAGCGCTAAAAGAGCTTCGCAAATCTAGGCCCAGGGGTGTGATGTCCCCGCCGTGATGTTGCTGGAATATTGCAAAAGGCGGCGTAAACCATACTCACTCACAATCTTTAATGATCGTTATCTCCTGATTTGATACCCGTTTAATATAAGTCAAGATCTCAGCCATGACGACATCGGTGCAATGTGACCTTGAACTTACTTCATCAGGTCCACACAGCTCAACCTCGTCACATTCGTCAGGATTTTGGACTCCGTCACACTTCATACAGAACGTCATCCCGGGTTTCTTGATGTCTACAACACATATTAGTCATCTAAAATTTGTGGGAACAGTCAATCGGTTTTGTGTGATATTGTTTCTGAACTACACTTCAGTTACATATACCATTAACGTAAGTAGGGGATATTCAATAAGCTGTCACAATGTTGATATAAATAGTTACAGCGTAACAGGGATGTTTGACTAAGATTTACATCAGTCTTTCAAAGTCAGATGACAATCAACAGATGGCCGGAAAAGGGTCAAAGCGCCTTCTGTATATCCTTCCAGAAACCCCCAAAGTGATGCCTGGCTTTGGAGAAACGCTCCTACGTGGTACGGACACAGCAGGGAGAGTACTTATCTAGAAGTTGGGATTTGCACCACCAATGGTGGTCTAACGGAATCCATCTAGATAGCTCGTGCAACAACATATGTCACCCTGCTGTTGATATGTATATCGCATACACCACCATACCTATACCACCGCACAGTTTGGCGTTACAGAAGTCGTCGGCGCAGCATTCTGTGCAAGTGTCCGGCTGGTCAGCCGCGTCGGCTGAAGGCTTCGTTGATGGACATTGCTGGTAGAAATTGACAAGAACGGAGTGATTATAGCGGTTGTATTTGTTATTTAAAATATTGTCATCATGACATAAATGCTCGCAATGCAATTGCAGGAGTATCCCCCAGATCGGTATAACGGTAATTCGTTATTAGCATTTCGGCAAAATATACAGCATGTGTCCGGGGCTAAACAAACCGTTCGTTTTATCCGTCTGTTCGTTTTAAGCGTTTTCGTTATAATCGTAGAATATAGTTGCAGGCAACGATGAGGTCTCCTTGGCTTTAGTTCTATCTATCGATCTGAGGGCTAGATATCATCGTCTTAAACGGAGCCAGAACACGTGTTTTGACAGGCGAGCGGATCTTCCAAATACAGCCGCCGGGGTCGCGGGGGTCATGTACCCTTTTAAGAAGTTCCGGAGAAGAAATAGTTCCCTCTTTAAAAGGCTGTATCTCAGTTGTTCTTGGGTCTACGGTCAAAACAATTAGTGTTCTGGAATCACCAAGACATCATCTACCATACTGGCACCTTTTGTGCAGAATTTGCACATTTTGGGAGCAACCTACTCAGAAAAGTGCTGAAAAACATGGCCAAAAACTGAAAACAAAAATAACTGTCAAACGGTACGTTTTAGCGACTTGACCTGTCCAGGCAAAATTGTTGGGATTTCGATTGTGCATCTGTACAAGAAATTTGGAGTGTTGGAACGATTAGTTCTTGAGATATTTGCTGTGAAATGTTGAAATTTTAGAATTAATTTTGAATTATCTCCCCTTTGCTATTGGGCCAAGAGCCTAGAGATTTTAAGGGGAATATCTACCCCTCGGTGCGCATCTGTGTGATTTTTTGTAAGCGATTCGGAGCATTGATTTAGGAGTTATGTTTGGTACAAAAATCGGCGGAATAATAAATAATAATAATAATCCGAACGATTACAATAGGTCTCCTGCCTTGAGGCAAGGAGCCCTAATTAATGTAGTTGATTCTGTGATTCACCTTCAAAGCGATGATGTCAGTGTACTCACATCTTTGGACATACACCCCGACCTGTACTGTGCTCCGCCATTCAGTCCTCCATGTAAAGCTGTGAAACACTCCTGTTGGCATACCCAAATCATCATCAGCGAGAAAGCTAAAGAAGGCAAACTCGTGTATCTGTAGCGTGTTCAATAATCAAAACCTCACACTGATTGATTCCCAGTCAGTGAATATATCATACCTGTATGGACCTCACAAGTTTCAGATATATCTGCACGTATTAACAACGGGGATAGTTCTATGGTTATGCAACTTCTCTATGATAAATATGAGAGACGTTTCGGTGTAGCTACTAATACCACACCGTAGGAGCAGCGAACGGCAGGAAATATTTCATGGCATGGAAGTGAACGATTTATCACGCGAGAGGAGAGCAGGTTTTATATTTTATGTGTAGGAAAATTGTCAATATCTATATTTGTATAGGCCACATTGTCTAGCTTCGGCTACGTTTCCGTAAAGATGCATAAACATATCAAAGTTTAAGGTATCATTGCTGTATATACCAACATTAAGAGTAATTATCGAGCTATATTTGTGCCAAATTTGAATGCTTAGTTTTGTACCGTTTTTGAGCTTTCATGCTCGAAAGACAGACACCATCAAACAGTTTGTGAACGATTTAAGAGATGAGGTGAGGTGAAATTGGGTTTAACGTCGTGCTTCAGAATATTTCGCTCATATGACACATTATACTGACTCCGAGCCGACCAGTCCTTGTTGTACCCATTAATGCCGAGCGCCAGACAGGGACCAACAAGTACCATATTTCAACGTCTTTTGGTATGACGCGGTCGGGGATCGAACCCGCGACCTTCCGCTCTCCGGGCGGACGCTCTAACCACTACACCACGGTGGCGGTCGAACGATTTAAGAACATCATGGTGAACGATTTCATGTCGACCTCAAATTTACACGGTGAACGCTTTACGGCGGTTAGTCAATATAAGTTTCTAGTGACAAGGTGTGCTTTACTGCCCCAAAGTAGAGCATTCACAGAGAATTCATACAGAGACACCCGTATTTCAGTCACGTAAAGCTAAATCAACTTGATAATAAATTTTCACAATTTTTTGTATTATTGGAATATCGGCCGCTTCTATTACTTACATGCTGGTGTGTGGCTATATTTGTAATGTAGATCTACCATTTTGTGCTTTGTGCCTACCTCGCTAGGTCCGCACCTGGCGATCAGACCACAGATAGCTGGCTCAAACACCTTGTCACACGTGAAACACCATGGTCCGGGACCTGACAGATAAAACACACAATACAACATAAAGATAGAATTGAGTGAGTTAGTGAGTTAAGATTTAGAGTCATATCGGCAATATTGCAGCCATATCGTGACTATAACAATATATACTTGGATAATAAATAAAAGTTATTTCGTAAAACCTGTCAACAAAGGACAATAAAACAACCAGGTTATCACAGAAAGAAATATAAATCTAGCATGTAAGCATTAAAACATTTATCACAATACAGGACAACACAATATAAAAACAGGGCTATGGGTCACCAACAACTAAAGGTTGATATACTAGAGACCATGGGGACTTACAGTACCTTTGCTACCTACATTGACCCTCGCTGGATTTACATCATTCCTTCAGATGTTGGTGAGTTTTGCATAATTTAGCATTTATATATATATATATATATATATATATATATATATATATATATATATATATATATATATATATATATATATATGTAGGTTTTAATGTATGGCTAAATTATGCAAAACTCACCAACATCCGAGGGAATGATGTAAATATATACTAAGATTAAAATCACGGACAATGAAAAATACTGTGAATGAAATGGGACTTACATAACCTCTCCAGGAGAAAATAATTTTACGCTACTGCAACCCCTTTGAAGGTATAGCCACTAACAATCAAAGTTATTTATCCATTCTCGCAAATTAAAACTCATATGCTTATAACTATACATATCACAATTTATCAAGTAATTCAATTTCTTTTAAAAAAATCAATGTTTAAATGAAGATAGAATTGAAAAGTAAATATGATCTGCACACTTTTAACTTCAGATGTTTAGAACAATCAGATTATATTGAATCTGTTAATTTTTAATGCAATTTAGGTAGGTATTACATTTTATTGTTTCATGTAATACATGTAAATTTAATATCAAAATGCAATTCACTTTCGTATTACATTACAGAGCATCGACATCGTTATACCACATTGCTGCCCAAGCTCTCTTGGATGTGTGTGTGCAGTACTAACGTACCTGGTGGCGTAGTAGTTGGAGTTGTCGTTGTTGTGGTGGTGGTGGTCGTTGTTGTCGTAGTTGTCGGGGTAGTGGTTGTCACTGTAATCGCAGACGTCAGTGAGCACCATTAGCACAAAGTTGAAGATGACATCAATCAGTCAGCTTACTTATAAAGGGAGATAACCCCCAACCGCATCCAACATTTATACAGTCAATGTATCGGGCGCAAAATATGCCTCTTACTGGCCCACGTCGCCCTCAAACTATAAAACAAACCCACTAAACCAACATTTACATATGCAAAATTAATGTGAGTCGACGCTCGTTGTCTTCAGCGTTGTGTGGAAAGGAAGGGGTGGTCGAAGTATTGTCAGAGAATCCCCGTGTCATCTTTACAGCGTTATAGGTGAATACCTCCACCCAGGGACAAAACCCGTTAAGATCCGGGCTAGAATTGATCTTCGGTAACCAATGCTTGTCGTATGAAGCGACTAACGGGATCGAGTAGTCAGGCTCGCTGACTTGGTTGACACATGTCATGGTATCCCAAATGCGTAGATCGATGCTCATGGTGTTGATCACTGGATTGTGTGGTCCAGACTCGATTATTTACAGACCGCCGCCATATAGCTGGAATATTGCTGAGTGCAGGGTTAAACAACAAGAAACCCAAACCAAACAAGTCCATTCTTGGTACCTGTACAATGGACAATGAGAGGTTTATTGTCTTGCGTACCAGACATTGAAAACTACACTGCAAACTTACAAGGGTCAAGAAGTTACTGGCTGATTACTAACTACTTGTATGCTGGCTATGTTTGTTCGGTAAAGCTGTGGTCAAGTAGTTTATGCACCAATTGAAGTATTTCTACACTGACTATATACAAAGTGTAATGGGGTTCAGAAACATGAGCAAGTATGACCAGTATATATCTGAGGACGTTAGACTGCAGGTGCAAGCCTAGAGTAGACACCGACTGGACGTTGGCTTATTTCTTCGGGTAAGATTCATAGGCGGATCCAGAGGTTTTCAAAGGTTGTGTGTGTGTGTGTGTGTGTGTGTGTGTGTGTGTGTGTGTGTGTGTGTTGTTCAGGAGGTTCGATTCATAGGCGGATCCAGAGGTTTTCAAAGGTTGTGTGTGTGTGTGTGTGTGTGTGTGTGTGTGTGTGTGTGTTGTTCAGGAGGTTCGATTCATAGGTGGATCCAGAGGTTTTCAAAGGTTGTGTGTGTGTGTGTGTGTGTGTGTGTGTGTGTTGTTCAGGAGGTTCGATTCCCCTGAACCCCACCTTGGTCGGTCATTGCAGAACCCCCTGAACCCCCCATCTGGATCCGCCACTGAGATTGGTTGTCGGAACCTCTGCCTCATTTACAAGCTTTTTGGCTTACCATGCTCCAAATGTCTTCAACAAAATTGTCTTCGTCGACCAAATGAGTAAGTGAGTTTAGTTTTACGCCGCTTTTAGCAATATTCCAGCAATATCACGGTGGGGACACCAGAAATTGGCTTCACACATTGTACCCTTCTGGGGAACCGAACCCGGGTGTTCAGCGTGACGGGCGAACGCTTTAACCACTAGGCTACCCCACCCTCCCTCTCCCAAATGAAATGGTACCTCTGATGTGTTTGATTACCTCTACCTGGCTTACGGGTGTTTTGTCACACGCGCATGCGTATAATGCTAATCACTTTCAGTGACGACAAATGACTTCATGAACGTGTACCTGGCGTGCTAGGTTGGGATGACGCCGTGTTGGTGATGTTGATGTCAGCGTTGCACACGTCTGTGTCACAGCAGGCGCCGTGTTGTTGGGCACATCCCTAGACAGAGAGCGATGTCACACATGTATGCATGTAATTTAACTATGAACACAATTCGTGTGATTACAACTATCCGTGTTAATTTAAAGGCACAATGTCACACATTTTCGACAATATTTTTGTCTACGTTTTATATATTGGGGGCATATGCATTCACTTTAGCTTACTATTGATGCAGTAAAAGACTTATTATCCTTGACGACTTGCCTGAAAGCGATAATTAAAACTTCGAGGCGAACAGCTTCCAGGCAGATAACACTGCCATATATGGAATGTAAACGATTGCTCCGTACATCGAAAACTGTCGCACGCGGTGTTGTCGGTGTTTGCCAAACTGGCCTCAATCACAAGTTGCATTATAGGATATTCATAGAGAGCACTCCAAGGGACATAACTCTATGGGGTTCGCTTGAAATAATGTTCGGCCGGCTGAGGGCGCGAGAGTCGATTTAATGCAACATTGCATTAGTTCATTCGAACTTTTTGATTTGATATTATAATCTAATTTTTGGAGGAATTAAAAATTATATGGTAGCTTCCCGGAGGCCTAACAGTTATATTATTGAGAAATGTGGTGTGACATTGTGCCTTTAATTATGGAATTATTTCATCGAAGTATTTTTGACTAACAAAGGTTTATAAAAGTGAAATATGGCACTAAAGCAAACGAATAATAGTTTTTTTCAAGAAATAATTGAACAATAATTACTCCGAATCGAATTGATCAGCTTTATATTATATTTCAGAAGGTCGTCTAGCATCAGAAATATTTAGCCTCACATTGATCTAAATGTGGGAATTTAAAAACGAAATCTGAACTTAACGAAGTGTTTCTGTGGTAACTTACTGCTTTCTCAGCACAGCCGAGTTTGTAAAATGTTACTCCGAAATGTTTCACTGTGTCCGCTGCACATTGCTGTAACGAAGGCAGTTGTTTTAAGAGAGAGTATAAGTTCAGGTACAAAACTAGAACTATGATAACATTTCAACCAATCTCTATTTTTATACTCGCGACCCACTTTCAAATGAGGATGAAACTAACAATATTGATATACATTTCATATCTGTGAAGTTTAAGACATCGTTTTAGAAAATCTCTTTAGAAAACTCTGTGAAGAAAAATTTCCCACGCCTCATATAATAAATATCCAATAAATTGCAACCACATTTGTTGTCAGAAGTTCTCGAATATCTAAAGATCTTTGGAAACGTTTGGAAACTATATTTATTTCAAGTAGTTCATTCTTCGTCACTTAATTTGACCCGTGAAGATCCGGGTTAGAATTGATCTTCAGTAACCCATGATTGTCGTAAGAGGCGACTAACGGGATCGGGTGGTCAGGCTCGCTGCCTTGGTTGACACATGTCATCGGTTCCCAATTGCGCAACTCGACGCTCATGCTGTTGATCACTGGATTGTGTGGTCCAGACTCGATTATTTACAGACGGCCGTCATATAGCTGGAATATCCACACACACACTCACTTAATTTGTGTGTTTACCGAAGCATAGAGCTCAGGTAACAAAATCAGTTAAGCAACTTAAGTTACGTAAAGCAACGTTGAGCGGGGCCATAGTTGAATGTAATCGTGAACTTACTTGCTCAGTGCTACACAGTTCTACCTCGTCACAATCACCCGAATGCTGGACTCCGTCACATTTCATACACAGGGTCATCCCCGGCTTCCGGATTTCTACAACAGTTCAAGGTTGTTTTAATCCATATCTTATCCTGTTTAACTTATGTAACGAAACACTCAAACCAGTGATTGATATAATGAGCAAATGTCCTGACAATACGCCTAATCGACAAGCATACTCCTTATGTGACCGAGTCTAACCGACAATGACTGAGGTGAAGAATAGTTTGAAATTGAGCTATTGTGTTGCAAATAAAGACAGCGACATATTTACAGTACATCAGAAATTCTAAAATGTGTCAACAATAGTATCTTATTTTTTATAATATCCCACCTTAGAATGTGTCAGAGCAAGTTTTTCAGTCTATAAAATCCAGCAACCTCATTACTAAACAATAAACCGGTGAAGATCCGGGTCAGAATTGGTCCATGCTTGACCTAAAAGGCGACTAACTGTACCGGGTGGTCAGACTTTCTGATTATTATGAATGCCATCGTATCCCAAATTTGATATATATGATCATATGATCATATGATCGTTATATCAGTCACTGAACTGCCGTGTCCAGATTCGACTACGAGCGCACACATATAGCTGGAATATTGCTGAGTGGGGCATTAACAACCACACTACCTTAAATAGACAATTAATATCATAGTATCACACTGTACCTATGCCGCCGCATAGTTTGTCGTTACAGAAGTCGTCGGCGCAGCATTCTGTGCAGGTGTCTGGCTGGTCAGCCGCGTCGGCCGACCGTTTCGTGGTTGGACATTGCTGGAACAGATGGACAGGTTACATTCACATAAATATTTACCTGTGCACAAATCAGTCTTATGTTTGCATATGTGTACATTCATAATAAATGGATCATATAACAACGGAGTTCAATACACTGTACAGTTAACTGGCCTCTCCACTCCGGTGAAATCTAAACCAATGAGCTGTACAAACACCTTCTCAATGTGTATCCATGTACATTACTAGCCGCTTAGAACATACACAGATCGCTTCTGTTGTAATAACGAATGTGTTCATCAATATGTTCTTATCACTGCGTGTGCAAAATACTGCTACACGTACAAGTCAAAACATTGATTACACAACAGTCTCGTTTCCTGCTGACAGGGTTCCGTCCTAGTGCGCATATTAGTACAATAACTAGTCCAGAATTTTGATACCAATTCATTCAACTAGATACATAAATATTAATCAGCTCGCTGACTTGGTTCACATATCGTATCGCAAAACATTGATCACACAACAGTCTTGTTTCCTTCTGACTGGGTTCCGTCCTATTGCGTCCAGAATTTCAACTGGATCTATAAATATTAACCAGTACTATATGATACATCTAAGCACTTGCATATTACAACACTGCGCTCCTTCTAATCCTTGCAAACACGTCGTGCAGCGTGCTCTGTCGTACAGCAAGCTCGAACAAACAGAAACCTGGAAATCGTGGAAATCTCAAAACGAGGCTCTCCCGCTAGAAACGTTTGGCGGTCTGGTACGAACTTGATATTATATCAGTCACATTGTACGTTACAAAACTACACTGAATAAGCGCAAAAAACACGTAACAGGTGTAACCTGCAGTGAGCAAGATGAATTGTGAATCATTTTACGACCTCATCAAACAGGGGCTGTCTGTGACGTCTTAGTTAAGGCCAGCTGCATACACCTCGCCATAAAATATAGAAATACGATGTCACTAAAGTTCAAAATTAAAATTAACTTGTAAATACCATTTCCTTATGAAACGAGGAACTGGAATTCAGTGTAACCATACAAGCAAGAGTTCGATTAAAAAATTGATACTTGTCTACAAATGCTATCATCAGTCACCTCGTCCATATTTGAATGATTTTATTCACAAATATGTACCATTGAGATCACTTCGATCTGCAGACATCATCTACTTGAAGTTCCAAAGCACAATCTGAAAAAGTTTGGATATAGATCCTTTGTCTACTTGGCTGCCACTTGGAACCTGTTAAATCTTGTCATGTTTAGGAGCGACCTCAAAACCTCTTTAGGACTTTCTATAACTTTTGAGCACCTATGAAAAGACGCGCTTGTGACCTCTGCAGTGATCTCATTTTGTCTGTAGCGCCATGAGTATCATTCTGGGCCTAGAATTTCGATGCCCTCTTAGCGCTAAGACAGTCGTAAGTGTGGCACATATGACCATCATAGCGCTAAGAGAGCTTCGGAAATCTAGGCCCTGGGCCTGGAATTTTGCGCATTATAAGTGCACATATTATTATTGTTATTATTGCGTAGCACCCCAACTATGAACTGAACTCCGGACACTTTGTCCTGTGTCCGGTAACGCATCAATTCGGAAAAACCAGTCCGGAAACAATTATATCAGGGCTCGTGTTTCTGAGCATAACATGGTAGGTGGGGTTATGGCTGTAAATCTTATATAGTGTCCGGGGTATCAGGAGTTGTGTTAACTTGATGAAGAAAATAGAAAATATGTTGACTTACATCTTTCGGCTTACACCCTGATGTGTACTGCATACCTCCGTTCAGTCCCGTGTGAGAGCCGGTGTAACAATCCTGTAACAACGCGAGCACAGTGTAACTCGGTAACATTTAGCCAGGGCTGAGGATCAAAATTCAATAATAAAATAGTATTTACATATATTCATAAAGTCCTCACCACTTGAAATAGAACAATGAAATATCACTATTATTGATATTTTCTGATGCATATCAAGTGACAACACGCCATTGACATGGACTAATCCAGTATTGACAAAATGGTAAAGTAAGCTTTTAAATAAATACCAAATTTGATAAAGATTAACTTAGCATTGACTTTTGACAAATCAGGTCATATTTCTCAGCGCGTGCATCTCCAACCAGGTCATTCTAACTCAAGCCAGTATTGATGTATTTTATCTTGATAAAAATAGAAACGATCGGATATTCTTACGTTTGGGGTGGAGTAGTCTAGGGGCTAAGGCGTTCGCCAGTGAGACCGGATTTTTAGACCCGGGTTCGATTCCCAACACGTGTAAACTGTGTGAAAAGTTTTGGTTTCCACCGCCATGATATTTCTGGAATATTGCTAAAAGCGGCGTAAAACATACACACTAACTGTAAAAAATTGTTTTCTGGCGACTATTTACGATGTTCTTGTATTTCTTCACGGCACGATGTAAGGGATATGTACAGGAGACCCTATATTGGTGGTTAATGCGTACCTCGCTTGGCCCACACCTGGTGACGAGGCCACATATAGCTGGCTCAAACACCTTGTCACACGTGAAACACCATGGTCCTTGTCCTGGCAAACACAACATTCATTTCTATGTTGTTAATACATTTCCATTTAACAGGCCCTGACCAGCAGCGTCATAGGTTTAGACTGTTCCATTAACGACAACCGCCGCCATATATCTTGAATATTGCTGAGTGCGGCGTAAAACTAAACTCACTCATTTAACGACAAATTCCACGTATGAGCGCCATCTCATACAAGTATAATTATGTACCAAATTTCACATATGCAGTTGATTTCATTTAACATTGATTCAGAGGCACATTTCCGCCACATGGTGATAGTTAATATAAATTATATGCTTCTCTCGAGGGTAATACGGTACGATGAACGGTCGGATTACCCTAGCAGTGTTACCCGAGTCGGTAGGCGAGGGATAACACTGCTTCAAAAAGGCGTACATCAGACTGTATTACCCGAGGGGGAAGTTTACAGCGTATTTACCTTACCGCCATGTTAAATGTACAAAATAAAGTGTTATTTTATTTTGAAGATCGATAAGCTCACTACCGACTGAATGACATGTAAACAAACTGACGCCTGCCTCTCGACTGGATTTTTAAAATCAGTGAAGCATAGTCTGACAAGCTAACATTTCTGTGCACTGCATGCGTCATATTACGTCATACGATTGTTAGTGATACAGCATCTCGGTGGAGAGTTTGGCGGTTACAGTGACAGTGGGTAATATTTTTGCCAGTTGTCACCCTCCTTGGAGGGTCACACGGAAACTTGTTAAAGCGCCATTGACCAATGAAATCAAAGTGTTTTACATGAAAGTAAGATAAGCATGCATATACGAGAATGTTGTTTTACGGTGTATTGAGAAATATCACCATCAGGGCATCGATAACAATGAAAGCATACAAACATCACAGTCAGCTTCAGTTTAGTTGACTGTTGTGAACGTTGGTATTTCCAAAAATATCTATCCAGCACACATTTCTTGACGGACAATAAATTTATGAAAGGTGAGATGATAATTAATTACGGAATTACAGTTTTGATAATATACTGATGTGCAATAATTACATGATCATCTTTTGCGTTATAACCCCGAAAACACGTGACACCGTGGTATTGGATGATTTCCTAGTTACAGATGCAATATTGGAATCTGCACAACAAACCTGACGATGTAGCTGACGCATTTAAAGACGTTGATGTTGCAGTCGGTGCTGGGCCAGTCGTGTTCACAGAGCTCGAAGATGTGCCTGTGACGTATAAATCGTGGTGAGAAAAGTCTTTGAATGATTTGATGTTGGAGAAAACCACGAAGTGATATAAACCTTAGAGAGGTGACAATAGGAGTTACGAGTTCGTCAAGCGGACGAACCGGCCAAAAGTTGTTCCATTATCAAACAAGATACATCAGGTGAGTGAGTGAATTTAGTGGGGGACACCAGAAGTGGGCTTCACACATTGTACCCATTTGGGAAATCGAACCCGGGCCCTTTTCCCTATCACGGGGTATCACCATTTTCTGGTAGTAAGGATTCATACAAACATACAAGTAGTCGGAATTGTACAGTTGACACCGCTTTTGGCAAAGATGGGTTTTTTTGTGTTTTTTTGTCAATGTGGAATTGGTAGCGTCACTCGAATATGTTTCTATTTTGGTGGTTATTCACGATTCATGCTCCAACATTAAACATGGAAGTGTCGTTATGGTTTCCGTGTCATACGTTGCGTCGACAATTCATGTAAATTTTAAAATTGCAGAATGTCATTTACCAACTTTATCCAACCAAGATATTACGATGAGTAAAGTTTACCTGTTTGGGAGGTGCCAGGTGATGTAGAGGAGTTGCCAGGTTGAGGTGAAACGTTGTTTGTGATGTTGTTGTCGGCGTTGCATAATTCTCCGTCACAACAGACGTTATGCTTCGCGGCACATACCTGAAGAAAACATGTTTGCTTCCAGCAGGACGACTTCGTGTGTTTTCAAAATGCATTATTTGCTTACAGACCGATACAGTTTAATTGTACAAAAATACCTTATGAATAGCAAGATGGTTGTATAAGAATATGAAACAACCTTGAGTCTATATCGGTAATATTGACGCCGACAGCCTTTTATTTCTCTATCGTTCCATCAGAATGCTGCTTCTCCACTGTCTTACATAGGTAGTCGTACGTGCTACCCGTATCTGGCTCACCACCAAAATCACGGGCTTCTACACCTGAAACGTATGACAATTTGAATACATATTCAATTGTCATATGTCAGCCATCACACATGCGTGGCTGACACAATATCTTCCTTTTGTTGTATTATTCACAATTCACAGGTGAGCACGCTCTCTATATTCTTTCTCTATTTCATAGTGCTAAATATATAATTATTATCAGTTAAGTACTTTAAGCAAACATATCTGTCGGGTATCACTTACTAACTTAAGCACTAGCACGTTAGACAGTGTGTGAAAGTATAATTGTAATCTATTTTATAAACCCTTTAATCATCAACACCAACAGTATATATTTTTAGTAACAATATGATGCATCACCTTTATGTGACGTCATCATGAAAACAATCATTAGTATTACCAATATGCTTGATTGATGGATATTGAATTATCATCAGTCAGCCATCGCACATGCATGGCTGACACAAAATATTCTTAATGCATTCCTCAGGCATTAAACAAGGATCTCCGTCCTATCTGTGTCTGCTTGACAAAGGCCTGAACCCGCGACAATATTTAAACACGGAATCATTGTTATATGACAGTACTGGATACACTGACAACCAATAGAGACGTTATCATTACATCCATGTTGTATGCAAACCACACGGAATGCATAAGGCAAAATTTGTCGAAAGATCAAAATCCCAACGGAAACTACATGTAAAATGAAGGTCTTTGATAAAGCAGCCAATATTTGCAGGGCACTTGCTCGAATTGAGTGAGTGAGTATGGTTTTACGCAATTTTCAGCAATATTCCTGTAATATCACGGCGGGGGACACCAGAAATGGGATTCACATATTGCTCGAATTGAGATAGGGTAGTAAATACAAGCTTTCAATGCAATGGATAGTGGGCACAGATCTACAATCGACCAATGACACGTCTCATTAATAGTGTGTACGACCTGTTGCTACAAGACACCCAAAACCTTTAACCATGACCTGTGTTTGTGTAGACTCCGCAATTGCCGCACCGTCCAAGGTGTAAATACTACCTAGAACCGTACACAGACCATATGCGGTATACTTTCTTTTGGCCGTCAGGCTACATTTTTCATGAATAATTAAATGGCAATGTCTTTTGCACTTGCCGGGATCAGGTGGTCAGACTCGCTGACTTTGTTGACACATGCCATCGGTTCTCAGATTGATGCTCATGCTGTTGATCACTGGATTGTCTGGTCCACTGTGACTCGATTACACACCGCCGCCATATAGCTTGAATATTGCTGAGTGCGGCGTAAAACTAAACTCACTCATTGTCTCAGAATATGCCCGCATCAGGTGTTATATATAGGAAAATATACCTTTGTTTGAGCCGAGGCCAAAGAGTCAGATGATGTATAGTGCCTGTACATGATGTAATCAGAACAACCTCTCAATATATCATCACTCTCAGAGCTTTATCTATCGTCCAGTACATGATGTAATCAGAACAACCTCTCAATATATCATCACAACCTCTCAATATATCATCACTCTCAGAGCTTTATCTATCGTCCAGTACATGATGTAATCAGAACAACCTCTCAATATATCATCACTCTCAGAGCTTTATCTATCGTCCAGTACATGATGTAATCAGAACAACCTCTCAATATATCATCACTCTCAGAGCTTTATCTATCGTCCAGTACATGATGTAATCAGAACAACCTCTCAATATATCATCACTCTCAGAGCTTTATCTATCGTCCAGTACATGATGTAATCAGAACAACCTCTCAATATATCATCACTCTCAGAGCTTTATCTATCGTCCAGTACATGATGTAATCAGAACAACCCTCAATATATCATCACTCTCAGAGCTTTATCTATCGTCCAGTACATGATGTAATCAGAACAACCTCTCAATATATCATCACTCTCAGAGCTTTATCTATCGTCCAGTACATGATGTAATCAGAACAACCTCTCAATATATCATCACTCTCAGAGCTTTATCTATCGTCCTCCAGCTAAGACAATTAGCGGGCAGTTTCGATATAGATGATGCCTACATTTATTCTTTTTTTTTACATTCGGGATAAATGCTCAGTCACACAAACACGACCAAATCTTGCCGGTAACATTTTCTCCTCATGTTCGTATCGAACTGCAGATGACTCGACTTAGAGCTAACGACATACGTCTGTACATACATACTTACTGTTTTCTCCGCACAGCCGAGCTCGTAAAATGCAATTCCTGCCAGCACGCCAGAATCCACGAAACATTGCTGTAAGGAAATGAGCCGGACTATTACAGTACACTCAACATGGAACATTGGAAGTTGACACGGCAAGACACTTATGTATGGAATAATAGTATTGGAGTAGTATGGCTGTCGACCTTACCAAACAACTAACACACAATTAATAGTTATTGCTTTCTTAATCACAAGTATTTTCGTATTGTCGTATATGGATTATTAGAAGCATCATAATGCAGTACGTTAAAATATGGTATTTGTTGGTCCCAGCCTGGCGCTAGGCATTAATGGATACAACAAGGACTGCTCGGTTCGGAGTCAGTATAATGTGTCTGAGCGTGGTGTTCGTGGCATGGTATCTCAGTGAGCTGGCACTATAAAACCTGATCTGGGCTAGTACAAGCAGCCAGACATATACACATATGCACGTCGTCATATGACCGAAACCCCACTTCACCTCACGTCTAATATGAAACAAACCTGAACTGCCTACTCGAAGGTATTTTATACAGATATCACAGGCCGCAATACATGTATGCTATAGATAAATACTTCACAACCACGAAAGACTAGTGACGCTTTGATTAAGAAACGTTTGCAATTTCTAAGTGAAATCCTAAGTGGGTACTGTCTTCTGCCCAGTAGTTTAACTTAACTTCTCTTGTACACATACTCATTATGGACACACTTTGAATGAAAAAATCAACTGAAGAAATAAATCACTCTCCTACCCAGAGTTCCATGCGGCAAGCCAGCATAGTACCTCTGCCACAGGCCAGAAAGATGCACCGTCCATTCAATATAAGCTACATATTTCTTAACTCTTTTATTTTTGACGAGTTTACACATCTAATTAAACATCTTTGATAGAATGGTTTAGTTTCACTGAGAAAATATCCTAAAACATGTAATACTATTTCGATTTGCGTAGCGATCCTTTGTTTACATAGGTTGTACAGCTCCACGTGCTGTCATCGACGCCGACAGAGCGCAAACAATGCAGCCTGTTTGATATCTAAATATGTACTGTCATAGACCTTACTGTCGCAGTTGTGGAAGGATATATGTAGCAGTGTAAAACATTGTGAAGAGCGCGCCGAAAAGCTTGCGTAAGGCCAGTCTCTTCTTATTCTGCATATGCGCGTTTGTTTACAAACAAGAGAAAAGTCCGGTCACGTGATATGCAAAGTAGCCTGTGGCGGTGATGTTATGCTAAGTCATCGCTGTGCCGGAGTGTGGAAATATATAGAACAGAAAATCATGATGGCGTCGGATGTGACGTTGAACTTACCTGCTCTGTACTACAGAGGTCAAAAGTGTCACAGTCTCCTGGCTTCGCAACTCGGTCACATTTCATACACAGCTTCGTCCCAGGCTTCCTGATCTCTGAAACACAGACTCGTATCATCAGCGAATGTCAACTTTCCTTGAGTGTTATACATTGACATATCACCTCCAATGAGTCTTCAATGAAGAAACATGTCACGGGCGGAAGAAGGATTCTACCATATCCATCATTGAATTTGATGTACAAATCGCTTTGTATAATAAACGAAAACGTCTTTTTGTCATTTTTAAGGCGGGTACGTTTATGATCATTAGCTTTTATGATATATTAAAACCACTTAGCATGGGTGTTTTTGTTTGGAATTAAAAAAAATATGACTGCACTGATGGAAAACCAGCGATCCCAGTCTCACGACCCGGGGTCCGGACCTCCCGACGAGGGATAGATCTCTTTAGCATCTGAACAAGGGCCTTGGCCTGATCGACCACTTCTTGAGCAGGAGTAGCAAACTTGATCCTAGGCTTTCTGAGGTATCGGGTTCTTTTTTCTTCCAATCTGGCTATTACAATCTCCCAAAATCGCATGTCTTCACGTACAAACGTATTTGTCAAGATTCTTGTACTTCATATATATTCTCCTAAAACCTATGTAAGGTTGCATCTACTTACCTATACCGCCGCACAAATTGGCGTTACAGAAGTCGCCGGGGCAGCACTCTGTGCAGGTGTCCGGCTGGTCAGCCGCGTCCGCCGTACTGTTGGTTGAGGCTGGACATTGCTAGATAAACAATGACGTCATTATGTACTCTAAACAGGGTACATATTTCAGTTGATGTGTCCACTTAAAGAGAAACACTATTAGTCTCGGTCCTGTATATCCGGACACCGGGTGTTCCGCATGAATGATGTTATAGAGGTTTACGGGTATGTAAGGCGAAATTACATTGGGTGTATTTAGTGAGAAGATTTAGCTTGAAACGTTTACTGGAGAAGTGAAAGCGAGAATAGGACGTAACATTACATGCATGACAATGTCCCAGGCGTTTTTGAGGTTCCTTCAAGGTAACAGGGCTTCAAGTGCTTATTGTTAAAGAAGGAATAGTTCAGGTGAAACTGGACCGTCCGGTACAATGAGCAATGCCTCAGGTACAATTCCAGTATAAGTTATTGAACTGAAGAAGCAGTTACATACAGTTATTTTAGCAGGGGAAGATACGATCAGGTATTAATTTCTTTATCAAATCTACAGCAGATGCTTTGCTTGATTTTATGTTGTTTAAAGCAAATGGTGACGTCTATGCAACATTTCCACCAAAAGGGCTAGTTTACAAGTTAATACAAGTGTCATGTTTCACTTTTACAACCTGAAAGTATACCTGGTTGTTTCATAGCCCAAACTGTACAGATATCGCGAGTAACTAATTTAAATTTGTATTATATCGATTGATATTTTGCCCATTTACAGAGTGAGTGAGTAAGTGAGTTAAGATCTTAAGTCACATCGGCAATATTTCAGCAATATCGTGACTAGTTCGAAATTCATAATACATACATATAATATATAAAACCCTGTCAATGAAGGACAGTAAAACCACTAGATTATCACAGATGAGGTAAAACAAGCTAGCATATATCTTTAAAATTAGAAAATTATATTTGGAGAATACAATATGAAAATGGGCTATTGATCGCCAACAACTGAAGGTAGATCACCATACTAGGGCCTATGGGGACTTACATTACTTTTGCTACCTGCATGGACCCTAGATGGATTTACACAATCCCTTCAGCCATTGGCGTTTATGCTGGGATTTAGTCATACATTAAAAAGACAAAAATACTACGACCATTTACAGAGAGTTATATCTCCCTAATAAACATGGCCCAATATGGTTCAAGGCTCTTACAATATGACATGACTGGGACCAAGTGATGAACGAAATGAAGTCACCAGATCTCATTAGACACGATTTGTAGGTTCGGGTCCCGGAAACAGAAAATAATGACTGCAGAATCATATATTATATTATACTCACAATCTTCGGCTTGCATCCTGATCTGTACTGTGTTCCTCCATTCAGACCTGGGTGGGATCCCGTGAAACAAACCTGTGGCAAGACGTCAATGAAAATACTGATTGTCTAGGCCTTAATCTCACTCAATTTACTGATGTGCTGCATATGGCGAGATCCCGTTTGTTCTGACTATCCGCATACTGGGCGATTCTTGCTAGAATATTCTTGCCTGTATTCCAAAATTGTCACGACTGACAAATACTTGGCTCCAATTGACCATATAAGACCCCAATATACAGGCTTTTCCACAGTAAATCCATTCTAAAGCGTTCGGTATTTCAAATTCCTTTCTTTAAATTTCATTCATAAAAAACCGCAATTGTATCGATGTTTCAAAAGTGTTCTGAAATTCGATCCCAAATGAAGCAAACTTTCGGCATATACCCTTTGAGTATTATCTCGATAGCTTCGGAAGCGAGCAGAGGACAAAGCGTCTGAGACAAAATAAGGGATGTCAAATCTACTGACAATCTACCCCAAGCGTTAAAATTGCTCGGTTGATGTCCTAGATGTGTTCATCTCGGACGACCTCTGGAACGTTGCTGTCGACAGTGGTGTCACTGTACAGTAAACGCTGCGGGTACGAGAAGTCACAGTATTGGTGTTGATGACATTACTGTGTAGCTTCATGAATAATTATCAATTTTCATGGGTCTGTTTTCCATCTTCTGTCTACCTACCTCGCTGTCCTCACACTTTTGGATGTGGCCACAGATGGCGGGCTCGAACACCTCGTCACATCTGTAGCACCAGGGACCGGCAGCTGAGAAATAGTCAAGTACAGCGTCATACATACATGTATGTATGTGCGCGTGTGTGTGCGTGCGTGCGTGCGTGCGTGCGTGCTTGTGTCATTTAGGAAATATTAAATCAGTTTTATCACGGTGTGTCTGTTTCATTTTTGAGAGAACCGTGAAGATCCGGGTTAGAATTGATCTTCAGTAACCCATACTTGTCGTAAGAGGCGACTAACATGATCGGGTGGTCAGGGTCGCAGACATGCTGACACATGTCACCGTATCCCACTTGTGCAGATCGATGCGCATGCTGTTGATCACTGAATTGTCTGGTCCAGACTAGATTTTTTTAGAGATCAGATAGCTGGAATATTGCTGAGTGCGGCGTAAAGCTAAACTCACTCATCTTTGAGGACAGCACAAAGAGATTTCGGTTTTAGAGATATAGATTGACATCAATCGGACATGAACATAATAACTTTGCAGAAAGAAATATCATATTACCTTAAGAAGATAGTAGATGTTTCATGGACTGCGTGACAGACTATTACACGTTTACTACTTACACGTTGTAAACAGCGGCGATAAGACAACCTCATTCTTTCACATCTGTGAGTTTATGTGAGCAATGGATTATTTTGTTGTTTATTGTGTTTTGTTTTTTTGATAGATTACTTTTAATTTCGATGTAAACGCCATCGACTCCCTATATTGTTATCTCTGTTTATATCGCCATTTTGTAACATACCTGACAGTTGACCCAGCCCGACCAGCGCCACCGCGGTGATGATCCCTGATAAACGAGATGAGTGACAGTTTGGTTTACTCCCATAACGCAGACCTCTCAATAAGCAGATAAAAATAGCACACTAATTAATTGGGCCATGCTGGTCACCCCTAATTAATGAATAGCCTGGTCCACTCCCCTACCGTAAGGGATTACCGCTATGTTAAGTCACAGAGTAGTTGTACACAACAACAACAACAACAACATTGCCTTAAAACAAGTAAAATGATTTGTAAAATATTTTTTTGTTAAGTTCTTTTTTGAAAAGAAAAGAAAACATACCTCTGCTACACACTCATTTCAATCAAGTAGAAGTCTTGAGTCTACAGCTTGTTTCTTAACAATGCTTAATGCAACATGATCCTTTCTTTAAGTCAGTAGTTTGATACACAAACTAAAGTACTGTCGGAAATGCTAGAAAAATGCTTTTTAGCCTTAATATCTTTAGAAAGGTGATAAATGTATAATGTTGTCAATATATCAACTCACCAATAGTGTACCTAATTTTTATTTCAATTGATTTAACATTCCCATGCATTTAAAGGGCAGTTTACAGGAGAGAATTTGGTACCAAAACAAGAACTTAAGATTTTTTTCAGAGTTCAGCAACAGAAATCTGAAATAGTCTTTACATTTATGCTAATAATACAGGTGGTGTAAAAATATAAATTAACGTTTTTCTTAAACAAATAAATGTTGAATGTTTGTGTTATTTTACTTAATTATGGTTTCTTTATTGAAGAAATATTAATATAAATGTTAAGTCTTGATAAATAAGTTTCCCGTCATGCATGCACATCTTTATCACAGCGTCCACTATGGCCAACTATTTGCAGACGATTATTGCAAAGGGGCCCCTTTCACGAAGCAACCTTTACTAAGGTCGACCTTAACTCCCATTCTTTAACACTGCACTAAGGTTACCTCAGTGACTTACAATCACCTTAGTGCTTTGTGAAAGGAGGCCCAGGTTTATAAGTTTTTTGTGCTTGAAAAAGACAGAGGTAAACATTTCATTAGTATAGAAATGGTTTAATGCAGAACTTGCAGAGCTGTTGGTATGTCTTACCAACAAGTTTACAATATTGTAAACAAATCAGACAAGACAGGGAACGTCTCAAAAGCAAAACCGGGACGTAAAACCACCCTTGACAACTTTGACAAGGGAGTACTTAGACGGGCGGTCTACATGCTTTAGGAGAAGAAGAATATATATATTCTAAAAAAGCTACACCAGTGACTTCGTTAAATATTTGGCCAAAGTTCACAACTAGATTAAACTGACCGAATTACATCCATATTTTTGCAATGAAATATACTGTTGACATGCAAAACATTTATTAAAAAGTTGCACATTTCTACAATCAATCGATAAGATAACACAAGTGATAGGATTATTTCCAATGTACAGTTATTCGTATGTTTGTTTCACAAAAAACACACATACACAAATGATCCCTTACATAACCAATACGTATACTATACGTACACATATTAAACATTTTGAAGAAGATATCTATTGAGATGACCCCTCGCCCGAGCGTGTGCTTAGGTGTCAATTTCACCTGTCGATACCGTGCATGCTGATGACGTAACACAGGCAGTTAATGTTTGTATCAAATAACGTCCCACTACCCGTTATTTTTCTAAGTTTTTGGTATTTCCATCAGTAAAAACACGTTTTAGGGCATGTCTCAAAATTTATTCCCTCGGTCTACATTAGGTAGATGTTTCTTAAAGTGATATTTGTTATTTAAGTAACTGTAATACCTCTGAATTTTAAATATAAGTCAAAAAGCATTTTTCTAGCATTACCGACAGTTCTTTAATAACACTGCTATGAATATAAATACTCAACACTGTTTCATTTAAAAAATATATATAATAAACACTAATGTCTGTATAATTTACATTTGTGAAAGCGATAGCAGTTTCACCAAAAATGAAATAAACACTAAATTTTGTATATTTTACATTTGTGAAAGCAATAGCAGTTTTACAAAAATGTAATAAACACTAATTTCTGTATATTTTACATTTGTGAAAGCGATAGCAGTTTCACAAAAATGTAATAAACAATAATTTCTGTATATTTTACATGAAAGCGATAGCAGTTTCACACAAAAAATGTAATAAACAATAATTTCTGTATATTTTACATTTGTGAAATCGATAGCAGTTTGACAAAACAATATAATATACAATAATTTAATATGTATATTTCACATTTGTGAAAGCGATAGGAGACAGAGGGCCTTATATTGTGGGCAACTGAAAGACCTTTGGCCTCACTGCATAGGAAGTACCCACTAAGCTGTACAACACTGTTATCGATACGAGCTCGATGGGGTCTGTCGGTACAGACTTATACTTTGACATCAGATATGTGAAATAATAATTCTCATTTTTATTCCTGTAATTTTAAATGACAGGATTGAAATATCATTGTACAGATATGTACCTTTTTCTATAAATTCAATATATTGAACAAGTAACAGTAAATAATAATATTACTCACAGTGTGCTCCCATTGTAGCCACGTCCGATGTTATCAGCTGCCTGTTATCTGGGTGGAGCTTATCAATGTCCTCTTGTGTCTCGCACTTGGCTTGATGATAGTTGACGTCTATTGTGCATCACTACAGGACGGTTGTATTCTGATGACCTACATAACATCTCGATGTCGACAACAATGTGGATGAGGACTACATATAACTTGTTTTCAGTCAGTGAATGAGTAAGTGAATAAGGTTTTACGCCGCCATTACCAATATTCCAGCAGTATCACAGCGGGGACACCACAAATAGGATTTACACATTGTACCCAACTATGGAATCGAACCCGGGTCTTCGGCGTGACGAGCGAACGCTTTAACCACTAGGCTACCTCACCGCCCCTTGCTTTTCCCACATTGCATTTTATAACGAATCAGTGGTTGTTAAAATCAAACTTGGGTCACATTTCTGAACCGTGTAACACGTGTTATATTTAGAATTATACTTTCTAGGTAAAGTTCAGATCGGGTGGTCAGGCTCGCTCACACGTGTCATCGGTTCCCAATTGCGCAGATCGATGGTCATAGACTACACTAGATTAGTTGCAGACCGACAAACAAAGCGGGAATATTGCTGAGTAGGGTGTTTAACAATAAACAAAATCAAATCTGCATAATTGTCTCCATTAGGTAGAAGTTTTCGCTAAAGGAGATCATGCAGATCCGTGTATTGCACACGATAAGACACTGTCAGAGTACAATGTAAGCTGTTAATCGCCAGCACACAAAGTCATCGATTTGACAGATGCAACCAACACAGTTTTCAAAACAATGTAGGCGACAAAATGTCGTATTGTCCACCATTGAAACAAACGTAAAGGCAGTAGGAAATACATGCTATGACCGGATTTGCGTACGATTCCCGATGTTTGCTTAGGTGGTCACTATGTCATATGTAGCCATGTTGAAACATACACACATCGTATATTACCGTATGTACAAGCACCTATTTCATGTATGCTAAGACCGGATTTCCAGACATTTCCAAGCCTGAAGTCAAAAGCTGATGCGTCAGTACACGCCTGATCATGGAGTATTTCAAACACATTTCTTTCAGTTGTAATATGTGTTGACATTTCCGAATCTTCTGGTTTGGTAATACATCCGGATATTTCCTTTGGAAGGCAAACATTTTAATAATTCAAATGTGTTCATGTCACAGTTTATGCCTTTGAAATTAATGTATCATGTCGGATATCAAGGGCATGTGTTTTAACTAAACAACAACTACTAAAACAATATCATAACAGAATTTTCGACTGTGGGTTCACGTTGTTTCATTTTCAACGATGAAGCCTTTAACATCAAAACTTATGTTACCTCACATAGCTTCTACCGCTGAGGGTCTGGCTAAGCAAGACAGTTATGCAAGCAGACACGTTTCCATTAAGTCGCCATCACCTCCTATCAACCACTTCTGGGGCGGTGGGGTAGCCTAGTGGTTTGCTCTGCACGCCGAAGGCCAGGTATCATTCCACATGGGTACAATGTGTCAAGCCACTTCTGGTGTCCACCGCCGTGATGTTGCTGGAATATTGCTTAATGCGGCGTAAAACTAATCTCACTCATTCACTCGTTAGGCAAAGGTGAGAGGGAGAAAATTTCCAGACTGATTTTGAGCCTTTCAGCGTTTGCTTACATGTTGCCATTCCTATTGGGTTTGATAGTTTCAAGGCTATGCAACATACCATCAATCTCTTTCGGTTTACTGCAGGATTTTAATCGGCGACAAGATTAGAATATGTGAGATGCTAAGCATCCGTGCATTATACAGTGCAGCAGAGGTTTTTAGGATATTTTCGGTTATTTTATCCGTTCATGCGTACTTGTTTAATAAGTTAAATGAGTTTTGCTTTTTTCAAATGTTGTTTTAATCCAATCCTCAGTTTATCTCGAAGTCTGGAGACGTCTCCCCTCCTTCCCTTCTTGCACTGTACCGTGTGTATGGTGTTGGCAAACCAATAAACATCACAGTTTCAACGCATGTATCTTGAGAGGAAGGGACATGTCATCATATTGCAAGCAAATAGTTAATAGTACTAAGTTTATGTTCATTAACATGGGATTTCTCATTTTGTACATTTTTAACAAGAGATGCTGACTTGCAATGGCATATTGTTAGTAGACTGCCCACATGTATACAAGGTGTGAAACACATTTCTGGTGACACTCGCCGTGATGTTGCTGGAATAGTGCTAGAAGCGGCGTATAACCAAACTCACTCACTCACTCACCACTGTTACTAGACTGGTGGACCAGGATACGCTCACCATTCCGCGTACAGCTGGTATCATTGTTTTCACTGTTTGATGATGATTCGCACGTGACCACAATGTTCGGGATTGTTCAATCGACTCCTGTGAGTATGGGAAAGGTTTTAATGTTACCTCTTATCAAATCTTGAAACTGAACATGATTCAAGGCCACGGCTCGTGTGTGTTGTAATGAGAATATTATGTTAAATGAAAAATAATACCCACCTTTCTGAATATATAAACTAAAGATAAGATATACAGCAGAAAACTTCCGCGGAGATCTACGAAGACCACGTCAAACCCAGGCCTGTAATTCGATCGGTGACCAATGAAATCTGAGAAATAGGAATATCGGTAGGCGCTGTTGCCTGACTGGCAATGTCTGTCAGATTGAATCATAGATTTCTGAAGCATCCGTCTCTCTGTAATTAAGATTGTGTGTTGAGCAAGTATGGTTTACTCTTCAAGTGTCCGGGGCGGTTGGCTAGCCTAGGGCTTACCTGAGGGTAAAGCCTCGAAGCTGACATATTATTCGCCTGTCATTAACTAGCATAAATAATAATAATCTTAAAAATAAGTTAGGCATTTTTATAGCATCTTAATCCAGAAAACTGCTCAAAGCCGCTTAGTTGTACGCTCTCTTGAACATGAGGGTTTTCAGTTCAGATCTGAAACTTGTGATGTTGGTATTGTCACCTAAGTAGGCTGGAAGTTTGTTTCACCAACACAACTCCTGCTTCCCGTGTGTGTTATTATTGTCATTCCCGCATGGTACAAATGGGGCGGTATTGTAGCCTAGTGGTTGAAGCGTTCGCTCGTCACGCCGGACACCCGGGTTCGATTCCCCACGTGGGTAGTATGTGTGAAGTCCATTTGTAGTAGCGGACGAGGTTCCAGTTGGAAGAATAACGCAGAACAGCTACTGGGTTGTGAGCCGACAGCAATCTCTTTTTGTGTAAACAAAGTTTACTAATCAGTTTCCAGCTCTGTAAATATTATATCAAAATACTATTAAAATATCTGATAAATTAATTACACCAGCCATATCACATAACATCTATGAATTATACATGAATAATATACAAAAGGGAACAGTGGATACAGTTAAACTGAAAAGATTAACTCGTGCAGATTACAATGTATGCTTAGGAAGCCGACACATTACTGTCTCCACAAATTGTCAAGATATATAGTCAATATATACAATATGTACACCTGACTTACCACTGTGTGGCAATGAGCTGGCAGCTTATTAAGTCGTCAGTGTCCAATCGGGATATTCTACAAATGTTACACAATTGTAACCAGGAAATATGGCAATAAAAATATACGACATAAGTATCATGGATTAAAAGAGAAATTATATTACCTTCAAAACTGGTAGAATATCTGAACATTTAAATATACTTATATACTAATTATGAACTACTAGTCAATAACACACACTCAATGGCAAGTTAATTTGTTGCTTCAACAGAGAAGTATATCTTATCAATGCATTAACTTAATGCATTTAATTCATATACAACTATACAGACATATTTATAAATACATAAATATGAAAGCAAAACACAAACTGACCTTATATATACATAAATAGATGTGAGGTCCACAGCCACTCGGTCCACAAAAAGCCAAACTATTTGCTCAGCATAACATGTGTAAGACCTCTGATTTGTAAGAGTAGTATCTGACAACTGCTTGATGAAATAAAGTTGACCTGTAGGCAAGGAGACTTACATAATAAGGATATGGGACAAGGCAGACAATGCAATGCGCTTGTCATTAGAGTGACAGTGGCTATGGTGAAGTTAAGAGTTATGTTATTGCTGGGTAAATCTAGTGTTACTTTCTGTATACTGTGTAAGTGTTATAGCTTGTTCAGGCACTTAATGGCCCAAAACATATTTCTAAAATATTTACAAAACAAATATAAAATCATCTCGGCCACACATTTATGGTTTCTTCCGACATGATATTGCTGGAAGTTTATAACTTTCACTCACGCTTCAAGCGCCTACTTCTACATCGTGTTAACAAGAACTGACACGTTTCATATTGTATAACGCTATGGCGCTTTGTTAACATGAGCTGTGCGTTTCGTAAACTGTATGTCTAATATTTTTGATAGAACTGATATTTGTAATAGAAAATATACCCTATGTGTTTCAAATGATACTGGAGATGAATACTACTACTTGTTTCATTGTAATTATTTCAACGATCTGGGAAAGTCACTACTTCCAACACTGTACATAAAGAGACCATCTGTATTTAAAACGATGAGTTTATTTCAAAGTAAAAACGTCTCTGATTTGATTAAACTGTCAACTTTTTGTCTCTCTATATTAAGCAATTTTAAATAGTTTTATGTCGTAATTACTTACTTTATGTATTGACCTCAGTAAACCCTCACCATACTATGTAGCCTTGAGAGAAATAAAGCTCAGCTAACATCAATCTTGGGGCGGTGGGGTAGCCTAGTGGTTAAAGCGTTGGCTCGTCACGCCGAGCACCCGGGGTCGATTCCCCACATGGGTACGTTGTGTGAAGCCCATATCTGGTATTCCCGCCGTGATGTTGCTGGGATATTGCTAAAAGCGGCGTAAAACCAAACTCAGTCAGTCAGTCAGTAACGTCAATCCTTTTCACACAGAAGTAATAAAAGTTCCTTGTGTTGTTTTCTGACACTTTTAAGTGGACATTTGGAGGACAAGACAAAATACATGTTGTTTTGCAGTTGCCTATTTGAATCTTGTATGGTATATTTCCCACGCTTAACATTGTATATATACTCATAGAAACGAATAAGTAAACACATAAGAGTACAAGTGTTCCTTTATTTATTTCCAGAATTTCACTCACAGTGCAATACGTACCTAGTGAAGAAACCTTGAAAAATAAAGGAACACTTGTACTTCCATGTGTTCCCTTATTCCGTTCCATGAGTATATGATGACAGATGCCATCGACAGGATAGGATAAGGCTTTTTGCAGACACTTCATATAGATACCATTGAATAGTAATGAGTAATTCATGAACATATGAGATTTCTTATGTTTATGGAAAGGATGCTGTCGCTTGTATTTTGTAGTATGTGAGACCACGTTTTGACTCATTGTTGAATAAACTTCTTTCACTGAGTTTAGACTATTGGCAAATTGCATTTCTGGTGTCCCCCGCCGTGATGTTGCTGGAATATTGCTAAAAGCGGCGTAAAAACCAAACTCAGTCAGCTATTGGCAAATTGTGAAATCCAATTAATATACATTCATAAAAGGTATCTGATGCACCCGTAAAAGGTCGATTCATGTCTCAGATTGTTGAATCAGGTTGACGTAACCGCATGTGTGAAGTTAGTGAGTTGAGTGAGTAAAGTTTTACGCCGCTTTTAGCAATATTCCACCAATATCACGGCGGGGATACCAGATATGGGCTTCACACATTGTACCCATGTGGGGAATCGAACCTAGATCTTCGGCGTGACGAGCGAACGCCTTAACCAAGAGGCTACCCCACCGCCCCGCGAATGTGTAAAGAAACAGGGTTGGTGAAGTGAGTGAGCCACGTTTAGCAATACTGAAACAAAGGAGGGAGACACCAGGAATGGGCTTCACACATAGGAGTTTCCACACATGTAGGAATCCAGCCCCGATAACCACAAGGCTGTCCTGATCCAGCCAAATATTGTTTGGTTGGTTTGCTGTTTCACACATTTCAATTCTAAAGTGCGTAAAGTAAAGGTAAAGTATTACTCACCCAACCTTAGCTAAATAATGTGTCAGATTTCAACTCACAGAACGAGTGCATTACGCCGTCATATCACGGGTCACGCGTATGAATACATTTCATTTGTGATTGTCAACATCAGTCGATCTAATTTAATTTGTTTTCAATAAACAAGGGGTATGGAAAAGGCACCAAATTACTTCAACCAACATATTTTTATAAAAATGCTATTGCACGCAACCGAGCAAAGAACAGTTGAATATCGCGACTTCGAGATGTTTTGTGAATGACAGCCGCCAGTTTGTTTTCATCACGTTACTTTGGTCATGTGAAAGAGTGCAAATAGTTCCGCCAGCACGCGATGTTATTACATAATGTGTAATAACATAGTAGAATGATTAAACAGTGATATCTTCAACGGATGAGTAATACATATACATATATACACACATGTGAAGTAATTAAGAAGGATCTAAACCCTTTTGGCCTCAACACGTGACCATACCCTAGCGTCTTGTGATGGACATTGGTGCTTCAAACAACACTATTGATAATATATACTCTTAAAAAAAAGAAACTTGACAGAGGACAAATTTGAATTTTAGGAAAATATTTGACACAAACCAATCCATGATGAATCCCAGCATGTGGGAGAATGGTTGGCGACGACAAAACCTTTGAAAAAAGAAGCGTTTAACAAAAACGTAACGTTACACTCACGTCTGTAGTCAATCGCTAAAACGTACCCTGCATGAAATGCACGAGCATCATGAACTTATGTATCACCTTGAGCTGAAGCCCATGACTGTAGGTTTTAAAAAACCACATCAATGGTACAACAAATGCATTGCTTTAGGCCACTATGGACGACAACTGAATGAAAAGACTGACAGAAGCTCAGCGACAAAACGCCATCGTCCGTTTCCAAGGACAGACATTGCAGCATCATGTGGCAAGGCACTTCAGCGTGTCCAGACAGACCATCTCAATCATATGGACACGATACAAAATGACAGACCCAGGTCAGGTCGACCTCTACTGCTCCGAATCTCCGACCAGACAGTGTGCAATTGCTATGGAAAGTCAGACTTTTTGCCAGAAGACCAGTTCAACGTCACGTCGTTCCCTACATCAACGTGACCTTTGGAGCATGAGAATGCTCGACCTCACGTTGCACGTGTTTGACAGGTCTTCCTCCAGCAAAACAATGTTCAGTTGTTACCTTGGCCTTCTCGATCACCGGATTTGTCCCCCATTGAACATCTATGGGATAATCTTGAGCGACTCTTTACGCCAGCGTAATCTGCCACCTCAGACACTACAAGAACTGCACACAGCACTTCAGCAAGTGTATCAAAACATTCCTCAAGACAGCATTCGGCATCTCCTTTCTTCTATGGGTCACCGCTGCCAAGCTGTTATCGATACTCATAGTGGTCACGCCCGATACTGACGTTTTACTCTGACCAAGTGGCTTTAATAGCCCTCTGTGGTTTTACCAAACCCCTTCTGGATAATTATGTTTTGGAAATTTGTAAAGTGATGATTTTACTGTAACTGAGCAATGATGTCATGTTTGAATTTGCTATATGCACTCAGTAAGTAAACCCCAAAATAGCATGTCGGGTGGTCGGGCTAGCCCAATTGCGCAGATCGATGCTCATGCTGCTGATCACTGGATTGTCTGGTCCAGACTCGATTATTTACAGACCACCGCCATATAGCTGGAATATTGCTGAGTGCGGCGTAAAACTAAACTCACTCACTCACTCACTCTTCCATGGAAGTAGGTTCCATGTTTATAACACTGCAGAACAGTGAAAGGTCGCCATGAACTAGTTGCATTTGGGATTTCCATTTCCCAAGTAAAAGTAACACTCTGCACGTTTTCTCTTATGCTGATGGTATGGAGTATAGGTTTGTGAGTGAGTGAGTGAATGTTGTTGTTTTTTACGCTTTTAGCAATATTGCAGCAATATCACGGCGGGGGTACACTAGAAATGGGCTCTACACAGTGTACCTAATTGTGGAATCGAACCGGGATATTCGGCATCACGAGCGAACGGTTTAACCACTAGGCTACCCCACCGTCCCTGTAAGTGTGTTAAACGCAATAATTGTGTAATATGGATTAAGTACTGCATTGACGAAAACAAAGAATGACTTTAAGAATTGGCTTCCTTTTCTGAAAAATGGTTTGGTTAAGGTATAACGTTGTCAAGTTATGCTCCCAAGGGAAAGACTTTAGGAATATAACTGCTCTACGTTAAAACACAATTGTCACTTCGATGCTGTGACACAATCGGGAGTCACATGGAAGATCCAAACAAACAAAATATTAAACATTTTATGACTGTTTCCATGAATAAATATTGAACGAAACTATACATTTGCAAAGTAAGAATAATAATTAAATGGTCAGTTTCTGTTCTCCTTGTAACTAGAAGAGTGACTGAATATTATTTTGTGACGTACCCTGTTATGAGTCCGGAGTCTCCACGAAAGACAGGTACTACTCCGTCGGGATATCAACTTATTAGTACAAAACGTTCCCCAAAGTACATTGGCTGTTGCGACCCGTGAAGATCCGGGCTAGAATAGGTCTTCAGCAACCCATGCTTGCCACAAAAGGCGACTATGCTTCTCGTAAGAGGCGACTAACGGGATCGGGTAGTCAGGCTCGCTGACTTGGTTGACACATGTCATTGGTTCCCAATTGCGCAGATCGGTGCTCATGCTGTTGATCACTGGATTGTCTGGTGCAGACTCGATTATTTACAGACCGCCGCCATATAGCTGGAATATTGCTGAGTGCGGCGTAAAACTAAACTCACTCACTCACTCATTGGCTGTTGCAGCGTATCTTATCATCGTTTCTGTTTTTCTGAAGGTACATGTGCCTGTACTCCAGTTTAATATGTGATTTTAAACACCATAAGAAATTTGTCATCTGCAATGTACAAACGACCCGCATTATCAAGTCCTACAGCTGTGGGCGTGTTCACTTTGCCTTTCGCAACATCAGATGCTACAGCACTGGAAACCTCTTCGTCGACCATGATGACGTTACTATCAACGTTGTCGACAACAAAGACGTGACCAGATGCGTCACAGGCAACAGCGACTGCCGACTTCAAACTATCAGCCGTTGACGGCTTCGTGGTCAAGAGCTCACCGTCTTTGCTGATTATCATAACACACTTGAAGACTGAATCCGTTACAGCTAGACTTTTCGATGCTGTGGCACATATCGACGACGGAGCTTTGAACATGCAGGCGTAATATTTCGACAAGTCTTTCATAAACTGACCATCCATATTCAGAATGTCCACTGATGGATGGTCTTCGCAACAGACTGCAAAGGTCCCGTCTGCAAGGGATGCTATTCCACAATATTTCCTTTTGGTTTTTACAGTTTTTCTCACATGCATATCGTCAAGAACGCGCATAAACACAATTTTCTTCTCCTCCGGGACAGTCACTGCCACTTCAAAGTCAGATATTTTGGTCACACCCCACGGCCCGTGCTTCATGTCCAACTTGTGCTTCCTCTGGGGTAAGTTTCCCCCTTCCCCACACAGAGCCTTCACCCGTCTGTTTGCGAAGTCTGTCATGATGACGACATACACCTCACCCCCAAGGACGGCGATGTCTTTAATATTACAGGCACGAGGATCGTCGTCGAAAACAACCAACACCTTGTTGACAAGTTTAGAATTAGGCGCATTGTCCTCCACAAAGCGAACAGTACAAATCTGGAGCCTGGTAACGCAGTCAATGACGTCTTCATCATGGCTCTTGGCTTCAATGAACGGGACTTTCGGCAATGGCTGTAAATCATTTAGACGTAGTTCTTGTATGAATTTCTCAGCGTCACAGTTACCGCCGCCATCATTTCTCTGTAAGTCATTGACAAGATCTTGAAAAATCTCCTCACGCTTTTCTATTTCCTGTCGTTCAGATGCAATAAAGGAATCAAGACTCTCCATCTCGCGCTGTGTCCGTCTTTCGATATGTGATACGAGGCTTTGCTCTTTTAAATCCAACAACTCTCTGGTTTTCGCAAAGGTTTTACGTATGCCTGCCGTCACGTCATCCTTCGTTTTCACAAACGCTTCTCGCCTTTGGATTAACGTGTCTAAGTCTTGTTTGCGCCTGTCAAGCCGCTGTTGTAGAGTCGTGTACTCCTTGTACGTGTCTCCCGATCTCTCTCTGGCCATGCTGAACATGTCACTGAAACGACAAGTCATGGTGTACAATATATGCTATTATAATGATCCCAAGTAAATGCATTCAAACCCCGTTGTGTCGAACTAGTCTGGACAAAGGGAATGGTTCGACTTATCCGAATGTTCGACACATCCGTCAGCATAGAAATAATGATAAATATGAGGAAATTAGCAGGGACAGATTGATGAGTTCGACACAACCGAGAAGTTGTCTCTACCAAGTTCGAGACATTGGGGTTCGACTGTAATGATATCTAGTTTTGGTGATAGAAATGGCAAATTACACAAGTGTACAAATACACACAGTAACCTAAATTGGTAATGCTTATTAGGTGCATGCACACTTTCCCTCCCGATCTACCGGTAACTAAGTTAAAACATACCGACAAATACACCTGAAAATAGTTTTTGTGCCTTGATCGAAAGATATAAAATTTTAGTAAATGAAAGCATTTTTAGATCAGGAAAATAGATGTCCAAATATCATGTTATAGACCAGCAATTTTTACTAAATATGTTTGAATATTTTTCTTGGGCTACACACTGTTATACTGGATACTGCTACTGACAAATATATTCTACGTGTGGATCAAATTGACATTTCACCATCGAGGCCTTCCGTGGTGTTGCTATTTATATTGTGAAATAGTATGGCGAGTAACAAAGTTGTGGTTGTATGTATCTATTCTGTCAACTAGAGTTTATATCAAAGCGTTAACAGTTGAGTTAGAATTGTTGTCGGTTTATATAACAGTGAATTTAGTTCCATCTGCCGCTAACACATGATTCCATTGAAATGATTGTACAAATATTTATTGAAATATTCAGTAAAACAAACCTAAGTCCACTCTTTCGAACCTGACGTGGTTACTTACCTTTATTCCTCCTACAGTATCCTGTCACAACACATACCTCAACACCTCCTAGAGTCTCCTGTCACAACACTTATTTCAATACCTCCTACAGTATCCAGACACAACACTTACCTCAACATCTCCTACAGTATCCAGACACAACATTTACCCCAAATACCTCCTACAGTATCCTCTCACAACATTTACCTCAACACCTCCTACAGTATCCTGACAGAACACTTACCCCAATACCACCTACAGTGTGTGACACAACACTTACCTCGACACCTCCTACAGTATCCAGACACAACACTTACCTCAATACCTCCTACATTATCCTGTCACAACACTTACCTCAACACCTCCTACAGTATGTGACAAAAACACTTACCTCGACACCTCCTACAGTATCCTGTCACAACACTTACCTCAACACCTCCTACAGTATGTGACACAACACTTACCTCAACACGTCCTACAGTATGTGACACAATACTTACATCAACACCTCCTACAGTATGTGACACAATACTTACCTCAACACCTCCTACAGTATGTGACACAATACTTACCTCAACACCTCCTACAGTATGTCACACAATACTTACCTCAACACCTCCTACAGTATCCAGACACAACACTTACCTCAACACCCCCTACAGTATGTGACACAATACTTACCTCAACACCTCCTACAGTATGTGACACAATACTTACCTCGACACCTCCTACAGTATCCAGACACAACACTTACCTCAACACCTCCTACAGTATGTGACACAACACTTACCTCGACACCTCCCACAGTATCCAGACACAACACTTACCTCAACACCTTCTACAGTATGTGACACAACACTTACCCCAACACGTCCTACAGTATCCTGACACAACACTTACCCCAACACGCCCTTCAGTATGTGACACAACACTTACCTCGACACGTCCTACAGTATCCAGACAAAACACTTACCTCAACACCTCCTACAGTATGTGACAAAAACACTTACCTCGACACCTCCTACAGTATCCTGTCACAACACTTACCTCAACACCTCCTACAGTATGTGACACAACACTTACCTCAACACGTCCTACAGTATGTGACACAATACTTACCTCAACACCTCCTACAGTATGTGACACAACACTTACCTCAACACGTCCTACAGTATGTGACACAATACTTACATCAACACCTCCTACAGTATGTGACACAATACTTACCTCAACACCTCCTACAGTATGTGACACAATACTTACCTCAACACCTCCTACAGTATGTCACACAATACTTACCTCAACACCTCCTACAGTATCCAGACACAATACTTACCTCAACACGCCCTACAGTATGTGACACAACACTTACCTCAACACCTCCTACAGTATGTGACACAATACTTACCTCGACACCTCCTACAGTATCCAGACACAACACTTACCTCAACACCTCCTACAGTATGTGACACAACACACTTACCTCGACACCTCCCACAGTATCCAGACACAACACTTACCTCAACACCTTCTACAGTATGTGACACAACACTTACCCCAACACGTCCTACAGTATCCTGACACAACACTTACCCCAACACGCCCTTCAGTATGTGACACAACACTTACCTCGACACGTCCTACAGTATCCAGACAAAACACTTACCTCAACACCTCCTACAGTATGTGACAAAAACACTTACCTCGACACCTCCTACAGTATCCTGTCACAACACTTACCTCAACACCTCCTACAGTATGTGACACAACACTTACCTCAACACGTCCTACAGTATGTGACACAATACTTACCTCAACACCTCCTACAGTATGTGACAAAAACACTTACCTCGACACCTCCTACAGTATCCTGTCACAACACTTACCTCAACACCTCCTACAGTATGTGACACAACACTTACCTCAACACGTCCTACAGTATGTGACACAATACTTACCTCAACACCTCCTACAGTATGTGACACAATACTTACCTCAACACCTCCTACAGTATGTGACACAATACTTACCTCAACACCTCCTACAGTATGTGACACAATACTTACCTCAACACCTCCTACAGTATGTGACACAATACTTACCTCAACACCTCCTACAGTATGTGACACAATACTTACATCAACACCTCCTACAGTATGTGACACAATACTTACCTCAACACCTCCTACAGTATGTGACACAATACTTACATCAACACGCCCTACAGTATGTGACACAACACTTACCTCAACACCTCCTACAGTATGTGACACAATACTTACCTCAACACCTCCTACAGTATGTGACACAATACTTACCTCAACACGTCCTACAGTATGTGACACAATACTTACCTCAACACGTCCTACAGTATGTGACACAATACTTACCTCAACACCTCCTACAGTATGTGACACAATACTTACCTCGACACCTCCTACAGTATCCAGACACAACACTTACCTCAACACCTCCTACAGTATGTGACACAATACTTACCTCAACACCTCCTACAGTATGTGACACAATACTTACCTCAACACCTCCTACAGTATCCAGACACAACACTTACCTCAACACCTCCTACAGTATGTGACACAACGCTTACCCCAACACGCCCTACAGTATGTGACACAATACTTACCTCAACACGTCCTACAGTATGTGACACAATACTTACCTCGACACCTCCTACAGTATCCAGACACAACACTTACCTCAACACCTCCTACAGTATCCTGACACAACACTTACCACAACACCTCCTACAGTATGTGACACAACACTTACCTCAACACAATCTACAGTATCTGACACAACACTTACCTCAACACATCCAACAGTACAAAACTCAGTCGTTATCTCAGCTACAAAAGAGAGACGCCCTCCATTATTCACCACAAAGTATATCACAACAACCGTCATGTCACCTTGACATATCTGTATTTCACCGCCGCGCTCAGTCCCGGACACACATGCTGAGACTCGGCCCGGCCGTCTTATCTTCCGACAATGTCTGCCAACAAAACAGGGGATATCCACGCAACGCGACGCACACTGCTAGTATGATTCTTCTGCCTTTCAGACACTGACAGGAAAATCCTACACTAAACTTGATCAGCCAAAGCCAGTCACGCTATTCAAAAACACAAACCTACTGACACCGCGACAACGAGGATCATACGAACCTACTTACAACAAGTCATCAAAAGCCCCTTCCTGAACTGGTCGTACTTCCTTGACACAAAAATATGTGGTACACCTTACACAAACACGCGGTACCTGTCTATAACAGCGTGAAAGCCTCGCGTTGAGGTTACAAGGTGATGTGCGATACATTCATATCACGGCTAAACGTATCCTTTGATCGTTAAGGCGTTTTGCAAAGGGATAGACTAAATGTTGACTTTTGTTGAGTTTTGATTCAGCGTTGAATTGGAGATTGAACTAGATAGACAGTTCATTTCATATTTCCTCGTATTGATAACATCCGTGAAAAAGGACAAAAATATAATTGTTGTCAATGCTACAAGTTAAAGTCCGGTTGTCGTTAAACGGACGTGAAGAACGCCAGTCATTCTATATAAGGATACTGCATACAAAATGAGTATATCTAAGTGCAAACGTGTAAAACGAAATACGGCAAATTCTTCGAATTCCTTATAACTGCACTGGGTTTTGTTTTGTTTTGGGGTTGTTTAGGGATGATGGGGTTTGGAGTTTTTTTGCATTTTTTTTATTGTTGTCTTAAGTTTTGCGTATTTTGTTTTGTTGTTATCAAATGTGATCAAAGTGTTTCTTAAGTCTCCCCTTATATATTGTCTTGACCAAGCGCAGATATTCGTGATCACGAGAGTGTATATATTTCAATTCATATGAACCAATGAGGAAAATAATTGTGATTTATATGCTGATTTAATATTGTGATTTAAAGATAAACATTATTTCCAGTGTTGGTTGATGGTAAATTTATTTTGCCTGATATGACATTACAAATTCCTGTTGAATGCAGGTTACGACATATTCGACATAGACATATAGGTGTAAAATATCATTCTCCCACCCACATGAACAACATGCCTCCTCACACCGGTTTGGGGGTCGGTGGGGTAGCCTAGTGGTTTAAGCGTTCGTTCGTAACGCAGAAAACCCGGGTTCGATTCCCCACATGGGTACAATGTGTGAAGTCCATATTTGGTGTCCCCCGCCGTGATATTGTTGGAATATTGCTAAAAGCGGCAAAAACCTCACTCACTCACTCACCATCAGCAAAGTATTTTTTGACAGTATATCGATCCTTACTCTTATCTCTCTGCAAACACTCCATTGCAGGGGCGTCGGGGTAGCCTAGTGGTTCAAGAGTTCGCTCGTCACGCCGAAGACCAGGGTTCGATTTTCCACATGAACACAATGTGTGAAGCCCATTTCTGGTGTCCTCCGCCATGATATTGCTGCAATATGGCTAAAAGCAGCGTAAAAGTAAACTCACTTACTCATTGCTTGCAGTCAGCTTATCCTGTGTAGATTTACTTCCCTTGTTTGTTCCAGGAACAGATGATTCGTAGGATCGAATCATCTTCACTATGATACTCGATTTGTCAGCGTTATACCCATGAAGCTCGCGGGTTGTATCAAAGTGGTAACCTGTGTTACACAACGTGATATAGCTGGAACTATATTGAGGAAGCAGCACTAAACCTACTCTCTATCCTCGTTCGCCAATCTTTATTTCGTCGGTTTCTGACTTCGGAGGCCTTGACCTGATGGTGGGTGTGTTCGTCATATCGACTACACCAGTTCGACTCCGGACATGGGTATAGAGTACCAAGAAAACCCGCGGGGCGGCTCAGTACCCGGTGTTTAAAGCGTTCGCTCGTAACGCTGAACACCCGATTTCGATTCCCTACATGGGTACAATGTGTGAATCATTTCTGGTGATGGTTGATGGTCGGATGATGCATGTGATGACGGCGTTGTTCACTATTCACAATCACTGGATTCTCAGGTGCAGATGCAAGCGTTTCCAGACCGCCTTCATTTAATTGGGATCCGATATACCCACCGCCCCCAGAACAGATAAAGGATGGGTTAAAGGTGGGGAGGTTGGGTTATGATGGACTCAGATGTGTTTATTGCTAACCATATGTTACTATAGTAACGCCGATTTCAGATTCCTGCAACTATTTCAGGAACAGAAAGTAATGGACGCCATGCGCTGCACCCTGTGGGGCTCGAACCTGAGACTCGTCGTGGTCCAACAGTGTCTTAACCTCTGATATAGCCAACCGTGTTTAAACGGGGCTTACATCCCCCACACAATTATACACACAAACTCACCCAAGAAGTCACCAAACACATGCAGCAACTCACATACAGAGACACAAAATACGGAGACAAAAAAACAATAAAAACACACAAAAATACATCCACTGCTAAACTAGCAAAATAAAGCAGAATGAAAGTTACAGATGTTTTTTACTACTTTTATAATGCAACATATGAACATTTTTATATTTATTTATTTTCTATTTTAGACTAACCCAGAATCGATCGATCCAAATTTACATCGCGTAATATTGCTGAGTGCGGCATAAAACCAAACTCACTAACTCTGTCAACTGGACATCTACATGACCAGGACCATTTAGTTATATCATGGGATTCTCTGTCAATTGCCCCATTAGGATTTGGTACAAATTCATCGCATAATCGACTTCATATTAACATACTCTCTAAGAATCACATTTTGGCGATTGCGGGTGGAAAGTGACTGACCGAGGGCATAAACACACAGCTTTTAAGACCAGCAGATTTCATCAAGGTGAACGAGTCGGTTGGATTGCTTTTCTGTTCCAGACACTGCATATATGGTTTCACAGTATGCATCTCCTTGCATGACAGACTCTGCATATATGGTTTCACAGTATGCTTCTCCTTGCATGACAGACTCTGCATATATGGTTTCACAGTATGCTTCTCCTTGGATGACAGACTCTGCATATATGGTTTCACAGTATGCTTCTCCTTGCATGACAGACTCTGCATATATGGTTTCACAGTATGCTTCTCCCTGCATGACAGACTCTGCATATATGGTTTCACAGTATGCTTCTCCTTGGATGACAGACACTGCATATATGGTTTCACAGTATGCTTCTCCTTGCATGACAGACTCTGCATATATGGTTTCACAGTATGCTTCTCCTTGCATGACAGACACTGCATATATGGTTTCACAGTATGCTTCTCCTTGGATGACAGACTCTGCATATATGGTTTCACAGTATGCTTCTCCTTGGATGACAGACTCTGCATATATGGTTTCACAGTATGCTTCTCCTTGCATGACAGACACTGCATATATGGTTTCACAGTATGCTTCTCCTTGCATGACAGACTCTGCATATATGGTTTCACAGTATGCTTCTCCTTGGATGACAGACTCTGCATATATGGTTTCACAGTATGCTTCTCCTTGCATGACAGACTCTGCATATATGGTTTCACAGTATGCTTCTCCTTTCATGACAGACTCTGCATATATGGTTTCACAGTATGCTTCTCCTTGCATGACAGACTCTGCATATATGGTTTCACAGTATGCTTCTCCTTGGATGACAGACACTGCATATATGGTTTCACAGTATGCTTCTCCTTGGATGACAGACTCTGCATATATGGTTTCACAGTATGCTTCTCCTTGGATGACAGACTCTGCATATATGGTTTCACAGTATGCTTCTCCTTTCATGACAGACTCTGCATATATGGTTTCACAGTATGCTTCTCCTTGGATGACAGACTCTGCATATATGGTTTCACAGTATGCTTCTCCTTGCATGACAGACTCTGCATATATGGTTTCACTGTATATTTCTCCTTGCATGACAGACACTGCATATATGGTTTCACAGTATGCTTCTCCTTGGATGACAGACTCTGCATATATGGTTTCACAGTATGCTTCTCCTTTCATGACAGACTCTGCATATTTGGTTTCACAGTATGCTTCTCCTTGAATGACAGACTCTGCATATATGGTTTCACAGTATGCTTCTTCTTGGATGACAGACTCTGCATATATGGTTTCACAGTATGCTTCTCCTTGGATGACAGACTCTGCATATATGGTTTCACAGTATGCTTCTCCTTGGATGACAGACACTGCATATATGGTTTCACAGTATGCTTCTCCTTGGATGACAGACACTGCATATATGGTTTCACAGTATGCTTCTCCTTGGATGACAGACTCTGCATATATGGTTTCACAGTATGCTTCTCCTTGGATGACAGACTCTGCATATATGGTTTCACAGTATGCTTCTCCTTGGATGACAGACTCTGCATATATGGTTTCACAGTATGCTTCTCCTTGGATGACAGACTCTGCATATATGGTTTCACAGTATGCTTCTCCTTGGATGACAGACACTGCATATATGGTTTCACAGTATGCTTCTCCTTGGATGACAGACTCTGCATATATGGTTTCACAGTATGCTTCTCCTTGGATGACAGACTCTGCATATATGGTTTCACAGTATGCTTCTCCTTGGATGACAGACTCTGCATATATGGTTTCACAGTATGCTTCTCCTTGGATGACAGACTCTGCATATATGGTTTCACAGTATGCTTCTCCTTGCATGACAGACTCTGCATATATGGTTTCACAGTATGCTTCTCCTTGGATGACAGACTCTGCATATATGGTTTCACAGTATGCTTCTCCTTGGATGACAGACACTGCATATATGGTTTCACAGTATGCTTCTCCTCGGATGACAGACACTGCATATATGGTTTCACATTATGCTTCTCCTTGCATGACAGACTCTGCATATATGGTTTCACAGTATGCTTCTCCTTGCATGACAGACACTGCATATATGGTTTCACAGTATGCTTCTCCTTGCATGACAGACTCTGCATATATGGTTTCACAGTATGCTTCTCCTTGGATGACAGACTCTGCATATATGGTTTCACAGTATGCTTCTCCTTGCATGACAGACTCTGCATATATGGTTTCACAGTATGCTTCTCCTTTCATGACAGACTCTGCATATATGGTTTCACAGTATGCTTCTCCTTGCATGACAGACTCTGCATATATGGTTTCACAGTATGCTTCTCCTTGCATGACAGACACTGGATATATGGTTTCACAGTATGCTTCTCCTTGCATGACAGACTCTGCATATATGGTTTCACAGTATGCTTCTCCTTTCATGACAGACTCTGCATATATGGTTTCACAGTATGCTTCTCCTTGCATGACAGACACTGGATATATGGTTTCACAGTATGCTTCTCCTTGCATGACAGACTCTGCATATATGGTTTCACAGTATGCTTCTCCTTGGATGACAGACTCTGCATATATGGTTTCACTGTATATTTCTCCTTGCATGACAGACACTGCATATATGGTTTCACAGTATGCTTCTCCTTGGATGACAGACTCTGCATATATGGTTTCACAGTATGCTTCTCCTTGCATGACAGACTCTGCATATATGGTTTCACAGTATGCTTCTCCTTGGATGACAGACTCTGCATATATGGTTTCACAGTATGCTTCTCCTTGCATGACAGACTCTGCATATATGGTTTCACAGTATGCTTCTCCTTGCATGACAGACTCTGCATATATGGTTTCACAGTATGCTTCTCCTTGCATGACAGACTCTGCATATATGGTTTCACAGTATGCTTCTCCTTGCATGACAGACTCTGCATATATGGTTTCACTGTATGCTTCTCCTTGGATGACAGACTCTGCATATATGGTTTCACAGTATGCTTCTCCTTGGATGACAGACTCTGCATATATGGTTTCACAGTATGCTTCTCCTTGGATGACAGACTCTGCATATATGGTTTCACAGTATGCTTCTCCTTGGATGACAGACACTGCATATATGGTTTCACAGTATGCTTCTCCTTGGATGACAGACACTGCATATATGGTTTCACAGTATGCTTCTCCTTGGATGACAGACACTGCATATATGGTTTCACAGTATGCTTCTCCTTGGATGACAGACTCTGCATATATGGTTTCACAGTATGCTTCTCCTTGGATGACAGACTCTGCATATATGGTTTCACAGTATGCTTCTCCTTGGATGACAGACACTGCATATATGGTTTCACAGTATGCTTCTCCTTGGATGACAGACACTGCATATATGGTTTCACAGTATGCTTCTCCTTGGATGACAGACTCTGCATATATGGTTTCACAGTATGCTTCTCCTTGGATGACAGACTCTGCATATATGGTTTCACAGTATGCTTCTTGCATGACAGACTGGGAAGACTTAGTGAATGACTTCAATCAAACTCAACTTTGATATTCTGTCCAACAACCTTGGCACGCTTAAGGCAGCTGTGGAGTTCCTTGCTGCCATCCTGCCTCCAGATGCATCACCAGAGGACCATCAGATTAAAATGATATGTACAAAAGTACACGATATGGTTGTATAATGAATATCTCCTGAATTCCTTGGCATAATACCCGTGAACGTCCGGGTTAGAATATTGATCTTCAGTAACTCATGCTTGTCGTAGGAGGCGACTAACGGGATCGGGTGGTCAGGCTCGCTGACTTGGTTGCAACATATCATCGGTTACCAATGACGCAATCGAAGCTCATGCTGTTGATCACTGGATTGTCTAGTCCTGACTTGATTATTTACAGACCGCCGCCATATAAGTGGAATATTGCTGACTGCGGTGTAAAACTAAACTCACGCACTCCCCCTTGGCATAAATGAACAACTAATGGGTGGTCGATCCATCTGGTCAGGCGTTCAAGACTTTGTCAAATCAAGTATACAGGTCTTTGATCATTGCTCGAGCATTTATCTCAGATATTTACTTTAAGCGAGATTTATACCCAGCCCGAAATATGTCTTATTTATTTTCGGAATTTGAAAGACATGAAGTAACATACATTAAGTGTTCATGGACACGATAATCAATAAATTCATCAACTGGGATAACATAAAACATATCAGAGGCGGTGGAGTAGCCTAGTGGTTAAAGCGTTCGCTCGTCACGCCAAAGACCCGGGTTCGATCCCCCACATGGGTCCAATGTGTGAAGCCCATTTCCGGTGTCCTCCGTCGTGAAATGCTGGAATATTGCTAAAAGCGGAGTCGTAAAACTTAACTCACTCACTCACTCACAGAGCACGTATTCTCAGATCAGAAAAAAAACAAGGAAGCAATCTTTATTATTGTTTTATTTGATTGTTGTGATAACATAAACTAATATACCAGGGTAGGTGGGTTATATAAGCAGTATGTACAGTGACCTTGACACCTGACACGAACTATGTACAGTCGGTGGTAAGGTCTGGACATCCATATGGTTATTGCAAGAAGGCAAGTATGTAAGGGGCATATCTTCTCACATGTTTTCTTTGACTTTATGTACATTCTACTTACGTGACACAGAGAAATGCATTTATGCAAATTCAACGTTCCTTCATCTGTGATTGATACATCGTTAAATCAGACATTAAAAGAATAAAAAGCATATTTATTGCTTGTGATCTCGGGAAGAAGATGTGGTGAGCTTGGATTACTTGATCATTGTCCGCGCAATGTCATTTTCTTAAAATGAAATAATGCTATTTTTTGCGATACAGGTGGAACGTTGTTCTACAGAGGGAATAAGACTGATTGATTCAAGTGAGGGCATATTGGATAAGAATGAATAGGGGTGAGCGAGTATGGTTTTATGTCGCTTTTAGCAATATTTCAGCAATATTACGGCGGGGAACACCAGAAATGGGCTTCAACATTGTACCCATGTGGGGTATTGGATCCGGGTCTCTGACGTGACGGGCGAACGCTTTAACCATTCGGCTACACCACCGCCCCAAGGATGAATGGATTAAGGATGGACTGGAGGTGGTTAGGGTCGTCACATACGTCACCATTGTTGACAGTACCTGTGACGATGGACTCGGGTATGTTGTTTGCTAACCACATGTTACTACAGCAATGTTAACCCCGATTTCAGGTTTATGCAAATCCCGAAACCCATCTGATATAGCGAAGGTCCATGGATAGACCTGCCGTTGGCGGCACCGAGGTCTTTATCACAGAAACATATGATAAGCATATTGACGTTTCTCGCTTATGAGCATCTTGGAAGACATGTATCACTTTCTCTTACTCGAAGCTGGCAAGCAACTGAAATCGAGTTCATGGCGGCGCTATGCCAAATCATCCAGCCACGCACTATATTTCCAACACCGTTTTTAGGTTGGCACTTTTGAACGTTGTCTGGACCCATCTTTAACACTAGTTGAGGACGCAGACCACGCCAGTGATTCTAACCTACAGTATGCGAAGACCAAATATCCAGACATACCATGAACAGATCCATTGTCCGGTATTACAACGATATAGACACGCGGAATCCAAGGTTACCAGACTTATGGGGTTTCACCGTTCCCTCCCCACCATAGAATCCTTCCAAAACATATAGTGCCTTCCGCTGTATCATGAATGCCTTAAGTAACATGTACATGCGAATGTGGGTATGGTTGGCGGTCAAGAACGTATTTTTAAACGTCTACCAGCTCTTGTATATTCATCAACAGCTAAATCACATGGGTTGATCGATTTTCACATCGATCGTTAACATTATAAACAATTAATAATGACAAACATTGAAAGTATGTGCAGTGTTTTGTTTACACATGTAATAAACATTCAACGGATATACATCACAATATACAAAACTTAAAACATACAAAATATCATCGGAGGAAAGATATGTCTCAATAATTATGTGTAGTCATAACAGTCATATTTGTTTGTTTCAAACTGTTATCACTAAGAAGATTAAACATTTGATATCACCATGAACCAGATCATTACGACTGCACGGCATGGATGCAGTATGTGAAGCTGAACTCTCGTGCCCCCGCTTAATGTTGATACTTGCGGCGCAAAATTATTATCAATCACTTTTGCGAAAATAACGTTACAAATTCATGTTTCGGACAAAAGGATTTCCGAGTGCAAAGGAAAAATATGTTCATTGAACAACGGCCTGTGGTCAAAGGAAAAAAATAATTTTCATTGAACAGCAGACTGTGGTCAAACGGAAAAACAATTCATTAAACGGCGGACTGTGGTCAAAAGAAACAATCATTTTAATTGAACAGCGGACTATAATCAAGTGTGACGGATCACGTGGGATCTATGCTCAGCTTGTAACCAGAACGTGCTCTGTCGACTGAACGTGCAGAACGTGCTCTGTTGCCAACAAACAAGCCCTTCAAGAACTCTCCTTCCAAACTTCCATGTTGCCAGCACCTTAGCTCTGTCACAGGCATCCGCCATGTAACGATTCCTCTCATCTTACACTGGCTATTCAAGATGGTGCATATGTTGCTCATTGATGTCATTTTAACTAGTCTGCACATATGGATAAACACGTGGAATGGAGCGGGTTATTTTCATTGAAAAAACATCCTAAAACGTAACACACTACATTTCGATTTGCGGTGTTATATTTGTTCACACTGGTCGTACGTTCAGCTCATCGAAGCCCTACTGAGAGTTACGGATAGCCTCTTTGATGTGTAAATATGATTTGTCATGAGCTTCACTGTCGCAAACTGTAGTGGCATACAATATAATTAAGCAAAATAATGTCTAAAGGCTTGTACTCGTCCATATTTTTCTGATCATAGAATAAACCCGTTTGGTAATAAACAAAAACTACGTCATGTCACGTGACATGCTAATTAGCTTGTGGTAGTGATGTTATGCCTATCCGAAGTGTGTTTCAATAACTGCTTTAGTTATCGACTGCATGACTTATGTAGATCAGCGGGGTCAAAGGTCTTTTGTGATGTTTGCTATACAGTTGATATGCCAACTATGAAACTGGTATTTGATATGTATCTATCTGGAACACTTATCCATGCAGAACGTCGTCCATAGTAAATATATACCAGTGTATAGGAGGTTTCCCTGTACGGTTTCGTTGTCACTGCGCAACTCGAACTGTCGTACATGGAAACGTGTTTACGACATAGTTCGAGACAATCAGTAAGTGTCAAAATCTATCAGAGATTAAATTGTAAAAGATTAGGCGTCTTGTAATAGACGAAAACCCAGTTAAATCTCATTATAAATCACGTTTGACGCCATAGAATGACCCGTGTTGAATCCTGGGTGTATCTATGTATTTATTAGCACAGATGTAAAATATGAAGTCATAAAGACTGAAGCATCATAATTTGAAAACATTTTCAAAAAGGCAGGACGCAACGTAGCTTCATTTACGCAGTCATTCAATACATCTGTGCGTCACGGCTGCCTAGAAAGAAAACATCCACCTTTGTATAATATAAACTTCTTGTATTTAAACGTAAAATATTGGTAATTGTAAATGCAATCGGATAATAACTTTTTTACCAAAAAAGAAAATAGCCCCCAACTGGAGATATCTACCATAATCGGATACTATGTAGGGAGGCATTAGCAACAGACCTGGATACTGAATCACTAGGATAAAAATATTCAAATTTCCAACAATAATGAAAACGGCGTGTGCACTGCTAGTTGCGTATGCGTTCACTAATCATATGCTCGGGGTTCCATCTAAGAGGAATAACTACTTGTACAACATCGTACTTTTGTTGTAACATCGTTGAGGTGATGCTATGAGGGGAGGTAACTCCTCGTACGTTATTGTAACGTTAAGGTAACGGTGGTGTCTTTCGAGCCAGTGAGGTGTAGCTGTAAGGGAGGTAACTCCTGTTATAACCTCGTGACCTAGCTGTGCGAAATATGATCCTCTTGTGCATCCTGCTGTTTTGGATTTGAGGTTGACGCCGACATAGGGCTGTAAGTGAGGTATCTTTTTCAATTCATCGTGATAAATATGCAGAAAACATATTGTAAGGCAGAAAACCCCTTCGAGGCTTCCAGTTGAGCTTACCTCCCTTAGTAAGGCTGACATGGTTTCAAATACACCATGTTCCCCCACTATGATGACGGTCAAGGGGAGATAACCCCTTCACAAAATTTAGACATACGCGAAAGACCACTACATGCAGTACATAGTGAAGTAACCACCGTATTTCTCGTCTGTCCCACTGACATAAACACCAGATGGCGCCACATATAAACAAACTTTATCATACAAGATTAACATGGATATTAAGAAAGGTGACCAAACCGGCATTTTGAATACCAGTTACGCGACGGTGCTATATAATGATTGTAATGTACAAGTATGAGTATTGCATTCAAGTAACACATATGAACAGACATCCTCCTCTTTGGTTTGAAGTCTTTCACACCTATGTACACACTGGGATTTCTTGTGCTCTGCGCACGTTGTATATTATTGTTATTATACGCTTGGGTGATGATTATGCTTCAGTGGTCACGTGAAGAGGCTGAATGTAACAAGGGAGAGCATCAGTAACACTGTAAGGCAAGGATGGTACAGCACGCACCCAGTTTCGGCAACCGGAAGTGCCCTTGTTGTTGATGTGGGCAAATGTGTCGTAGATTTTGGTGTCGTTTTCGGGTCTGATGTCGTAAATAGGAAGCTGTCTACTATATGGATGACGCCATTGGAGGCAAGGCGGTCTGACTCTATAACCTTCGACTGCACGTGCCGCCATTTGAAAAATACACCTGAAAGAAAATAAAGCGATTATAATCTGCGTTCACACTACACACTCCTACTTGTGGGTCTTTTCATTCAGCCATTGGATTAACATAACTGAATAGTTTACGTAAACCATGTTGCTATTTAGGTGTTATTTGCTTCAAATGATATTGATGTTTTTTGTTTGTTTGTTGTTTAACGCCGCACCCAGCACTATTCAAGCTACATGGCGGTGGTCTGTACATAATTGGGTCTGGGCCCCCTTCCTCAAAGCGATCGTAGCGCTACAACAGTCGTAAGTCTATGTTAAAGTATGGGAGTTACGATCAAGTTTGCGCTACGATCGCTTTGAGGAACGGGGCCCTGGACTCGATAATCAAGTGATCAACAACATGATCAGCATCGATCTACACATTGCACTCATCGGTCATCAATACGATGACATGTGTCAACCAATTCAGCGAGCCTGACCGCCCGATCCCGTTAGTCGTCACTTATGACAAGCATGGGTTGCTGAAAACCAATTCTAACCCGGATCATCACGGGTCATTTCATTGATGTTAGTGGCTTTAAACAATTGCATGAAATTGTAGTTATATTCAACGACGTTAACGCGGAACAGCAGAAACGGTTAACACGCATTGATAACTGAAGCTTGTAATGATAAAGGAGCACTGCACTATTTACATGAGATACCACCAACGCTTTTTTAAAATATGTATTTAACCTTACCGTCTTGGTTTGATTCCAGCACAACATCCTTGGGGAGAACGTCAGACCGCACTTTCCCCTGCTTCAAATCCTGGTACGTCACCTCGGAGTCATTTAAAACATGGCGCCAGAACACCTTGGAACAGAAACGTTAACATGTATTGTCATCGAATATTAATGTTCCTTCACGCCAAAGTTGGTACCATTCACAGAAAATAATATGGACCTGGTATTATAAAAGAGAGGTTACATGTATGAACAACACTCAGTGATAGCACTGAATATATTTTGATGGGATCAAGTTCTTGTCGACACTTTCTATGATTATTTCCGTAACATAACTTCCAGATAATATGGGATCAAGATCTAATTATAACCTTCAGAATGGCGAACAATATTATCTTACCTTCTGCAAGGTAAAGACATTCGTATGATTACCTTTTTCCATCAACTAAAAGATTATGGAATGATATTTCTGATACCGAAAGAAATCGACCTTCATTACAAAGTTCCAAGTCGTATTTAAATTGTGAGCAACCTGTAGCTCCATCATATTATTCTTCTGGTATTAGAACATTTAATATTATACACACAAAGTTGAGATATATGACAACTCAACTAAATAATTATCTGTATTGTTTCAACATGAACGATTCCGCTTCTTGTCACTGTGGAAACGCTTGTGAAAATGTACATCACTTCCTGTTGTAAACTGTACAACGTTCAAAGAGAGACATTCATGTTAAATTTGAAAAGTACTGAAAAATGTGACTCTCCAATCTCACCGTCATTAATGTTACTTGGAAGTCCAGATATGACTTGTCAACAGATTGAACACGGTTTCAAGTGCGTGGAAACTTTTATTCATCAATAAACACGTTTTGGGTTGGGTGATCACATAGGTTGTGTCCCTTCCTCTGTTCTCTCTTTAACTTCCCTATACTTTCTCTCTATTCCTTCTTAAAATGTATGGGGCGGTGGGGTAGTCTAGTGGTTAAAGCGTTGGCTCGTCACGCCGAAGACCCGGGTTCGAATCCCCACATGGGTACAATGAGTGAAGCCCATTTCTGATGTCCCCCGCCGTGATATTGCTGGAATATTGCTAAAAGCGGCGTAAAACCAAACTCAGTCAATCAGTCTTAAAATGTATAAAACTGAAAATGCATGTTTGTAAATATTAGCGAGCGGGTATTTTAAGTTGGATAACTTGTCCCCAATCACTTTCACATTTGTGAATAAAATATGTTTAAATCAAAAAACGATTAATTTCATATGTTTGTTATTTAGGGCTCACTCTGAAATATTCCAGCTATATGAAACCGGTTTGTAATTTGCCCGGATCAGACATTCCAGTGACTGACATCATGAGCATCGATCTGTGCAACTGGGGGACGATGACATGCATCGATGAAGTCAGCGAGCCTGACCACCCGATTCTGTTAGTCGTCTCTTAGGACAAGCACAGGGTGCTAAAAAAAGTCAATCCGTGTCCACGCTAGGGTTTTAAATGGTTGCACTGAAAGACAGAGGTGTGGTATTATAGTCAACATGACGGTAAATAATGAAAACGTGTTACCAAACATCACCACGGTTATGAATCACTCTATTATCTGTATCTGTCCAAAACATCGTTCTATTTCCACACTCGTAGGTTATGTCTACTGTGTCCGCCGAAACGACAGCGTTGAAGGGTACCCGGAAGTACGTTTCACTTCAATCGTGTTGGGGGTGAATACTCACTTTCATTCTCTCTGACGGCGGGAAATTATCCAACGTCATATAATCTGTATACGTGAGTTTTCTCAGTGCTTGATTGCGGGGGATGATCAAGGTGAAGGTCCTGTCTTCTCCTGACAGTAGTGTTTCTGGTGTATTGTTCAGAAGCCGCAACAGGTATCCCAGAGAGTGCCTGTTATAAATCGGACACATGTCATTGGTACTTATAAGGGAGCGAGTCTGGACTTGCAGCACAAATGTTGTGTTATATATACGTTTGGCTCAAACTCGGATCGATGAATTGCATTCTAACTACTAAGCATATAGTACTCAATGAAACACTCATAATCAAAACATCAGACCAATTCTGTGATTTGTTTGCAGAATTTATGTCCTAAAAATAAAAAAGTTGTTTAACAAACTATCATTAAAATCTTGACAACGTTCACTATTTGTTACGAGGGAGGGGTGCAAAGAGAGGGACAGCCAGGTGTGCGAGAAAGGATGGAGACGGCACAGCACAGGTAAATGAATCAATGACTTTGTCTGCACTTGTGCTGGCTGTTCCTCTCCTTGCGGTCCTCCCTCGCAACAAATAGTGAACTGTGTCAACATTTTAATGATAGTTTGTTAAACAACTTTTTTAATTTTTAGGACATAAATTCTGCAAATAAATCACAGAGTTGGTCTGGTGTTTTAATTATGATCAGTGTTTCATTGAGTTTTCTATGTTTAGTTGTTTTCGAGTTGGACTGCAATTCATCGGTCCGATTTTGAGCCAAACGGACTATACCAGAAACGAGATCCACAATATACTCATAGAAACGAATAAGGGAACACATGAAAGTACTGGACTATTTACGTATTTCCAGAATTTCACTCATAGTGCAATACACATACCTGGAAACATGGAGAAGAATAATGGAACACTTTTACTTTCATGTGTTCCCTTATTCGCTTCCACGAGTATGTAATTTAACCAAGGCAGGCCTTGAGGTGAAGGGGCAGAGTTGTGTGCCTTATATGTGACAAGATCCGATGACTGCCACAGAAGGTATTTATCCCATAGAGAACGTAATTGAAATTCAATTAACAATAATTTTTTACCAAACCGATGCAATTAACTACATCGATAGCCCATGTCAGCACTTGTGTGTGTGTGTGTGTGTGTGTGGAGGGAGGGGGGTTGGGAGGAGATGACTCTGGTAGCTGGGACACAGAAAAGTTAACTGTTAAAGTTAAACCCCCAGCACGTACAGTCGTATACCATGATTTAAACATAAGGCAGATGACTTTCTGATTTGGTTCAATATTCAAAAAGAGAGAATACTATGGTTTTAAAGGACATATTTACTAAGACAAAACTATGAAATATTTATTATTTGCAAAAATTCCTTAAAGAATACACACAAAGGGAGGTAACTCCACTCACTCTATGTTTGAGTCCCCTTGCAGCCTCTCCATGAGGTTGAAGGGAGAGTAGTTGAGGAAGCCGTCAATCACGTAGATGACGCCGTTACTGCAGCCGTAACCCCGCCCGATCAGATCGATATAGGCCGGCTCGTACCCTGCGTCAATATAGGTGTCTGAAAAAAAATAGTTTATAAAAACACGTGAAGCATCGATCATTAAATATCATGTTATCACACTCATTTGGCTGTTTTGTAAGTTTTGTCTACAACCATATCTGTCAGCTGGCAACGAGGCGTTCAGTTTGCACTGAGTTGCCATGGTGATAGCTGGGTTCATATAATGGAAATAAGCCTTGAACTGGCAAGGAACCGACCATGGTAATCCGCAGAATTTTAAAACATTTTAAAATGTTTCCTAACTTGGGCCTTTAAGACGCATAACACTTATTATTTCAGAACATCCAATAAAGTTTAATTATATATTTATCATTCTATTCCCGGGAACAGCTTAAATATATAAGACAATAAATAACATTATTGTATTATTATTATATTATATAAGTACACCCACACTAGGTCTTACAAGTTGAATAATTCGAATGGTCGGATGACAACCTGTTTGATAGATTGTCGAAGTTGAGCTGATTTGAACGCATCTTTCATTTTTCTCCATAGCCGTTTAATGGTTATTTCATACGATGTAAATAATTAAATTAAGTTCTGGTTTCAAAGAATGTTATTAACTGGCTACATTCATGTTTTTATGTCGTAAAGTCCATTCGTAACTACTAGTCTCTTTCCGTCCCTTTCCGTAACGAATGAGGAAAGTCCAGTTACCTTCGCCGGACCTGCGCAGTGTGAATGTCATATTGAGAGAACTCCGAGATACATATTCCTCTACTTGGTAGCGCCGAAGGAACTCGTCGTCCAATCGGAATGACGGAAACAGATGTCCTCTGTATAACTAGAACAAAACATATGATTCAACATAAGGCACGTGCACTCATTTTTCAATTTAATTCGTGATTCAGTAAGAGTAAAGGATATTTGGGGAAACTATTAATGACTCTTCACTCATATAATATATTGTACATCTGTGTTTTGCTTTTATATGTGGGTGGTGTGGTTAAAACTGTCGACACCATTCTCCCAGATCAGTTAATGAAATATTCTCAGATCTTTGTGTAAAGAGAACTGAGATCTGTTATATTCAGATTGTAATTTCGGAACCAGATTTAAGTTTAAAGCCGCGCAGAGAAGTCGTGGTGCTCGAGCTATCGTCCCCCCGTTTTGTAAGTCTTGTTACCCATGACACTGTTACGGATGCTGTTGGCGGGAATTCAAAGTTCACTTTCACTCAACCACTAAGAAAAGAGTCTGCACTAAAAAATCACAATGGACGCCCATACTTAGAGTTAGCATTTCTGGCATTGTGGTGGTTGAAATTCCAGTTAATTGGACCAGGAACTCACCTTTCTTAAAACATGCGTACTGTTTCTGATACGGTCGAGTCTCGAAATGGCGAGTGAGTTCAGGAAGTCTGCCGATGGCGCGAACACTGTAAGATTTCTCTCCCCTTTGTTGACGAGGTCGTTGAACTCCGGGAGACCTGACATCATCGAGTAGAACGCACTGCAACAATGATAGTCCCACTGATCATGATGTTTGCTTTAAATCACATCATTGCAATTGGTTGGTGATCGAAATTAAAACTGTAATATGTGTTTCAGAGGTGGTGTGGTAGCCTATAGGCTAGAAGTTAATGCGTTCACTCGTCACGCCGAAGACCTGAGTTCGATTCCCCTAATGGATACCGTGTGTGAAGCCCATTTCTGGTGTCCCCCGCCTTTATGTTGCTGGAATATAGCTAAAAGCGACGTAAAACCATACCCACTCACAAAAATGTGTTTATGTTCTCAGAAAAGTGTATTTTAGGTTTATTTCATTAAGGAATTATTTGAGTTGATGTTTATGATAATAATATTTTGCATTGGTTTCAGTCTCCACAGAAGAAAAATAAACATTTTATTTCTGGACCCTGCATTCAAAATGATGATATCGTTGCCCATGGGAGTAGTGAGCCGTTGCACAGAGTAACCTTAGGGCAACGACTGTTGTAATTCTTAGGTACGGTATGGAAGATACGATCTCTTTAGCGCTTTGTGTAACCCTTTATTATGATAAATATTCCTCTGATAATCGCGGTTGTATCTTGAGGCTTTTAAGGCTAGGCATGGGCGTTGATGTACAGAATGGGCCTCGATTAAGACAAATTCAACGAGATAACAGGACCAAGACATGATCGAGTCTGGACCAGACAATCCAGTGCTCAACATCATAGGCATCGACCTGCGCAATTGGGATACGATGGCTAGTGTCAACCAAGGCAGCGAGCCTGACCACCCGATCCCGTTAGTCGCCTCTTACGACAAGCATGGGTCTGTCTGGACCAATTCTAACCGGGATCGTCACGGGTAACTCAAAGTACAGAAACCAGCGGTTACAAAGAAATTAACGGGAGCGCTACTTGTAGCTTGGTATTACCGCAGCTCGTCCGATGAGTCCAGCATTTCCATCACGGTCTTGTAGGGGTAGTACACGAGGTTGTTGATGATGTGGATGACACCGTTAGAAGCCGGGATGTCGGGGACGATCACCTTAGCCCACATGTTGTTGTTGACGACGTATACTAAAACACAGAAGGAGTTGAGAGAAAGCCGAAATCGATTTGTCAATCCTGTGTTCGATATGAAGATTAAAGTAAAATGTTTATATTGTAGCAGAATAGGACTTAGTGATGTCTTGATAAGATTAAGGTTACATGTTTCCGTTGTAGCATTTGATGACTCACCATTTCCCTCCTTCTTAATGATGTATATGACGTTCTTGTCAGCAGTCAGCATCTGTCTGTCGGCGAGCTCGTTGATGTTCTTTGCAACGCCCGTGACGATATGTGCCTGCATCAGCTGCAACATAACGGAGACGTTCATGCAATCCCATTTATCACCTTGACATTGAACAAACCATCCCCACTGCGTTCAGGGTCGTCGACACATGCATCCGCCCTCCTACATCAACCCAGCCTCTCCCCCAGTACCCACTCACCTCCTTGGTCTTGTTGATGTTCTTCAGTAGTGAGTTGACAGAAGCCCAGGGGAGACTGGCGTAGGCGTCATTGTGAGGTATGAAGACGGTGAAGCTCTGTGCCAGCTGGGACAGATGGTCTTGTAAGGCTGGGATCACCCGGAACATGGTCCGTGTGTAACTGTATGGTCAGACATGAAATTAGCATAAACTGATGCACAAAAAAGTACATACGTGATATTTGGTCAATATGTTCCAAAACAAACAACGTAAGTATTTTTAAATTGTTTTTATTGTAAGTATAAGTCACAAACATTAAGAGTGTGTGTTGCCAAAATACCACGGGAGGTTTGCAAAAAGATTCTAAAGCGCCAGGTGTTTGCCCCAGTTCAGTACTTGGACAGCACGAATCAGTTCTGATAAACTCACTTCAAGAGGAGAGGCAATGATCGTCATACTATCCCTCTAGAAATGATTAACTATGAATTGTAAACGAAAAGTCACTGTGTTCTTTAATCTGATTGGTTGAAAAACATGATCAAATGATATTCGATTCTCGGAAATTCGCTGCGTATTAATACATACAAACATCGCTCACACCATTGTATTGTTACGTCGTCAGCTGCGATGACGTCATTCAAATCATATTGTGACGTAAAGTCCGAATGACATAACAAATGAGCAGTTCCATGAGTTGCTACCATGGGAGACAGCCGAAACGGCCGGCTGATGACGTTTCACTGCTGTACCCGTACTCGATGTCAATGAGTGCAGACAAAAAAACCTGTGTGGACCTTTTGGTTTACTTTTGTGACGACGTCGGTTCCAAATATATTCCCGTGCTTCAAATACTCAATAACACCCGGAAATTAGCCAGCACATGATGTATATCTCCTAAATGAAACATTATTACTTCTTACTGAATATATCTTTGAAAATGTTACGAATTTCAAACATATGGTTTCTGGTTGAAACAATGCCGCTACATTAAATCTTACACTCTCTCGATTACATTTTTTACTTTGTATTTCTTATTTGTTTTTGCTGCTTTTGTGGGGTTGTTTGTCTCAGAACTAAATGTTTATCGAACATAAATTATGTTCCGACATTCAACTGTCCACAACGGGGAACGATACCACGTTCCTGACATCGTGTAGGTTTAATTTATCGAAGACATGATTCATTGACCCAGGGAGACGTTACAGACGAATATATGGCACCAGAAAGGAAGGTGATATACAACGTTGTCAGGACACTACGACTTAATAAGATAAAAGACGCGAGTGCTGTACATATATATTGCGCTGTCCCTATGTATCATGGGATTATTGGCTTAGCTCGTACAATCGAGACGCCTGATAGATAGTGCTAGTTTAAATATGGGCTGAAACAGTCACACACTTTAATGTATCAGTTCACAGCCTAGCAAGAGTGAGTGAGTGGGTGAGTTTAGTATTACGCCGCACTCAGCAATATTCCAGCTATATGGCAGCGGTCTGTAAATAATCGAGTCTGGACCAACAACTTTTTTTATTTTAGGGACATAAATTCTGCAAATAAATCACAGAGTTGGTCTGGTGTTTTAATTATGATCAGTGTTTCATTGAGTTTTCTATGCTTAGTTGTTTTCTCGAGTTGGACTGCAATTCATCGGTCCGATTTTGGAGCCAAACGGACTATACCAGAAACGAGATCCACAATATACCATAGTAGAAACGAATAAGGAGCACATGAAGAGTACTGGACTATTTACGTATTTCCAGAATTTCACTCATAGTGCAATACACATACCTTGAACATGGAGAAGAATAATGGAACACTTTTACTTTCATGTGTCCCTTATTCGCTTCCCACGAGTATGTAATTTAAAACCAAGGCAGGCCTTGAGGTGTAGGGGCAGAGTTGTGTGCCTTATATGTGACAAGATCCGATGACTGCCACAGAAGGTATTTATCCCATAGAGAACGTAATTGAAAACTCAATTAACAATCATTTTTACCAAACCGATGCAATTAACTACATCGGTAGCCCATGTCAGCACTTGTGTGTGTGTGTGTGAGGAGGGAGGGGGTTGGGAGGAGATGACTCTGGTAGCTGGGACACAGAAAAGTTAACTGTTAAAGTTAAACCCCCAGCACGTACAGTCGTATACCATGATTTAAACATAAGGCAGATGACTTTCTGATTTGGTTCAATATTCAAAAGAGAGAATACTATGGTTTTAAAGGACATCTTTACTAAGACAAAACTATAAAATATTTATTATTTGCAAAAATTCCTTTAAAGAATACACACAAAGGGAGGTAACTCCACTCACTCTATGTTTGAGTCCCCTTTGCAGCCTCCATGAGGTTAAAGGGAGTAGTTGAGGAAGCCGTCAATCACGTAGATGACGCCGTTACTGCAGCCGTAACCCCGCCCGATCAGATCGATATAGGCCGGCCTCGTACCCTGCGTCAATATAGGTGTCTGAAAAAAAAAGTTTATAAAAACACGTGAAGCATCGATCATTAAATATCATGTTATCACACCTCATTTGGCTGTTTTGTAAGTTTTGTATACAACCATATCTGTCAGCTGGCAACGAGGCGTTCAGTTTGCACTTCGAGTTGCCATGGTGATAGCTGGGTTCATATGGAAATAAGCCTTGAACCTTAGGAACCGACCATGGTAAGGCAGAACCGACATAAAATGGTAACTTGGGCCTTTAAGAGCTTAACACTTATTATTTCAGAACATCCAATAAAGTTTAATTATATATTTATCATTCTATAACAGCTGACAATAAATAACATTATTATTATTATATTATATAAGTACACATAATAATTAGGTCTTGCCAAGTTGAATAATTCGAATGGTCGGATGACAACCTGTTTGATAGATTGTCGAAGTTGAGCTGATTTGAACGCATCTTTCATTTTTCTCCATAGCCGTGTCGTTAAGCATTTAATGGTTATTTCATACGATGTACCGCCATCATTAAATTAAGTTCTGTTTTCAAAGAATGTTATTAACTGGCTACATTCATGTTTTTATGTCGTAAAGTCCATTCGTAACTACTAGTCTCTTTCCGTCCCTTTCCGTAATGAATGAGGAGAGTCCAGTTACCTTCGCCGGACCTGCGCAGTGTGAATGTCATATTGAGAGAACTTCGAGATACATATTCCTCTACTTGGTAGCGCCGAAGGAACTCGTCGTCCAATCGGAATGACGGAAACAGATGTCCTCTGTATAACTAGAATAAAACATATGATTCAACATAAGGCACGTGCACTCAATTTTTCAATTTAATTCTTGATTCAGTAAGAGTAAAGGATATTTGGGGAAACTATTAATGACTCTTAACTCATATAATATATTGTACATCTGTGTTTTGCTTTTATATATGGGTGGTGTGGTTAAAAACTGACGACACCATTCTCCCAGATCAGTCGAACAAAGGTCGTTGACGTTAATGAAATATTCTCAGATCTTTGTGTAAAGAGAACTGAGATCTGTTATATTCAGATTGTAATGTCGGAACCAGATTTAAGTTTAAAGCCGCGCAGAGAAGTCGTGGTGCTCTGAGCTATCGTCCCCCGTTTTGTAAGTCTTGTTACCCATGACACTGTTACGGATGCTGTTGGCGGGAATTCAAAGTTCACTTTCACTCAACCACTAAGAAAGGAGTTTACACCCAAAAAAATCACAATGGACGCCTATACTTAGAGTTACCATTTCGGGCACCATGTTGATAGAAATTCCAGTTAATTAGACCAGGAACTCACCTTTCTTAAAACATGCGTACTGTTTCTGATACGGTCGAGTCTCGAAATGGCGAGTGAGTTCAGGAAGTCTGCCGATGGCGCGAACACTGTAAGATTTCTCTCCCCTTTGTTGACGAGGTCGTTGAACTCCGGGAGACCTGACATCATCGAGTAGAACGCACTGCAACAACGATAGTCCCGCTGATCATGATGTTTGCTTTAAATCACATAATTGCATTTGGTTGGTGATCGAAATAACTGTAATACGTGTTTCAGAGGTGGTGTTGTAGCCTAGAAGTTAATGCGTTCGCTCGTCACGCCGAAGACCTGAGTTCGATTCCCCTAATGGATACCGTATGTGAAGCCCATTTCTGGTGTCCCCCGCCTTTATGTTGCTAGAATATAGCTAAAAGCGGCGTAAAACCATACCCACTCACAAAAATGTGTTTATGTTCTCATAAAAGTGTATTTTAGGTTTATTTAATTAAGGAATTATTTGAGGTGATGTTTATGATAATAATATTTTGCATTCGTTTCAGTCTCCACAGAAGAAAAATTAACATTTTATTTCTGGACACTGCATTCAAAATGACGATATCGTTGCCAATGGGAGTAGAGAGCCGTTGCACATAGTAACTTTAGGGCTATGACTGTTGTAATTCTTAGGTACGGTATGGAAGATACGATCACTTTAGCGCTTTGTGCAGCCCTTTATTATGATAAATATTCCTCTGATAATCGCGGTTGTATCTTGAGGCTTTTAAGGCTAGGCATGGGCGTTGATGTACAGAATGGGCCTCGATTAAGACAAATTCAACGAGATAACAGGACCAAGACATGATCGAGTCTGGACCAGACAATCCAGTGCTCAACATCATAGGCATCGACCTGCGCAATTGGGATACGATGGCTAGTGTCAACCAAGGCAGCGAGCCTGACCACCCGATCCCGTTAGTCGCCTCTTACGACAAGCATGGGTCTGTCTGGAGCAATTCTAACCGGGATCGTCACGGGTTACTCAAAGTACAGAAACCAGCGGTTACAAAGAAATTAATTGGAGCGCTACTTGTAGCCTGGCATTACCGCAGCTCGTCCGAGGAGTCCAGCATTTCCATCACGGTCTTGTAGGGGTAGTACACGAGGTTGTTGATGATGTGGATGACACCGTTAGAAGCCGGGATGTCGGGGACGATCACCTTAGCCCACATGTTGTTGTTGACGACGTATACTAAAACACAGATGGAGTTGAGAGAAAGCCGAAATCGATTTGTCAATTGATATGAAGATTAAAGTAAAATGTTTATATTGTAGCAGAATAGGACTTAGTGATGTCTTGATAAGATTAAGGTTACATGTTGCCGTTGTAGCATTTGATGACTCACCATTTCCGTCCTTCTTAATGATGTATATGACATTCTTGTCCGCAGTCAGCATCTGTCTGTCGGCGAGCTCGTTCATGTTCTTTGCAACGCCCGTGACGATATGTGCCTGCATCAGCTGCAACATAACGGAGACGTTCATGCAATCCCATTTATCACCTTGACATTGAACAAACCATCCCCACTGCGTTCAGGGTCGTCGACACATGCATCCGCCCTCCCCATCAACCCAGCCTCGTCCCCCAGTACCCACTCACCTCCTTGGTCTTGTTGATGTTCTTCAGTAGTGAGTTGACAGAAGCCCAGGGGAGACTGGCGTAGGCGTCATTGTGAGGTATGAAGACGGTGAAGCTCTGTGCCAGCTGGGACAGATGGTCTTGTAAGGCTGGGATCACCCGGAACATGGTCCGCGTGTAACTGTATGGTCAGACATGAAATCAGCATAAACTGATACACAAAAAAGTACGTACGTGATATTTGGTCAATATGTTCCAAAACAAACAACGTAAGTATTTTTAAATTGTTTTTATTGTAAGTATAAGTCACAAACATTAAGAGTGTGCGTTGCCAAAATACCACGGAGAGTTTGCAAAAAGATTCTAAAGCGCCAGGTGTTTGCCCCAGTTCAGTACTTGGACAGCACGATTCAGTTCTGATAAACTCACTTCAAGAGAAGAAGCAATAATCGTCATATTATCCTCTAGAAATGATTAACTATGAATTGTAAACGAAAAGTCACTGTGTTCTTTAATCTGATTGGTTGAAAAACATGATCAAATGATATTCGATTCTCGGAAATTCGCTGCGTATTAATACATACAAACATCGCTCACACCATTGTATTGTTACGTCGTCAGCTGTGATGACGTCATTCAAATCATATTGTGACGTAAAGTCCGAATGACATAACAAATGAGCCGTTCCATCAGTTGCTACCATGGGAGACAGCCGAAACGGCCGGCTGATGACAAACCCGTACTCGATGTCAATGAGTACAGACAAAAAAACGTGTGTGGACCTTTTGGTTTACTTTTGTGACGCCGTCGGTTCCAAATGAATTCCCGTGCTTCAAATACTCAATAACACCCGGAAATTAGCCAGCACATGATGTTTATCTCCTAAATGAAACATTATTACTTCTTACTGAATATATCTTTGAAAATGTGACGAATTTCAAACATATGGTTTCTGGTTGAAACAATGCCGCTACATTAAATCTTACACTCTCTCGATTATGTTTTTTACTTTGTATTTCTTATTTGTTTTTGCTGTTTTTGTGGGGTTGATTGTCTCAGAACTAAATGTTTATCCAACATAAATTATGTTCCGACATTCAACTGTCCACAACGGGGAACAATACCACGTTCCTGACATCGTGTAGGTTTAATTTATCGAAGACATGATTCATTGACCCAGGGAGACGTTACAGACGAATATATGGCACCAGAAAGGTGGGTGATATACAACGTTGTCAGGACACTACGACTTAATAAGATAAAAGACGCGAGTGCTGTACATATATATTGCGCTGTCCCTATGTATCATGGGATTATTGGCTTAGCTCGTACAATCGAGACGCCTGATAGATAGTGCTAGTTTAAATATGGGCTGAAACAGTCACACACTTTAATGTATCAGTTCACAGCCTAGCAAGAGTGAGTGAGTGAGTGAGTTTAGTATTACGCCGCACTCAGCAATATTCCAGCTATATGGCAGCGGTCTGTAAATAATCGAGTCTGGACCAGACAATCGAGTGATCAACAGCACAAGCATCCATCTGCGCATTTGGGAACCGATGACATGTGTCAACCAAGTCGCCTCTTACGACAAGCATGGGTTACTGAAGTCCAATATTCTAACCCGGTCCTTAACGCGTGCCTAGCAAGAGGAAACACGGGCGTTATTTAATTCATGGCTTCAAATGATGAAATGTTTTCCAGTATAAAACATTCAAATTCTTAGGAAATCCAAAATTGAATTTTATCGGCATAGGAAGGGGGATAACTCTGTGAGTTAACCATTAAACTTTTCAAATTTGCCAACTGTAGCTGTGTTACCCATGGCTTGGCACCGTAGTTCTAATATAAGACATGGTTTTGAAATACTATATCATTTCACAAACCGACCAAACGTTTAAGAATTATAACAAGAGTTATCATCCTTATCTAGGGTCGGTGGGGTAGTCTAGTGTTAAGGCGTTCTCTCGTCACGCTGAAGACACGGGTTCGATTCCCCACATGGGTACAATGTGTGAAGCCCATTTCTGGTGTCCCCCGCCGTGATATTGCTGGAATATTGTTCAAAGCGGCGTAGAACTAAACTCACTCACTCACTCATTCTTCACTATCATTTAAACCCAGTCAACACTCATGACAATATATTGTTCGATGTGAACATGGATACTTTGGACAATAATGTACTATTTTATGAATAACTTGTTGTTTGTAAATATTCAAACTGTTGCTGATATGGGAAGGGCGTGTGGCAACCTAGTAGTTCGTTCTTCACGCTAAAGTCCCGGGACCGATTCCTTCCTTGGGTACAATGTGTAAAGCCCATTTCTTGTATCCCCCGTCCCTATATTGCTAATTTATTGCCAGAGTGGCGTAAAATCTTACTCTCTTACTCACTATCTCACTTTCGCAAACATACTGCTTTTTTCTGTTAATCTCTGTGCGCCCGTTCAGGATCATGAGAAGGGAAGTAACTCTGCATTACTCTCGATGCATTCGTCCCCACTCGTCCCTTTCCGTAACCTCCAAGAACTTTCGGCTTGTCACGGATAAACACGATTGGCCTAGGATGCTCTCAATGTCGAGTTGTGGGTGCTTATTCCAATCCACATAATTAATAGTAACATAAAACGACAAGACCTGTGATACAACGAACGAATTCCGAGAACCCCTTACTGGTCGTTACATATATAGTAGTTAGTGTGTTTAGTTTTACGCCGCTTTTAGCAATATTCCAGCAATATCATGGCGGGGGAACACCAAAAATGGGCTTCACACATTGTACCCACGTGGGGAATCGAACCCGGGTCCTGGGCATGACGGGCGGACGCTTTACTGACTGACTGACTGAGTTTGGTTTTACGCCGCTCTTAGCAATATTCCAGCAACATCACTGCGGGGAAACCGGAAATGGGCTTTTACATAAGCGGACTTTAACCACTGCTACCCCACCGCCCCTTACACCCATAATGGACTATGCTGCATCAGATGAGGATGTACCTGATGTCCGGTCGCCTGTCCATCTCCTCTATAATGCTCCTGATGGCCACGTGCAGAATGTCGTCCACTATGTGTAGTACGCCGTTTGAACACCAGATGTCCTTCACAATCACGCGAGCTTTCACGTGACTTCCTTCCACCATCATATCTGTAAAACATCACAAATCATGACCTAAGTCTTGCAACATGCAACAAGATAATATTAAAAACTTAGACTGATATTTAGTCCCAGAAATAACGTTGTCTAAAAATATACATAGAAAAATAAACATTATTCAAAAGAAGCCAAACAAAACCTGCGAGAATTCATCATGTTTTGTTGTTTATTGTTTAGTGCTGCACTCCGCGATCATCTAACGTTATGTAGCTGTAAATCTATTCGCATATATCTGAAATAATCGGGTTAGGACCAGACAGTGCAGTGACTTACATCAAGAGCATCGATATACAAAGCTTGGGATACGATAACGGAACCACCCAAGGCTGTGAGCCTGACCACCCAATCCCCTTAGACGTCTCTTACAACAAGCATGGGTTGATGAAAACCAGTTCTAACCCAGATCACTGGTAATACTAAGAATATAATGTATTAGGTGGGATCTGGGCCCCGTTACACAAAGCGACTAAAGCTCTAAGACGGTCTTGACTTCTAGACGTAACCATCGCCTTGCGACAATCGCAGAACTAATATGGCGGTATGAAACAAGTTCCCGGATTAGATTAAAGAACCAAGAGGTGACCAACTTCTGTGGACATGTACGTCTGGTACTCAGGCGGCTATACCCATGCTGCTGAAGGAAATAATCACAGGTTTATCTGGCCAGCCTCGATTTCATTCAGACCTCCGGTGTACGGTGGTAATATGGCTGAAGACGGCGATAAAGAACACAAACTATCTTGGACGTGAGAACAAGACCCTACCTTCATCTTCTGTGCCGGTGCTGGAATCCTCCTTGTAGATGCGGAGACTCTTGCCGGCCAGTGTCCCCACCTGGACAGAGCTGGCTATACTGGACGAACTGAACTGACCCTGCACTATCTGACCCCTCAGTGCCTGGAAATACAACCAGTATTGTCATTAACGTGTCATTGTCATTCTCGGAGGTTTATTATTATTATTATTATTATAGGAAAATTATATAGCGCACATATCCACGCAACTAGTGCTTGCTCAAGGCGCTGGGATTTTTCCCTCGATCATTGGATGTCAATCTCAACGGCACATCGTATTATCAATCTCAACTCCCTGGGGAGTATACAACTTGAGTTTACAATTTGAGTGCGAAATGGACTTTTTACATAAATTACTTGAAGATTTATTCACATAACTCACTGAGCATTCTGAATATTTGTACATTTTCAAAAGAACCTATAAATCATGGTTAATAACAACTCCTCGCCTTCACATAATAAATCTCTCCCAAATAATTTGGGGAAACGACATTTTCAATGTGCGCTAAAAAAGAATTGGATGTGCACCCGATAGCTTTGGATTATGTAAATTATACTTGTTATATTGTAGGGGTAGAACCTGACATTACATGGTGCACCGTGTGAGGGTAGGAGTTGAGTCTGACATTATCTGGTGCACCGTGTGGGGGTAGGAGTTGAGTCTGACTTTACTTGGTGCACCGTGTGGGGGTAGGAGTTGAGTCTGACATTACCTGGTGCACCGTATGGGGGTAGGAGTTGAGTCTGACTTTACCTGGTGCACCGTGTGGGGTAGGAGTTGAGTCTGACATTATCTGGTGCACATTACTGACATTATCTGGTGCACCGTGTGGGGGTAGGAGTTGAGTCTGACATGACCTGGTGCACCGTATGGGGGTAGGAGTTGAGTCTGACTTTACCTGGTGCACCATGTGGGGTAGGAGTTGAGTCTGACATTACCTGGTGCACCGTGTGGGGGAAGGAGTTGGGTCTGACTTTACCTGATGCACCATATGGGGGTAAGAGTTGAGGGTGTCCAGGGCGGACCGGGACGTGGTCTTCAAAACCGAGTCGCTCGCCATGAACATCGTCAATGCGCCCGATGTTTCTGCTGAGAGTTTGGCCTCTATATCCGAGTACTGTATAGCGAAGGAGTACATAATACTGAAACAGAGACAAGAGTGAGTGAGTTTGGTTTTACGCCGCTTTTATCAATATTTCAGCAATATCAGGGCGGGGACACCAGAAATGGGCTTCACACATTGCACCCACATGGGGAATCGAACCTGGGTCTTCGGCGTGAAGAGCGAACGCCTAAACCACTAGGCTACCCCACCGCCCCAACAGACACAAGATACTTTATGAAGCAACTTGTGGTTGAACAGTCAACGTCGGTCATTATTTCAAATACAAACTGAGAGAAATTACTCCTCTATTCCGAAAGAATTAATTTCTAAACATTATCATAGAATATGCAGTCATTAGACAACTGATACGTTATTGGGTGTTTGTTTTCATAAACGGATGAAAAAAACACAAGGAGTCAGCTGCTAAATGAAAAGGAAATGTTTATGAAAGTGTCTGTAGTCAGGTCCGGTTAAAAGACTGGCGTGGCGACTACCGTACGTCAATGCTGAAGACTGAGTTTTACAATGATCGTCAAGCTAATAACCATGGGTCCCACTCCTCATTTCCCATTTGGATGCAACTCATTACCTGTACTTTCAATTTATGCGATTCCGTATTTTTCTATGAATCATGCATACATTTACTTTGCTGGTTAAAAAATTCTTTCACTTTGATATAGTGAGTGAGTGAGTTTAGTTTTACGCCGCACTCAGCAATGACTTTGATATAAAAGGAACAATGTCCTTGTAAAACGTATTAGCGGGGTTAAATTATTTAATTTTTTACGACCGTAGCGATTCGTTCGGGTAGGAAACAAAGTACGTAGTAGACTTGTTTTGGTTTTTTTAAGTCTAAGATGCGTCGATATTAATAATGATTTAAAACCAAAATTACACAGTTTAAAATCTGAACATGTTTATTCTTGATTCTGCTGCAGCTGAATTATACCTTAGTTGTGGGATGTTCTCGATGGCCTCCCAGATGGTGAAGTTCTTGAAGAAGAGGATGTTGCTGATGAGGTGGATGACGCCGTTGGTGCAGCCGATGTTGGTCATCTCAAGCCTCGCCCTCACTGACCCGCTCTCAAGGTACGTGTCTGGCACATGAGAATACGTGTTAGCGCTGTGTTTGGATCATGGCATTATAAGGTTCTGGACAGGCGGTGAGTGAATATTTTTTATGCTGAAGGGTCTTCCAGCATTCCACGGATCCTGCTAAAATCTAGTTCGAGCCTGACAAACTACCGGTATAGATTACCGACGAACGTTCTGTTCTGTCGGGTAGGTCGAGTTAGTTAAGTTTTACGCCGATTTTAGCAATATTCCAGCAACATCACGGCGAGTGAACCAGAAATGGGCATTTAGACATTGTACCCCCTGGGGAATCGAACCCGGGTCTTCAGCGTGACGAACGAACGCTTTAACCACAAGGCTACCCCACCGCCCCGGCTCTTCAGTACATGGATGTCGGAAGTTATTCCTTTGGTGTCCATTAATAGAAACTTTACACGAAATGTATGCTGTTTGTGGATAGTGGGGAGTTCCAGCTTACCTCCGTCAACGTGTTTTATGTGGATGCTGCGATTGTCCATCGTCGTCAGCGTCTGGTCGTGGGACAACATGGCGGCGTCTAGCTGCACATTGGGGATGATGTGGCCAAACAGTAACTGAAGCACAGGAATTTGAAATAAGGTTGTGGCGAGTGCAAAATATAGTAATACAAAACAAGCCCTAAAACATTCTGATGACAAAAAGGCCAAAATGCGCTTTTCATCACCAAACCTTATGACATTCTTTATCGCTTAAAAGTGGATATCGCTTGAAAAGCACATTTTGCATTTTTTATCAGTTTTGTAAATTATGTTCCGTTTCCCCGGAATTATTTTATGTTCAAAAGTTTCATCACATATGCAGCTATATTCGCGACATTTTGTGATTTTATTTCAAGCGGCGAGAAGTAGAGGCCACTCACTCATTCATAGCTGTAATATTGCTGCGTGCGGCGTAAAACAACAAACAAATATCTCCATGATTTGACCTACATATTTGAGGAGTTTCTCCCCCTCCTCGTCATCCCGGTCCAGCTCCTGCTGCTGGGACGTGGGGATCTTGCTGAAGGCCCAGTCTGTGGGGGCGAACACGGTGTAGTTGGTGTTGGTGCTGTTCAGCCTTGCCTGGATGCTGTCGGGGAGTTTCTTCATGTACTCCCACATTTTGCTGCCAACAGTCAAAGAACTTTGGTCGACGATATTCTTTGTGGAATGTGAGACAAGTTAGATGCGCTGTCGTACAGTGTCGATTTCATGGCCATTATTGAACTTAGAATGCTTTATCTTTGATTGGTGGCGGTGGGGTAGCCTGCTGGTTACAGCGTCCGCTCGTCACGCCAAAGACCCGGGTTTGATTCCCCATATGGGTACAATGTGTGAAGCCCATTTCTGGTGTTCCCCGCCGTGATATTGCTGGTATATCAGTGAAAGCGGCGTAAAACGATACTCACACACGTAAGAAAATAATGGGCATATCTTATTGTTAATTAACACCCTAAAGCTTCTCATGAGTATTGGATTTTTATTATCAACTCTTTGGGGAGCTGGAATTATGCTAAAAGCGGCGTAAAACTAAACTTACTCACTCACTGATATTTGAGTGACATATAGAAACTTTCCTTTTTTACGAAGGGAGGTATTTTATGGATATACAGCTTCATTCTTCAGTTAGCAAACAGTGGTACACCGTTCTGTCGATGTTGAAGGGATCTACATTAACACTTCAAGATTTCCGACTTTCGACACAAACGCAAAATGATGACTAAAGAAGCAATATGCAGACTGAGTGAGTGAGGTTAGTTTTACCAATATTCCAGCAATATCACAACGGGGGACACCAGAAATGGGTTTCACACATTGTAGCCATGTGGGGAATCGAACCCGGGTTTTCAGCGTGACGAGCAAACGCTTTAATCACTAGGCTGCCCCACCGCCCCATGTACGCTGAGACCAGGTTTTACTTCGAGACAACCAAGTTCAAGTTCGACACATGAAAGTCCAACATACCGGTGGTTGACTGTTATAACACCATTATCAAAAACGTGTCGGTTGACACACGTCGCATAGTTGATACATTCGTAACTACGTGTCATTCCGGCAAGCCGGATGGCGTCTCGTACCCCTCTCGTGGCCATGTTTACGACTTGGTCCTGTCTAAGCGCAAACGGGCATTGAGGTGAAAATAGTCTAGTACTATTACCAAGGAAAGATAACTCTGAATTTCCAAACATGGCTCCTAGAATATCCTTGGGGAAAACAGCAATACAGTCATTCCCTTTGTAAATTTGTTTCAGAGTTTAAAGTTGCTGATCCTTTAGCTCAAAGTTTATGTTTTAATTGTGCTTTGCATAGTTTAGCGGCGTTTCAAAGTCCAAAGGTGCCGCCATTTTCATGCTTCGAAATGCGTTTTACTACGTGCGATTTGATTGGTTTGCCACGATTCTTGGCAATAATGGCGTACGATAGGGGTACGAGTCTTCTTGTAGGTCACGGAAAGAGGCTAATAGTTACGAATGATAGTTGATAATGATGGTAGTAACTGCACGTATACATTACAGTCGTTGAAATGAAGAAGTTAAACATCCCAGAACCATGTCCCTTTTTCATCATACTAATCCTCAAATCCATTTAAAGGAGACAATTTATTTTCTAAACTTTGCTCCACATGTATGACGTTCAGAGCTGTGTAGGGGATTCACATGCAAACATTAACTCATATATTCCATTATGCGCGAGGTGATTTGTTGTTCACGGAACAAGCCGACTTGATCCGAATGATATATCTGCATCACCCACCTGGTTTCTTGCATACCGCCGAGTCGCTGCACAACGTTGTCGTAGACGAAGTACAGGAGGTTGTCGATGACGTGGAGCACGCCGTTACCAACGGGGATGTTGGCTTGGACAACCCGCGCCCTCACCATGCCGTTGTAGACATAGACTGAACAAAGAGAAATACGTGAGTAGTGAATGCAGGGTTAGGGCCTACTTGTCATAATGCTGCTTATAAGATCTGGATAATGAAACTTTAACCAGTCCCGTAAGCCATCTTTGGGTTGTGAATATTCAAAACTATCACAATCCTTACAAAATTAGCCCCAAAGTCAAAAGTACATGTTTACGTGTAATCAATATACTTGCATGCAGCAAACATTGCAACGAGGAATTTGAAATTTTATTTTCATCTGAATTCACTTCGGGAAATAAAATCTTTTAAACCACATGTACTGTGCATTGTAATCTTGAATAGAAAATTGAAGGAAATTATGTTATCTAAAGCTCCTACAATGACAACTAGGAGAAAAAAACTATATTAAGACTTTACCCTCACTACCCGAAACGAGATGTAGGTAACAAACTTACTCTGGCCGTTATATCGGGTGAAGCTGAGAGTGCCCACCGACGCCTGGATGTTTGGCATCGGTCCAACTGATGGAAGAAACAAGACGGAGTATGGGACGATGTGCGCCCTGTAGACCTGGTCAAACAGAAACAAAACCACTTGAAAGCATATTCATGTCTTAATCACTCTAGTGTGAATTCCTGGTAAGAATAGATCCCCCGCAAACTATACTTTTCGTAAGGAAATGGGGGCGGTGGGGTAGCCTAGTGGTTAAAGCGTTCACTCGTCTCACCGAAGACCCGGGTTCGATTCCCCACATTGGTACAATGTGTGAAGCCCATTTCTGGTGTCCCCGCCGTGATATTGCTGGTATATTAGTGAAAGCGGCGTAAAACCATACTCACACACGAAAGAAAATAATGGGCATATCTTATTGTTAATTAACACCCTAAAGCTTCTCCCAATGGATCATGAGTATTTGATTTTCATTATCAACTCCTTGGGGAGGAAACTAGATGTGACTTGGTGGATCGGGTGGCCTGACTGTCATCGCACGTCGACGTATCCAAATACCAATCACTGGTTTGTCTGATTCAGGATCGATTACACAATACTACGGTTATACCGAACTCAAAGGGACCACATCTTGTAGTTCGGTGTAACCGTAGTTCGATTAAAATATACAGCAAGTGGCGGGGCCAAAACTAGTTCTTACATCCGTCAATTCGTTATAAGCCTGCTCTTATAAATACAGTTTATTCTACGGTCAAACCCCGTTGTGTCGAACTCGTCGGAACCAAGGGAACAGTTCGACTTATCCGAGTGTTCGACACATCCATCAGCATAGAAACAATGATAAATATATGAAAATCGACAGGGACCCAGAGATGAGTTCGACACAACCGAGAATTCGTCTCAACCGAGTTCGAGACACTGGGGTTTACAAATAGTCCTTACAGGATATTACATACAAACAACAACACAAAACACCACTGTTTAGATTGAGAACATTTTCACTAGACTTGCAAGTCGATCCAGTATATGATAAATCAAACCACACATTGTGATGGAGAAGCACTTACTTTCTCTAAAAGTCCCCAGTCTAGGAAGATCCGGTCTTTGCCGTACGAGGGCATCGCCAGGAGGAAGGAATCGTTGGGCGAGAAGGAGGTGAAGTAGAGGCTGGCATTCCTTGTCTCTGCCTCCAGGTCGGGCACCACGATCTTCGCCTTGATGATGGACCTGCAGTACAGATGTGTACAGTCACAGTCACGTAACACTGTACGAAGGACTTTGATGCACTTATATATGCAACATGACGCTGTAAAATCATTTCTCTGTAAAATAGACATTTAATGCCATGGGCAAGTGACACTCAATAACTTACATGAAATCTAAAACTTGAATTCGAGACTTAAGTTATTAATTTTTCCAACGTTATACCGAGTGTGCTGTTTGTGGAATAGTTTGGAAATCATTATTAATATCCATTCATTAATTCATTCATTCAACATTCATTCATTCAACCATTCAAAGTCCGAAAGTCTGTATTTTTCCCCGGTTTGATTCATTCATACATTCACCTATTCAACCATTCATTTATTCAACCATTGATGAACGGACGAACACATAGCAACTTCGTACATTTTAATACTTTAGGATATTCCTAATCACAAATGATAAACCGAAATCAAATTCGATAAAAAGGAAAGACGATAAAAATATTACGTTTAATCCATCAACTAAACGAAAAACCCACCACTGAGGTTTAAACGGGTTCGCCGAGTTTACTCGTATGTTAGTTTTCAAGCATTCACATGGTCACAGATACTAATCAGGGGAGAGATGGGTACAGTGTGTCCGGCATTGTGTCTGTGCTTGTATAGACACAGATACCGTTAATCCAATACAAAGGTTGTGGCAACGTGACGATTTACGTCGGAAACAGACAACGTATTCTTACAAAGTCCTCTTCACAGCTAGTGGTATTCTGAGAAATGCTCTGAACATAATCACGAACGGTTCTTTCGTAGCCCTTTGAGCCGCTTTACCAACACAAAGTTAATCCGTTCATCTCTGACGGACAGTTCAGAGGAAACTGATGAAAGCTGGTATTATTGGATCTAGTAATTGAAGCCTCTGTACTGTTGTCAGCTACACATGTGTTCAATCGTCCAAAATCAACAATCATGGCAACATTACACAGACGCTAAGCTGGTGAGTAGCACAAGATAGATTCTATAGTAGATAGACGTTGCAAAGGCGTCTCTATTAAGCGAAAGAAAACATTTTTCATGCATGCAACTCTGATGTACTGTTATGCCGATAGCTTCAGTCGACACCCAAAAATAGGTCTGTTTTGGAAACCCGTGTGATTTCAGCACTTTCATGTGTACAGTGACATTTACCACTTAACATGTCCTATGGAATCATTTTATTCACCACGTCCTTTCAATAGTATAGTGTGACTACAGTCCATCGTGTTAAAACTTGAATTATGCTGAGTGCGGCCCAAAACAATATGCATTTGCTCACTCAAACCTTTACCAACAGCGTTTCTTTCATTGCAGGTCGCCGTGATGCCAACTGACGCGCAAAAGAAACTACACATCTACTTTTAATTTATTGTAAGTCACCACCAGAACCATTTTCAAATTCATTACACATTTGTTGTTGTATTTTTGTTGTTGGTTTTCAAAAATATTCCCAAAGCTAAAGGTGTGTACTTTCTTTTCTACTTCAGTTTAGTTGAAATATTTCTACCTGTTTATCAGCATTTTCATTCATTGCACGAAGTACTCACTCGAATGACAGTTTGGGGATGGTGGGGCTCTCTATGTACTCGGCCAGCGTGTTGTTGCTGGACATTGGCGCCAGCACTCGGTCCATGATGTGCAACACGCCGTTCTCAGTCTGGATGTCACTCTCTATAAAGCGGGCACCGTTCATTGTGGTAAACTGTGTATTGACAGAGATACATGAAATGTCATTCAGACGTCACAGCACACATGAATTGACATTAATTTGTGACATTACTGACAACATACGTTTTCATATGCAAATATCGTTAATCCAGACCTCACTAATCCAAAACCTTACTATCCAGGCGACTATCCTTACTACATCTGGATCTCGAAACTGCCGTGCAAATATTTTGGTGGTGTTTGACGTTGACATAAACAAGAAATGATTATTTTCAGGGGCAAAGAGTTCAAGCAGTTTCTGTTGGTTTAACATAACAGATTCAGACAAGTACGTTTAGTAATCATTTGTTCAAATCCACGTGGGTGTTTCTCGATGAATAAACAATGCCATTTAAGAAGTGTTCAAATGTAACACGTTTTATTTGGGATCAAACTTTCTTACCAAAGTTCAGATTCTAGTACTTTTGTAGGGTTGAACTCCAGCATACCAAGTCACAAAGCCAGCCGCCTACCCACCTCAGCCACCGCGGCTTCCACCGTGACTGAGTGGGTTAGACGGCTGACTTTGTGTGCTGGCGATTAGGTGCCTGGCCCTGAGGGTTTGGGTTCGAATCCCGGATGGGACTCAACCCAACTAAAGTACTAGAATCTGTACTTTACGGAGAAAGTATAATCCCAAATATAACATGTGTTATATGTTCTTTCACGCGTATAGTCCCCCCTTCCCCCCCCGGCACTTCATGTAATATATTGATTGATATTTAACGAAGATGCATTAATCCCAACATTTGTCAACAAAGAGTAGAACAGGAGCGGTCTGAAATAACGGGATCTTCCATGATTCTAACGGCACCTCGTAAAACACTATGTAGATATGAAGGGCAATGAATTATTACATCGAAAAATCAATCTTTTTTTAGGTCGGGGGATGGAAACAATTAGTCTTATAGCTCTAGCTGCGTAATGAATACAGATGCACCAGCTTCCGTTCCATCAATCGGCGGTGTTAACAGAGAACTGGACATATGACTGCTACCCGCGTACCTGCCCCTTTTTATCCGTGTACTTGTTGCAGTAGATTTTGAAGTCGGCCCCCAGTCTGGACCCCAACATGTCTCTGTCTCTGATGTTCTCGAGTAGAAGAGCGCCCGGTACTGTAACAACATAAACAACATCAACAACATCAACAACACGCTGGGGCACACGCCGGTTTGGGTGAGAGGTTGTTTTGTATGTTGGTTATAAAACGCGATGTACAGCAACATTCCAGCTGTATGACGGCGGTCTGTAAATATTCCAGTCTGGACCAGACAATCCAGTGATTCACTTCACAAACATCGATCTACGAAAGTCTTTAAGATGGCATGCAACAACCAAATCTGACTGACACCCAATGTTGTCGCTTCTTTACGACAAACACATTCGCTCTATGTAATCGAGTCAGGACCAGTCAAACCAGTGATCAACAACATGAGCATCAATCTACGCAACTGGGATACGATGACATGTGTCAACCAAGTCAGCGAGCCTGACCACCCGATCCCGTTATTCACCTCTTACGACAAGCATGGGGTACTGAAGATCAATATTCTAACCATGATCTTCACGGGTATTGTTTGTCTGACTGTATTCGATTATCTTCAGGCCACCATGGTATAATTACACTATTGCTAAGAACGTTGATCTCCACTCACTCACTCACCCGGAGTGGTGGGGTAGCCTAGAGGTTAAGGCGTTCGTTCGTCACGCTGAAGACCACACATGGGCAGAATACGTGAAGCCCTTATCTGGAGTCCCCTGCCGTGATATTGCTGGAATATTGCTAAGAGTGGCGTAAAACCAAACTCACTCACTCACTCACAACACCTCCACCTGTTCCCTGTGACATACCTGAGCTGTACAACACGAGTTCCCGCCACATGTTGACGTCATTACGACTGTAGCCAAACGACTTTGGTACAAAGTCAAAGTAGGCTTCGTTGGAGGGTAGAAAGATCGTGATGTTATCGGCCATAAACAGGTAAGATAGTTCCCTTTCTTCTATTGCACGGGCGATCTGAAACAACAACATCGACATCAGTCATTGAAAGTAGCCGAATATTTTAGCATCATAATAATCATATCCACTCTTCCCGCTGTGATAACCATCATAATCATCTACAGTCACTTTTACTTGAACATTGATTCAAGTTCATCGCCACAATCAATTTCATCGTCATCCCTGTGGCCATCATCATCATCATCATCATCATCATCATCACCATCATGAATTGTGTGAAGGGTTCCACCCTACACATGACATGAAAATATAAAACCGACGATAGAGTCAATGTCAGTGTCTACGCAACGGTGGCCCACAAGAGAATAAATTATTGTGTGAAGCAGTAGTAAAATGTACAACACTGCATAGCCAAGAGACCCCGACATCCATATATAACTATGATTTGGTGGAAAATATCTGGCCGGCTGTCGATATTTATTCTAGTTGTCAGATGTACACTGATTATAACTACGATATAATTTTAATTTTTTTACACATTTCTCCAAAAACATAATAAGACACTTAGTTGTGTTTGACGTGCACCGAAAAACAAAGTTGGAATCAGAAAGTTAAAATAGTCAAATGATATTTTTAAAAGTTTAATTAAAATAAAAATGTAATCATGTTCAAAATGTTAAATATAGATTATGTCTACCAGTACTGGTCCTCATTACAAATGTATAATATCAAAACTGTGTTTATATGTCTGAGAGTAGTATGTCTCACAGTCCCTGAACCACATTATTTACCCTCATGCCTTGCCCTCCCTGTAATGCTAAAGCCCTAAATGAAGCAAGTCTAGATTTATACAGGTTCGACATCTCTGGTCACCCTGGGGCTCCTTTTCAAATTAAATGGGCTTGTTTGTTACTATCAAACTTGTATATATTCAGAGACTAAGCGTTAGTCTAGGAGTAAAGATGGTAGGTAGTCTGTCTCACAGTCCCATATCATTTTCCCTACAGCCAGGCCCTTCCTGCAATGCTTAGGCCTTAAATGAAGCAAGTCTAGATTTCCCAATGATGTTCAGGATCTCTGGTCTCCCTGAGGTTCCGTTTACTTTTAAATGGCTTTATTTGTTACAATCAAAATGACATATATTCAGAGACTAAGCGTTAGACTAGTCTGAGAACTAACTTACTTTCCCACCTGGAAAAGAGCAGTTTCAAAAGAGAGAGAGAGAGTAAAACTCGGGTGTTACATTTTCTTCTTTACCCCAAACGTCACCACAATTGTTGATAAATTTGCAGACTGTAAAATAAAGTATATGATCACGGCTGTTCCAGCTGATCTGCAGCTTAGCTATTCTCGAAACGTTCGTAGCGTTACGAACTTCTTAAGTCCATTCTTAACACATTATCAAATTTAAGAATTCTTAGGGCTACGAACGTTTCGAGAATAAATCCCCAGAACATTACGTGGGTTCCCCAAACTCCTGGGCCCTATTTTTCGACACGTTCGTAGCCCTAAGAATTCTTAACTTTGATCGTAGCCAATGTGTTAAGAATGGACTTAAGAAGTTCGTAGCGCTACGACCGCCTCGAGAATAGCTTGCCAGATGAAGCAAGGAGCAGGAATTCACAAAAGAAGGGAGGCAACTCTTAATATAATGTCGACTATAAAAGCTAGTAAGAGGATCTTTGCCATTTTATATTTTAACAATATGATTTGATTTCAATCTATTTCAAAACTACTGGAATTTCATCTGATGATAATGGTATTTTTTTCTCCGCATAACATGAAATCTTTGTGTACGGATTTATGCACGCTTTACGTAGCATTTTAAATTGAGATATGATAGCTCATGAAAACTCCATGCGACTCCATTTAGGAATTCTCTCAGACGTTTAGTGTGAAGATCCGGAATAAAAGTTATCTTCAGTAACCCATGCTTGTCGTAAGGGGCGACTAACGGGACCGGGTGGTCAGGCTCGCTGACTTGGTTCACATGTCGTCGTATCGCAAAACATCGATTACACAACAGTCTCGTTTCCTGCTGACTGGGTTCCGTCCTATTGCGTCCAGAATTTCAACTGGATCTATAAATATTAACCAGTATTATATGATACATCTAATCACTTGTATATTGCAACACTACGCTCATTCTAATCCTTGCAAACATGTCGTGAAATGTGCTCTGTCATACAACTTGCTCTGACAAACGGAAATCTGAAAATGGTGGACATCTCAAAACGAGGCTCTGCCGCTAGAAAAGTTTGGCGGTCTGGTACGGACTTGATATTATATCAATCACATTGATGCTGATCACTAGATTGTCTGCTCCAGACTCGATTATTTACAGACCGCCGCCATACAGCTGGAATACTGCTGAGTGCGGCGTTACATAACAAACCAACCAACCAAGCCATACGTTTCAGAGAGCAACAAAATGCATGTACAAAACAACGCAAGAGACAAGCCGATCTACATGAACCACCTGCTGCTTAGCATTTCGGCCATTTCTGCTCTATCAGGGCTCAAACATACCAAAATGTGTTTCTTCCAGGAATGTTATCTCGTTCTCAAACATTAGTTTGAGCCTGTGCTTGCAGATAAAGCATTGAAGTAATTCAGAGCATGCACTAAAGTGCGTCTCTCTTAAATAATTTGCTTTCAAGATAGGCATTCGCGCATGTGACTAACGCATTCGCAACACGTTGACAAGACTGGTTGAACTATCCAAAATGTCATCCAGCTTTAAATGGTAGGTATCAAATGACGTGATGTAAACACCACGAAAAAAGTCGATAAGAGTTGTGGGGTTAAATCCAACTTAGATATATATTTAGAGACTTCAGCAGTTAGAAATATATATGAAAATAAAATTCCAAGGAGAGTTTCTAGCTGAAAGTTGATACCAGCAAAGAAAGACTTTAAAATGTCGAAAAGCCAAGAAGCTCATCATGGTCTTGTTTCAGAAGCAAGGTTTTCTTAGTATATATGGTTCAATCAATAAGTATAGATATCTACGAAGACTGGAGCCATGGCTGTACTAAACCTACGTTTTGGTATAGAATCACTGATGGAAAGCGCATGCACTTGAAAAACAAGTACTTGATGAAATATAAAAGCTGTGAAAAATGTTGTGCTAAATAGAAGCCAATGTAACATCGAAGAAAAAAAGATGTCTCGAAACATAAAGTGACAGAAAGGACACCCGTGAAGGTCTGGATTCAGGGTAGAATATAATCTTCAGCAACCCATGCTTGTCGGAACAGGCGACTAACGGGATCGGGTGGTCAGGCTCGCTGACTTGGTTGACACATGTCATCGTATCCCAATTGTGTAGATCGGTGCTCATGCTGTCGATCACTGGATTGTCTGGTCCAGACTCGATTATTAAGAGACTGTCGCCATATAGCTGGAATATTGCCGGATGCGGCGTAAAACTAAACTCACTCGCTCATTAGGTGACAATTACATAGACGCTGCGTACAACATTGGTGATCATGTTATCAACCATTGTTTTTCCAAGCCCGTCTCGAACACTTACAGGTCAGTATTTCGGTACGTGCGGCGTAAAACAACACGCAAACACAAACGAACGGAATAAGGAACATGGTAGCCGGCCTACATTCGCCCTGCCCTGCCAATGTGTTGTAAGGGTAGCCATGTAGGGGAAGCGTTAGTCAGTTTACCAAGGATCTAGTTCTATTCCTAACACGGTTTACTGGTGCCAGCTCGCAGTCAAATGTTCATGACGTAGTGCTGAAAACATGGTAAAGGCAACTCGTTTGCTCACTTTCACACACGTGAAATGAGCTAAATCTTAAAATGTTAGTCTTGGAAAACGTCAACATCGGAAAACTGCCGGTCTCTAAAATCTGCCAAGACACAGTCCATTTGGCGTATGAAACGAATTATTATACACATGGATCGCTGAAAAGTCTGAACAGCACCAGATGTTCGTCAAAAGGGTCTTTCCTAGGGCTGCAACGATGCATTGAACTATCGATGGATTGCAATGTTTGAGCAATTAATCGATGGTAGAAACGAAAAACTATATATCCATCGATAGAATGTGTGACTATCGATACTTCAAATGAGACAATTCAAGGAGAAAATAGTTGGTCGCAAAAGACTATCGCTATCGCAGTAGTTGTTTTCCCCTCAATAGTCACCCCTACTTTCCCATGCTGGAACCATCCCTCTGTCAGCACTAGATTGATGCTCGTGGGTAAGAATCAGAGATCCGCATCACGTCCGGCTGTCCAAAAGTACCACATTGGGCTAAAAAGCAGTGTAAGCCTAAATACTGCTAAAATCGGCTTTAATGTGAGTGTGATTTTACGTCGCTTTTAGCAATATTCCAGCAATATCACGACAGGGGACACCAGAAATGGGCTCTACATATTTTACCCATGGCAGGAATCGAAATCCGGTCATCGGTGTAACGAGAGAACATTTCTACTACTGGGCTAAACCGCCGCTCCCTTCAACAAATGAGTCACTCACTGACTCACTCCTTCAGGATGATACTTACAGGGTTACATAGACATCACAGTTACCTGTCTGAGTGAGTGAGTTAGTTTTACGCCGCTTTTAGCAATATTCCAGCAATACCACGGCGGGGGCACAAGAAATGGGTTTCACACACTGTACCCATGTTGGGAATCGAACCCTGGTCTTCGGCGTGACGAGCGAACGCTTTAACCACTAGGCTACCCCAGCCGCCCAGTTACATGTCGGAGCGACAGAAGATAACTTGAGTTCACTAACTCAGACAGCACATGAAAACATTTATTTAACCATCTGTTATTTATTTCTGGTTTGATTTGAAACTTTCTCATCTCAGGCCTTTTCTTCACTGCCATGCTACTTCAGACAAAAGGCCCTTCTAGTTGCAAATACGTCCGCCTCAATAGATCAACGCGTGCCAGAAAAGAAACCCGAATATCACATTTCATAAAAAAAGAAATAATAACGCTGTATGTTCTCGGAAGAATAATCCAACAGCAAAAAATCATTAACCATGGTAATAGTCTTGATTCTTTTTTCGTTTCAGCTTTTTCAGC